GTACAGATTTCTGCACTCTCCACGCACACGTGCGTACTACATCCTGACCTATCTGTTCTCAAGCTGTTTCATTAGGCCTGCCTCAAACTGATTCCCCTATACCCAAAGCAGTCTTCTTTCTGATCTGTCACCGTGGGAACCTCTTTTATCACCTTGGTCAGAGGGCAGGATGCTTGGGAAATGCACAGCCTTCAAAGTGCCAGCAGACAAGTCAAACTTTACATCAGCTTATTAGAATGTGTTGTGTTTTGTTGTCCAGGCTGAGGTTAAACTTGAGATCCTCCTATCTCAGCCTCCTGAGTGCTGGGATTACAGGTATACACCACCATGCCTGGCTTTCGTATTCCCCTTACAGTGAACACAAAGAGCTCCTGCCCTGTCTTCATTCCCTTCAGCATAGTCTTGACTTGACAGTCACATTGCAGCTGCCTAGTCCATCAACAGTTTGCAGAGATTTGTGTCTTTAAACAAGTTGAGCAACAAGGGTTCTGTCCTTTCTTCTCACTTATTTATTGTTACTTTTTAAGTCAGTTTGTCAACGTATAACTTATATGCACCCATTTCAATTGTCCAGTTTGGTGAGTTTGGCAAATTTGTATACACACACAACTACTACCATCATCAGTTATGTTTAGCTCTAAAATGCCCCTTCCCCAAATTCTCATGTGTCTGGAAGGCAACTGGATCATGGGGGCTCCATCACCAAGGGATTCACCACGGATGAGTAGAAAGTGTGCTGTTAAGAGGGGGGCCTGGTTTGAGGGGGTCACTGGAGCTGTGACCTGCAAGGGTGTTGCTCCTTCTCCACTCCTCCCTTCCCGGCTGCCGTGCTGTGAGTGGCTTTCCTGCACCCGAGCCCTTCCACCATGCTGGTTCTGCATTGGAGCCTGCTGACCCTACACTGAAGCTTCTGACCCTGTGAGCTAAAATAAATACCTCTTCCTTCAAGTTACTGGTGTTGGCTTGTATGTCCCAGTAACAAGCAAAGTTACTAAGATGAAGGTGTAGAAACTCCATCACCCCAAGAAGGTCCCTTTTGTTCAAGCCACCTAGCAGCCAGCAACAACCCCGCCCTAGCCACCGGTAGCACTGGCCTGCTCTCTGTGGCCTGCCTCAGCTTTGTGTGTTCCGGGGTTGATGTAAATGGAATCTCTGGGTGTGGGCTGTTTGGTGACAGTTCCTTTACTTCCCATCACAGTGTGCCAGTGTAGGCTTGTCTCCAGCCTGGGGCTCTTGGGGATAAAGAATGAGCAGCATGCGTTTTATAAATGTTTCCTGGTAACAGTTTAAGTACATCCTGGGCATTTGATAAGGATTAGTCATTTTCTGGCTTTTGATTTGAAATACCTTATTAAATTCTCAGAAGTTGGTCAGTATATTTCCAATTTCCAGACAGATAATATTCCAAAATATTGTGTAAAGCCAATTCTGGGCATTTTGAAGATGTTTTTCCTTAGGAAACTTTCCTTCAGAAGCTGCTTTTGGAGAGCACTGTCCTGGGACTACAGCCCCAAAGAAAGAAGAGCCCCCCAGTCAGCCAGCAACAGTGAGAATTGAGGCGACCCAGGGAACTGCAAGCACAGAACAGCAGGCTGGCTTCTCTGAGGACAGTCGGGTCTCAGGCCCAGTTAGGCCATCAGCAGAGGATGCCAGGGAGGTGCATCCGTGGATGAGGCTGCTTGTAAGACTGAGAAGTCCAAAGATTTAAGCTCCTCATTTTTTTTCTTTTGTCTTTTTCATTTTTATGGGTACCAGGGATTGAACTCATGACCGCCTGCTTGCAAGGCAGGTGCTTATGCCGCTGAGCTAAATCCCCAGCCCCTAAGCTCCTCATTTTAAAACTCCACATACACCAAGCTACATGCAGTCTGAAGGGTTTTTACGTTTTCCACGCCTTTGTGACCTGGTGTGACTGACTGCCAACGCTGTGGGAACCCATCTACCCTCTGTAACAAAAACTTTGGGATAGGTCCTTATCCTCATCCTCCTGGGTCCAAATGTATGCCCGAGTCAGTTCATCAGGCATGGGTATGCACAGAACTTCCCTGAGCCAGGAAGTATCTGTGATTGACTCAGATTTATTCTAGGAGCAACCCTGATTCTTTAGATTACCTATCAAACTGTCACAAGCAAGCAAAGGAAGGCCACCAGGGTTGTGAGTCCACCGCCCTATTTATAAAATCAGTGGATTTTTGTTTATTTGGTATCTTTCATTATCTGGTTTCTGAGTACAGTGGTACCTCAGTTCATGAACTTTATTTGTGTCCCAATTCTGGAAAAGATGAGCACGTTTGTCTCTGCTTCTTTTGGCACTGACATTGTGAGACACTTAGAAATACTAAAATGGGGAGGAAATGGCTCACCAGTTGTGCTTCTTGGTAGGAAAACAAAGAAGCTGATTCTAGCTAATCTGAGCAGACTTCTTAGGAATACATCATTCCTAGAATTACTGGGAAGCATGGAAGCGTAGGCTGTAGACTGAGCAAAGGATTAGGAAGCCACCACCATCAGATTGTCAGTTCAGCCACCACCACAACTGTAGTTCAATTCTTTTTTTCCCTCAGGGTTCAACCTCCATTCTGGTGGGAAGAGAGGACTGTATAATTCTGGGTCACCTACCCTTGGCCCTGCCTGCTAAGGAATGGGGCAAAGGACTGTCTGCCACAGTTTCAGCCTCTATAGTCCACAGAGGTCCCCTTCTCTCCAAACATGAAGGTGTTGAGCAAAAACCAAAAAACCATGGCCACTGTGCTCCCTAATCACATTGTCTTTAATCTGTTTCCAGACCTTCCTGTACCTGATCCTGGTCACAGCGAGGCCATGTGAGAAAGTGGTAGCATCAGAGAAAGGGACGGACCATCCCTGAAGGAAAAGCAACCCCCCTGCAGGTCCCCCTGTGGGTGGGTCCCATGGAACAGCAAGTGCATTCATCTGCTGAGGCTCTGCCACTGTGACCTGTGGTGTGGGGTTGCCTCGTACAAAAGTCAGTGTCAGGTGACAGTGTGGCAAAACTGTGGCCTTGCAGGGACAGGCTCAGAGTAAAATATTGACTCTCAATCTTTACGTACTCCTATGTGCCCCCTTCAGTAAGCCTTTAGTTTTCCTCTGACCTAAACTGGCTACCAAAAGAGATGAGAATATTCGGCCAGGTGTGGTGGTACACCCTTATAATCCCAGCACGTGGGAGGCTGGGACAGGACAACTGCGAGATCAGGGCCACCCTGGGCTACAAAGTGGGTTCAAGGCCAGCCTGAACTGCATAGTGAAATTCAATGTCAAAAAGACCAAAAAAAAAAAAAATGATAAGAATAAATTATGCCCCTCCTTCCAAACACTGCCTTTGTCTTCCTCATCCAAGAAGTTGGGGTGCTGCACCAAGACAGACTAGAGAAGTGAAAAGTAGGAACTGGACATCTCAAAAGTACCCAGTGGCATCTGCACATGCTGGCTGGTTTCCCTGGGGAAGATGGGAAAAGGACCAGGAGAGGCACACGGAGGCTTTGGCACTTCTGAATTTTTATTGCGAAAATTTATCTTACTCTACTTTGCATATGCAGCTGCTCCTCTTATACCTGTTCTTCAAAGGCATGAAAACGTTGGTCTGTGGATGCCTTCACTGTTCTCCTTAGACATGACCTGATCTGCCCTAGAGGCCCCACTCCCTCCATCCCACAGCCAACCAGTATCCTAAGCTAATAATGATGTTTTTGGATTTATTTGTACTGTAGTCTGTACTCCATAAATTGCTAAATATTATTTTGTATGTTAATATTTTACATAAACATTATCATGTGGTACTCATCCTTTTGAAACTTGCTTTTTTACTCAACAGTTTTTTGGTGTGTGTGTGTGTGTGTGTGTGTGTGTGTTTAAGATTTGCATGTGTTGATAAAGATCCAGCTCATTCTTACCCCTGTATAATATTTTGTTATCTGAATTTTTGCCTTTTGGTGGGGTGTGGAATGTTCTTTTTTAATTTTGCTGATTTTAATTTTAAAATAAGCTTGATGTCGAAAAGCATCTGAAATAAACAAGGCACAATGTCAAAATCTGTTATCATTTCCATCTGCATCACTTATACTCTAGATTTCGATAGATTTGAAAGTTTTAGAATGGAGAGGAAAGAGGAAACACCAGTGGAGAACAGGTCAGGAAAGGTAGCCTCTCCATCTAGGCTTCTGCAGCTAATCAGCCTGAGAGAAAAATAAACTTTGAGGAACCAATTTCATCTCATTTGCAACTCATGGGAATCTGCCTCCCCGGGAAAGGCCGGAAAGTCTTGACCTTGGGCTGAATGAAGGCTGTTTGTTTAGCTGCTTGGTTTGGAGCATATTGGTAGATAGCCAAAATGGGCTCAATGGAATTTGTTATAGGCCTGGCTATTTTAAAAGAGAAATTGGCAAGGAACCATTTCACAGAACTGCTATGCGACATCATTTTAAAAATATTTATAACATGTAAACTATAAATAATCCAAATGATAAATACCCGTCACAGCTTTGACTAGGCCAACCTTTGACTCCCTCAACACCCTACAATCTCGGGTTAAGAGAGGTCAATTCCTCTTCTCCTGTGTCTGCTGGATACCCTGTGGGACCCCAAGTGGCTCTCAGGGTCTCTTCAGGGAGGCCTGGCAGGAGTCAGAGCTTCCCGTGAGTGGTGCTTCCACAGAGCCGTTGATCACTGATGGAAGCACTGCCCTAAGTGAATCAGAGACCTGCAAGCATCTGATGGAATTACCAGTACGCAGCATGGGATCAGAATGAGCAGGAGCCCCATTTTATTCCCTGCTCCTTTCCATAGGCAGTCTCCACAGATCCCCAGTGTTAAGAGAGAGCCCCATTTAAATTATTTTCAGGTCATAGGGCCTCTGTTGCTTCTAACTTCAAAACGGAGCTTTCTCCTTGGTAACTGCTGGAGCCCATGTTATTTCCTGAATGCCCCATAACCATGCACCCCAAAGCTGTCAGGCACACTGACATGCCCTTCTCTCCACCCAGGGTATGACTTCTGCCAGGTGCTGCAGTGGTTTGCAGAGCGAGTCGACAGGATCATCCTGCTCTTCGATGCTCATAAACTGGACATCTCAGATGAGTTCTCGGAGGCCATCAAGGCTTTCCGGGGCCAGGATGATAAGATCCGTGTGGTGCTGAACAAGGCTGACCAAGTGGACACACAGCAGCTGATGCGGGTCTATGGGGCCCTCATGTGGTCCTTGGGCAAGGTCATCAACACACCCGAGGTGCTTCGAGTCTACATTGGCTCCTTCTGGGCACAGCCCCTGCAGAACACAGATAACCGCCGGCTCTTTGAAGCTGAGGCCCAGGACCTCTTCAGAGACATCCAGAGCCTTCCCCAGAAGGCCGCAGTGCGCAAGCTCAATGACCTCATCAAGCGAGCCAGGCTGGCCAAGGTAAGCTGGTGACACCAGGTCAATATCTAGGCTAGGGTGCTCCATCCCAGAGGCCTAGGGATGAGACACGTGACAGAGGAAGATCGAGGAGGCCTCCATACATCTCAGTTGCTGCTCTGTGAGCTCGGGCCAAGGGTTTGGCCTCTCTAAACTTATTTTCCAATCTTTAAACTGGAGCAGACAAGGGCACTTCATATGGTCCTTTCTAAGGATTCAGCATGACAGTTTGCCACTGTGGCAAACTGCATGACATAGGCCCTGACATACAAGGTAGGACCTATCAGGGTACTTGCTGCTTGCAAACTGTTCTTAGGACAGTGGTAGTGAAACTATCAGGTAGCTGAACCTGAGGGAGGTGGCCTAGGTGGAACTAGCAGGGTGCTGAGAGGCAACCCCTAGGAACCACATACCTAAGGTTAGAACTCATGTCACCTCCTGAACACAGAGGAGCCCTGGAGGAAGGTTGGCCCCCCCAACCCAGAGTGTGTGCTGGCCTGAGGACACACCTGCCTCCTCTCTGTGCTGTAGCTGCTCATCTATGTGTTTTGGCCCTAGCCCTACCTCTCCGCAGCCCCTGAGGCACATATGCCCTGTGGGCTGAGCAGCAATCTGCTGACCTCTCAAGCAGCAGAGTCAGTCGTGTCTCTGAAGAGAGAAAAGCATGTCACCTCTCCAAGAAGTATAAGGAAAAGAAGACTCTTTAGAAAATCTGTATACATTACATGAAATTATTGTCTTCTAATACTGGAAGCATTTCTAGAGTCACAGACCTGGCTGGTCCTCAGAAACCTGTCCCTGTGTGTCCTTACAATATGCACATATGCTCCTCTGTGTCAAAAGAGACGCATCCTGGGTGACTCTGATGAGCAGCAAAGGTTGGGATCACAGGTCTATGCTGACCCCTGTTTCACAAGGCAAGGTAAACTAGAGCTTTCTGCAGAATCACCTAATCCATTTGAGACAAACCTGAGGTTGAACATCAAGCTTCCTGGTAGGCAGCCCCGCCTTCTGTTCTGGGCCCATCCTTCTCATGCCAGTCTACAGCCTGCATCTGCAGAGCCACTGAGGTTTGGTTGGGAAGTGAGGTCAGCCCAGCTTTGGCTGGTCTTGGGGTGCCAGAGAACCCATGTCCCCTACTGCATTACTCCTAATTTTTGTCTGGCCTCAGTACAGCGATCAACCCTCTGGAGTCTACCTCATTCATCCAACAGGAATGAGTGGACAAGACTCAGCGCCCGAGGGAGGACTGAGGAGCTCGGCCTCAGGGAGAAGGGAAGAGGGGGGGTGGGGGCAATTGCTGTGGGTGCCTGTTCTGCAGGGGCAGTGAGGTACCCACTGGGGATAGGCAGGCAGAGCTTCCCTGAGGAAGACACCGGGGAGGGCCACAGCCTCCCAGCCTGTTCTTGCTCCTTAGCAGCCACCTTCATACCCCCAGTAGCATCTCTTCTGTGTCAAAAGAGACGCATCCTTGGCTGTCGCCGCTCCATCCTGTTTCCTGTCTGCTCACCTCCTGAGCAGTGCAGGCATATGCATCCCTCCCAGTGGCTCAGCGAAGCTGAGGTCACACAGTTCTTGTGTGAGTCACCACACTTTATCCTTTCTTCCCAATGCAAGCTGCTTCCTCTCTCTGGAATGGCAAGCCACTTTTTTCCAGTCCTGCAAGGCAGTTATACTAATTGGTTTGGAAATCCACTTGCCTGTCGCTCTCCCACATTATCTTTTCTCGAGCTTCCCTGGATCTAATGCTTGGTGGCAAGAAGTCTGTTTTTGCCCCTTCAGTGGCCTCCTCAGCATGCCCTGTCTCTCTCATCCAGCTTAACTTCAGAGTATGAAACAGCCCATGTTGCTTTAGAATCAAAGCTGGTAACTCATGCCATAGCTTTTGCAAATTTTAACATATTTTTCCCCACTATTTTTAATTACCCAATTGCCAGTCTTTACTCAGGGCCTGGATCCTCAAGAAACTGCCGTATTAGGTTATATAACTCAGTAAGGAACAAAGATCAGGCTAGAAGTACCAAGCACCATAGCCCCTGGGGCTTCCCTGCCACCCTGAGCATCTGCCCTTTAAACAGGCCAGTGTGGCTGAGGTTTCAAGAGGCACAGAATGTGGCTCTGTGTTCCACCACTGTGAATAATGAAAGCCCTTGTACAGATGCAGGGAGGCAGGGAGGCTCAAACTTGCTGAGCTTACTTATAGGAAAAAAGCTTGCATTTCTTTTCTTCCTAAGAATAGTATCTGGCTTGTTCCTTTTCACAAAGGAAAATCTTTGAGGTGCGGGTTCTTCCAGCCTGAGCTTCTCAGTGCTGGGTGCTCTGGGGCAGTGCCATGCCGAGTTACAGAGCAGGAAGCAGGCTCAGCAGCATGAGGAGCAGAGCTGAGCACAGTAGATCCAGTCACGGATGAGTGGCACTCATGTTAGACCACCAGCAGGATTTGTTTTGGCAGCGGTGAGGACCAAACCCAGCGCCTTGCACGTGCTGGGTACCAGTTTCCCAGTGAGCTGTCCCCGGCCCTCTGCCTGCCATTTTCCATTATACTTGTGAACCTTAAAAGGACAAGCAGCCACTTGAGCTTTTCTCTTTAGAATGTTCTATTTTCTAAAAATGTTTTTGCTTTGCTTTTGTTTTTTGGCTTTCGTTTTTGAGACAGTCTCACTGAGTAGCCCACACTGGCTGCAAACTCAAAGCCTCCTGCTCAGCCTCCCAGTCGCTGGGATTACAGGCTTTTAGTCTGGTGTATTCATCTTTCTCCTCTTGATCTAGTTTTCCTTTTGAAGCCAACAGTCCTCCGAGAGCCACACAGCTTGCATTATGTGTGTTATTTTCTCTGATCCTGTCAGTAGGCACACAGAGTCGTCCTCCTCCTCCTCCTCCTCATTTTACACACGTAGGCCTGACCCTTGCAAAGGTGGGCTAACATCCCTGAGACTCACAGCCTGTAAAATGTGAGTGTGTGTACTTGTGTACATTACATTCCACATCCAGGTGGTCAGACTGCTAGATCCAGAAAGTACTCACTTGCAATCTGGAGTAGACAGCCCCTTCTTTACACCCTTGCTTCTGCATTTTAATCTGCCGTTCTGTTTGTTCTAGAAAATTCCCCACCCACAGAAACCTTTACAAGCTGAGAGGCTTGTTGAACTGAAATTTTGAAAACAAAAACAGGGGGCTGGGGATTTAGCTCAGCGGCATAAGTTCCTGCCTTGCAAGCAGGCAGTCGTGAGTTCGATCCCTGGTACCGATAAAAACGAAAAAGACAAAAAAAAAAAAAAAAGAAAAGAAAAAGAAAACAAAAACAGGACTAGTTTTCAGATATCACTTAAGCAGTGACATCTGAATTGACTCTTGGGATACCTGATTATAGACTGCTGTAATTAAGCAGATTCCATGGCCCATCCAGAGAAAACAAATATGTCCTCATTTTAATTAAGGTGTCACAAAGATGACATTGTAACAATATCAAAAATAAGTACAGTTGCCAAAATCAGTTAACTTCTAGGTCCTCTGGTTTTTCGAGGCAAGGTCTTGCTTTGTTGTTCAGGCTGGTCTGAATTTTGCTATGTAGTCCAGACCTGGCTCAAACTCTCAGTCTTCCTGCTTCAGCCTCCCAAATGCTGGGGTTACAAGCATGCACTGCCACAGCTGGCTCTCTCTTGTCCATCTGTATTTTTTTTTTTACAGTATCTGTCCCAAAGCCAGAAAATCTCAGAGTGGGCTTAGCAGGGTACAGAGACCAGGTCTTGTGGTATCCATAGGCAGCCTGCGTGAAGACTGCTTACTCTCTAAAGTCTCTAAAGTGCACTGCAGGATTGTTTAGAATGAGCATTTAGAGAAAACCTTGAACAAGGGTTTGCAAATATGTTAGTTTTTTCAGCTCTAATAAATTAGACTCATGGAAATCAAAATCATCTTTATGAGAGAAATGGACTAAAGTAAAAAGAGAGGCAAGTTTACTACAGGTCCAACCCTTCATAAACACATTGCCCAAGATTCGGAAACATTCCCACCCACTTGGAGAACCTCACTCAACAAAAAAAGGTAGCATTTGAGGAAGGAACCAGTAAAAAATGAGAAAGAAATGGAGAGCTCAGTGATTTTGAGGGTTCACTATAGTTCTGCAAAATTCAGTTTCGTCTTCCGAACGTGCTTTCCCCTCAGTCACGTGTGTTATGCAGAGCCTGGCTTCCCTGTTCCCGAGAAGTGAGGCCCTTTGTACCCATGCATGAGCCCGGCTCGGGATGTGAGGACTGCTGTGTGCTGGGTGGGACTGAGCTCTTTATTGTTTATCCACCTTGAGGCTTTAAAAATAGCCCAGCCGGCAGCCAGAGCTGTTGTAGATGTCAGTGCTTGAGCCCATATACGGAAGCCTCTCACTTTGCAGCTTGACCTCAGATGTCTCCGCAGCCCCCTTAAGTCCCTTTAAGGCTGTTCTGGATCACAGGAGTCACGGGGGCCAGCTTTGATCTGAACACAGTGACAAACCCTTGCTCAAGCAGGAACCAATGAGCTGCCCGTCGGTGTCTCTTTCAGACTCACATTTTATTACCCCATGGGTTTATCTTTCCACTCTCTGCTCTATTAACTGAAATTTTCCTCCTCAATACTGTGGACTGACCCAGGGTCCTCACACTGAACTATATCCCCGGTCCTTGTTTATTTTTTATTTTAAGGCAAAGTCTCACTAAGTTACTAAGTTGCCCAAGCTGAATTCCAACTTAATTCCTGCCGCAGCCTCCCAGAGTGCTGAGATTACAGTCATACAACAACACCGCATCTGGCTATTAATGGAATTTTTCATATCTTCACAAACCCACTTCTTAAACGTGCTGATTCCCTGATTGTAAGTGTTCTGTATGTGTTTCCAGCTGAGCTTATAGAAACACAGGTCCCCACCAGTTTTTTTAAGTTTGCAAATGAATGGCAGGATGTCTAATCCTGCTTCCCCACCTGCCTCTGGAAACCACTGTCCAAAAGCTACATGCCATGAAGGCATCTGTTCCACCTGATACCTGTCCCCATAAGGGGCGAGGTGCTGCCTCCCAGTCCCAATGGGCTGAGCCAGTCTCTCTCCTGAGGCATCACTCCTAGATGATTTAGGACTTTTCCAATTTTATGGAAGGAAAAGGATGAATGGCACAAGATAAGACTGTTGCAAAGCCCACAGAGGTCAATGTCATTCACTTGTGAATTAAGCATTTGAGCCCAGGTTCATCATGTTACTGTTCAAACAGAGACAATGTGCTAGTTCCTCAGTAAGGACGAAGAACCAAACACTCTTGGGCAGTGGTTCCTTCAGCTGTCAGCCTTAGGCCAGTGGTTAAAAATGAGTAACATTTATCCTTCCCTCCCGAGTAGACCAAGCGTACTCCAGTGCATCATCTATGCTTCTCATAATAACTGTGTGAGATAAGTGCTGTCATTTGCAGTGTGTGGATGACAAGCTGAGGTGAGGCTCCCCTTGGGTTGTCCAGAGTGGTGACAGGGCCAGGCCTGCTGTTCCATCCCCTTCCCTCCCTCCAACTCCTCCTTCTGAACACTGTTCTTCCCTATTCTCCCTTTATTAATTCTCTTCATTATATAGGACAGAAAATCTCAGGCTCTTTCCACCTCTTTGCACAGGGGCATCTCCCAGTGTGGCCCTCAATCCAGAATTTAGCTGGAGAGACATCTCCGAACACGAGGGCAGGAGTGAGCTTTTCAAGTCAACTGTGATTTGTGCCATTTAGCCTGTCCCCTGTGTTTACCAAGCATCTTTAAAAAATGACAAGGTGCCTCCTGCCAGAGGATTACAGCCTCTTTCTGTATTCCCAGGTGGTGTCCCTAATGTCTGTGTGCCATGACATAGCCATTTTTGCTGTGCGGTAAAGCGAGAGTAATCATCCTCCCTTAAAACTTCCACAAATGAGGAACGATCCAAAATCAAACCCTGAGTCAGTTTTCCAAACTATTGTTCTATGAATCTGCCTTAGTTACTTTTTACTCATCGCTGAGACAAAATACTTGATGCACCAAGTTGGGAAAGGAAAGGTTTATTTCTTACAGTTTTTGGAGGTTTCAGTCCATACTCAGTTGGCTCCAAGGCAGGGTGGCATGGCAGGGCTGCAGTTCATGGCGGCTGCAAACAGCAAGACAGAATCAGGCAAGAGAGAGAGAGACACACCTTCTTCCTGCCATTACATTACATCCTGGCTCCACCCCTAGGCGGGTGTAGCACTCACACCTTCAAATCCAAGTGCTAGACAATGAACCAATCACAAATGCATAATACAAACACATGAGGCCTGGGGGCCACCGACGTAAACCATAAACCATGACAGAGTCATAGTTCTGAGTTCCAGATTTTAAACTTAAGTGAGATTTTTGTTGTTGTTGTTGTTTAGTATTAGGAGGTCAAATCCAGAGCCTCACATACGCTAGGCAAGTGCTCTACCTCTGAGCTACATCCTCAGCCCTCTCCTCACTTAAGTTTTTAACTCACACTCACAGAAAATAATTTTGTAAGGGTGGGAATAGGGCCTTTGGGTGCCAGTGCCAGCCCCATGCCTCCTAACTATTTGTGTGACCCGGAGGAAAGTATACAAAATTCCTGGAACCAGGAGTTCCATTAGACAGACTGTCCCTCCCATACTCAATCCTCTACAATTCTGATTTACCAGGCACCTTAATCAACTTTTTAAAGCTAGGGCTCCCACATGGAATCTGAGGCTGGGCCAAAACTGGAAGTGGGCTGAGAGTAGCATAGCTGATCGCCCGAGGGTGATGATTCAGATAATACCAGGCAGGTAACAGGTGGGGGAAGTTAGCACTCAATACAAGAGCTGCCCCCGGTGTGTCAGAGGACTGGAAGCCCAGGGTCCGAGGGCAGCCTATTATCCAGCAGCCTCAGTCATCAGCTGGCAAGTGCCACAAGATCTCCAATTAGGTATTAGGTGGCCATGAGCACATTATCTCCTGAGTTCAGCCCAGGCTACACAGGCCTGCCAGGGATCGGGATTAGGTGTCCAGTTTACAGAGCAAGGGCGGGGTGGGAATGAATCAGAATTTGGAGCAGTGATGAAACCTTCCCGGAACAGCTCAGCAATGTCTCCCTAAGCAGCCTGTAGGAGCTGGGCCTCTGGGAATGGGCAATCAGTAGGAGCTCCTCATGGGGGGCTGCCAAGCAGCTAGAAGCTTCCTACCTCCACTGGAGCTGGCTGCTACTCAGAGCAGGGCCGGCCTGGGCCAGGCCATAATTTCAGGGAGATTCTGCCCAAGAGTACAATGCAGGGGCAGATGGCAATTATCTGGTTCTTCCCACGGGAGTGTGGCAGTTCCGTAAGTACTTGGGACTCCCCCAGCTCCATCCATGCTTCACCAGGCAGTCACCACCCAAGGCCAGGCACTAGCTCCTCTTACAACTCATCATAGCCTAGGATTCTTTTTTTGGAGGGAGGTACCAGGAATCGAACTCAGTCCCATGCTTGCCGGGCAGACACTGCTGCTGAGCTAAATCCCCAGACCTCTTTTTTTTTTTTTTTTTTTTGTACCAGGGATTGAACTCACTCACACAGGCAATTATACCACTAAGCTAAATCCCCAGTCCCATAGCCTAGAATTCTAAGGGAAAGTTTCCTTTTTATCTCTAGAAAATCTTGGAAATACTGTAAATCATTTAGTATTGAAAAATAAACAAGATTGCCAGTGACGGAAAGATTGAGAATCATCTCTCCAGTTCTGTGTACTCTGAGCCATAGCTGGCAACGCAGCACGCACTATGCTGAGATGACCTTGGTGTAGATGGAAAAGTTAGCCCTGTCCCCTGTTCATACCAGGTTTGCATCATGCACCCCTCATCTTAGCAAATGTGTCCGGCTTTGTCTGGTGTGTCCCCATCCACAGAGCACCTTGGCTGAGCTACAGAATGTATCCACTTATCACTTACCCCGTTTATTTAATTCCCACGAGATTATGTTTTCTTTAATAGGGCTTCCCATAGCTATGTAGTCATTTTCTTTTTGTAATCTCTGCTCTGTTTTTCATTCTTTCTTATTTATTTACTTGACTTCTGAATTACTCTGTAAGAGACAGCCCCTACAGGAAATCTTTTGTGATGAACGTGTCACATTGCCCTGAACTGGGAAGCAGTGAAAGAATAGATATGTTGAGAAAGGGCATGACACAGGCTAAACTCAGCTCTCCCGCCCACTGGGTGACCATCCTGATGATCAGGATTTCAGGGGCTTCTCCCTCACACACCCAGGCTTCTCTGCAGGGGCAGTTTCTGCCAACCAGCATGGTCCGGGGTGACTGGTCTTGGTGCCACCTATAGAGATTTTGGCATCTAAACTTCCCACAGAGTTGTGGGCATTCTTGTGTCATTGCTCACTAGAGAGTTTCCGTGTAGATCAGCCATTGCTATCAGTCTCCAGTTTCATTTCCTGGTGCCCTGAGGACCAGGTGAAATCTTCTCCTATGTCTTCTGGTTAATCACCACATCTCAGGTCTGTCCCACACCTGTCACTTCCTACCCAGACCCCAGAATTGCCACAACTGGGCTGGAGCCATGGAATTTCCCCAAGTCAGTTACCCTGCCTAGAGGGCTGTGTTTAGGACCTGGGACATCCTCTTCGCTATTCCATACTGCCCGGTCTGTTCCAGCCCACCTGGGAAGCAGGTTGCTCTCAGTCTATGTGCTCTGTCGGCTCCTAGTACTTGGTGAGGAGAGTCTGTAGGCAGCCCACCCTCCTTCACCTCCCAAACCACATCCATGACATTGCCCCCATGCATGGTGTGACACCTCAGCCCATGCTCTTTCCTCCACAGGACTGGTGCATTCCTCCCCTCAGCCACACATCCTGTCTGTTCTGCAAGGCCAAGTTTTTTTTTTGTTTGTTTGTTTGTTTTTGTCTTTTTCCTTTTTATCGGTACCAGGGATCGAACTCACGACTGCTTGCAAGGCAGGCGCTTGTGCCGCTGAGCTAAATCCCCAGCCCCTCGAGGCCAAGTTTTATATCATCGCTTCCTCGATCTGTTGTCCCATCACCCTGACCTGTCACATTCCACCTCCCAGAGTCCTTCTGGCTCCTCTTCCATCTTGCTCTTGGTCGTGGTGTTCTCGCTTTACTCTCCCTGCATGGTTGCAGTTTCTCCCTTGGCTCTGTCCGCCCCACCCTACTGCCAGCTCTCAAATCCATGGTCCTGCCCAGCACTCGGGACTCTGTACATACATCCCAGCCCCCTTAGACAGTCTCCTCCCCAGACTTTGCTCCCACCCGTGTGTGAGGACCATGGCTCTGTATGGGTGCCCTTCTGTGTCGTTGACATATATAAGATGCAGTCTCTTTTCTGGAGCAGTTCTGAGTAGCACATCTTTACCTGGCATCCCCCTTCAGGTACATGCCTACATCATCAGCTACCTGAAGAAGGAGATGCCAAATGTGTTTGGAAAGGAAAACAAGAAGCGAGAACTTATCTACAGGCTCCCGGAAATCTACCTTCAGCTGCAGCGAGAATACCAGATTTCTGCAGGGGACTTCCCTGAGGTCAAGGCAATGCAGGTAACTGGGAGCCCATTCCCATGTCATGGGACGGGAGGGTGATGCAGTGGGGCGCAAGAGGGGCTCGTGGTTTAGGGTCAAAAGGAACATAAGAATCTGTCCCCCTGGATGAAGCAGAAACTGCCTGCTTTCCTGAACATTTAAGCAGAAGAGGTAGCATAGCCAAGCTCATTGGCATTCATGTGGAGAAATCAGTTGAGCCCTCTGAGGCTGTGCTCAAGGAAGTGGCTTTGATGCTGAGGTAATGCCCGTTTCTCAGAATCCTGCACCTTAAGGGAATCGGAGCTGGTATTGCCTTGAAATTCACCTTGGACAGCCTCCTTCGCCTGCTGGCACCATGGGATTATGTGCTCAGGGGGCCTCCTCAGGGGCGTGGGGCTCTGTGGATGTGGCCAGGCTTTGTCGGACATAACAAGGATTTTGCTAAAAGGCTGGTGCTGGTGACCTTGACCCAGTATCAGAGCCATTCTCAAGTTGAGTCTGGGAGGTCCCAACTGAGCTAGGCTGGGGGTTGCGGTTAGCTGCTGGACTGCCCAGTGTGTCTGCCTCCTCCTGGCAAATCAGACAATCATGTTCTCCTAAGAGAGCCACCCAACTGGCATCAGCAGACAGTCTTTGCCGCCAGACTGATGGTCGGCTCATCCGGATACACATCCATCTGCACAAAGCCACTGTTCTGTGGAGTCCGTGATACCAGCTCAGGTGCCTGTGGCCCCAGCCAGTATTGGGACCAAGGGAAGCCACCCAGGTAGAGAAGCACAGATGACCCTTGCTGACCACCTGCTTCTGACTGCCCCATCTGACAGGCACTTGAATTTGCATACAGAAGACACAGGTCTGCCCCTGCCATGGAGCTTATGGGCCCCTCATGGGGAAAGCATACTCAGTCTCCATGGGGACACTCTGTGCAGCCTAGTGAGCACCACTCTGAGGAAAGACAGGCCTGTGTGATCACAGAGAATCTAGCTTTGTATGTAAAAGCACCTGGTTTTCAAATTTTGACTTGAACTTTCAAAAAATTACTACACGGGCCAAACAGAGGTCATCTGCTTATCTGCTGTGCCCTAAGATCATTCATCACATCTGCCCCAAGCCACAGAGGCCAATGTCATTGAAGTAGCAGTGCACAGAACCAAGGTCCCTGCTAGAGGAGGAGGAAGAGGAGGGGAGAAGGGACCACAGTACTATAGAGTCAGGGGCCAGCAGGTGGGGACAGTGGCAGGAGTTTTGTTCTGAAGGTGGTATTTGGTAATGTGAGGTTTAATACATCACACGGAAACACAGGGTGGATCCTGCTGATCTGGGGAGAGTTCTTTTCACCTAGGCTCAGGTGAGCATTCTGGTCCAGCTGTATTTCATAACAAGTACAGAAGCATCTGTTCTCTTCCAGCAGTGAAACTAACATGCCTGTACGCAGAGGATAAATGGGGTTTCTCCTGTTACAAGTGGGCTGATTCAGGCCTCTCCAGAAAGTTCCCCATTCACACTCTCAGGCTGTGCCCGATCCTGTGACCAGCTGTTTCCGTTGTCTTTCAAATGGACCTTTAGTTGGAAGGGAACTTGATGTCTCAACTTAAATGAGTTATAAGAAAATACATAGCATGTGCCATGGCCTCATGGGCCCTCTGTGATTCCTTTACATGCCCAGGCTGTCACCATGTGTTAGCTACAAGAAGAGGATGCTCCTGAGACCAGGGCATCCTAAGCCCCCAGTTATAGGGCGCTGACTTCAGGACCAGAGCTACTCATATCAGAGTTAGGCTGGGCCTGGCGGTGTCATAGGACAGCCAGGCTGCCAGAGCTGGAGCAGAGGAACGGTCCCTGGGAAAAACCAAGGAAACCATCATCTCTGGAGCAGCAACAGGCTGTCCAGCTGGAGGCCACAGGAAGGGTCCAGGTGTGTTGACAGCCCTGTGGATCAGACTCCACACCAGGACCCATAGCAGCGGGTCACTTGTGTCCACTTCTTCCTTCATCTGAGACATGAAATGGCCCACCACAGCCAGGCACTGTTCTCAGTCCTGGGAATAAATCAAACAAAAAAATGAATGAGGTTAAAAATAATTTAGTCTTTACATTGTGACACTGGCAGTGAGGCTTTGGGCAGCGAAGTCTGTTGTTGGGTACACACTGCTTGCTACAGCATGAATGCTGTGTGCTTCAGAGTAATTAATTGCATCATTTCCTGTCTGTCTTCCTCAAGGCTGTGACTCCATGAGTTCAGTGACCCATGTTCTGTTCTCTCCCCTATTCCCGGCATCCAGGATGCAGTGGCTGCTCAGTGTACCTCAGTTACTACGTGTTCATGTGATGGCACCTGTAGGGTAGTGAGCTTTTCAGACCCTGGCCCAGATCTGAACCACAGAGAGCTTATAGATCAGGGGTTTCCAGAGGAACCCCTAGGAGCTGAAGGATGATTTCTCCTTGGGAACCCAGCTGGGTTCTAACTATATCATCCAGTCTCATTAAAGAACCCCATGGAATGAGGCGGGCCAGTGGCCCATCAGAAATGTTTACTGTCCCCTGTGTATCAGCTACCTGCTGTCATCTAGGAAGCTGGCATGGTGTGGGTGAGGGCCTCTCCACCCCAGAGGCCGGTGAGAATCTAACACCCTCCATGGGACCTCTCCGGTGTCTGGTATAGAGGTGGGGACGGAAGCTGAGAGACGACTGTGTCGTGGACTTCACCCCTATCAGGGTGGTCTGGAGCTTGTGTAAGTCAGCTAGCTCTAGGTGTTCTCCACACCCTCACAGACCCGTCTGGTCAGGTGACTCAGCTGTTGAATGAGCTAAGCCTGCATTCCGAGGCTTCCCGTAGTGGTAGGACAGGCTCTGCTCCTGAGCCTGCCTTCGTCTGTCCTGCCTTCCCTGAAGGAAGCTGACTTTTTGCACAGATGTGTCAATACCTAGAAATGCCACTTTGACTCACTTCCGGGAAGAACAGCATGGCCCCGTGACTGATGAGTTGGCAGCACATCAACAGCAGAGGGCAGCACAACCACCGCTGTCTGCCCCGCCCTCCTGGCGCTGAAACCCCACTCCTGGTGTCCCTTGGGAAGCCTAGGGCTGCGATAGCCCGGCCAGCTTGGGTTGAGCTGGGAACTGACCTTTGTCTCTCGGGAAGGAGCAGTCCCAGGGCCCTGGCTTGCTGGATAATTGCCAAGGGGTCCATCCTCAAACTCCCCAGTGTAGTCGTCCCAGAAAAACACTTCTGTTTCAGACCCACCTTGATGGAAGGGATGATGATGGTTTAACTTGAACGCCATGCTCTCTGCTCAGGCCTGTATGTAGGGTTTATGTCCTTTGTGCCCTTCGGGGGAGGAATAGCAGCTGTTCTCTGACCGCCCCTGCAAATACTTGGCCATTTCCTGTCAGTTTCCCAAACACATGCCTTCAGAATCTATGGCCCCTGTGAGCTGATAGTGTTAGGGTAGGCATCCCCCTCTCGTATCTGCCAGGCCAGACGCAGGGGCTCTGCGTGGTCCCGGTTCAGGTGCACTCCTGCGCTATAGTGCAGGTATTCATGTACCAGGGAACCCAGCCTTCTTTACCCAGCAGTGCTGGGATTTTTGTGTAGGATGCTTCCTCCTCCTCCTCTTCAACATATTCTTTTCAGTCCCCTGGCTGACAGATCTGGCATTATTGCTTGGTGCCAAGGTTGAGGGTGACATGCTGGTGACTATAATCATCCAGTGAGGATGAAGGGCAAGGGAACCAGAATTCTCTTTAGAGAGCAGTCCTGCTCCACCCCATTGCCCAGAGAAGGACACAGGTCACACTGGGGTGTCATCGCAGCCCTGCAGGGTTTGATAGCAGTGTGGGAGGCCCTCTTTTAGAGACTCACCAGGCTGGCTAGCTTCCGCTAACATGTCTCTACAATCTAAAGCTCAGGGTGCCCAGAAATATCAGCACAGAACTGCTGCCCTACCACGCATCCTAGAGACCATTTGATTCTCCATTACAAACAACCTAGGGGACAGGGTAAAGGGGAAATGACCCTTCTAGACAGTTAAGTTATAGAGCTACTAAGAGTAAGATTATATAAAAATTAACAGCATAGACAATATGAGTTTTTTTTTTTTTTTTCCAGTATTGGGAATTGAAGCCAGGGACTTCACACTTAGCTGCATCCCGGGCCTTCTTTTAAATTTTAAATTTTGGGATGGGATCTCACTAAACCACTATTACCCAAGCTAAACTTGGACTTATGCTCCTTTTGCCTCAGCCTCCAGAATGCTGGGATTACAGGCTTGTGCCACCATGCACAGCTGATACATTAGTTCTTTAACATGCTGATTGTGTATCAGTGTGGTGTTACTGAAGTGTGTGTGTGTATGTAAAAGTGGCTAGAAATGTATGCCCATGCTTGTGAAATGATGGCTGATGGCTATTATTACTCTGTATCTGCAAGATTCCCACACTCCTGACCTAGATATGCCGCAGAGGGCCGATTCCACAGGGCCCCCTGCCCCATCAGCATTTGGGGCCATTCATAAGAGATTACTGCCCTAAACTATGTTGGCGTTTTTTGTTGTCATCTTTCTGTTTTTCTTTCTTTTCTTTCTCTTTCCTTCCTTCCTTTCTTTCTTTCATTCAGCTGACCCAAAACAAAGTTCTTAAGTACTTTTTCCTCAAATACAGTCCCCCATCCCTCCCAGGATAGCATTAGTGAAGAGCCGGGACGTGTGGGCCCGGTCTTGACTCCATCAAGGCACCTTGTGTCTATAAAACAAGGTTGGAAATAGTGTTGCCTTCCCTAACCAGGAAAGGCACGAGGATTAGCTGATAACGTTTAGAGTATTCAGAAAAAGGGGCAGGTAAAAATAAAAGATTTTCTCAAAATCCTAGTCATGCAACTTTTCCTTCCAAAACCCTCCCTTCCCAGTGAGTCTGGGTGTGGGGACCCCATGAGAGAGCAAGCTCTGGAAAACACAGGGTAGGTGGGGGAGTTCATCTCCCTCCATCTGCCTTCCCTGTTCCTTTCTGAAGAGAGAGCGGGTCTTTAAGGCTGTGTTTTCTCCTGCAGGAACAGCTTGAGAACTATGACTTCTCCAAATTTCACTCGCTGAAGCCCAAGCTGATCGAGGCTGTAGACAACATGCTGACCAGCAAGATCTCATCCCTCATGAGCCTCATCAGCCAGGAGGAGATGAACGCACCCACGCAGATGGTGCAGGGCGGCGCCTTTGATGGCACCATCGAGGGCCCCTTCAACCAGGGCTATGGGGAGGGAGCCAAGGAAGGCGCCGACGAGGAAGAGTGGGTTGTGGCCAAAGACAAGCCGGTCTACGATGAGCTCTTCTACACTCTGTCACCCATCAACGGCAAGATCACAGGCGTCAACGCCAAGAAGGAGATGGTAACCTCCAAGCTGCCCAACAGCGTGCTGGGCAAGATCTGGAAGCTGGCCGACTGTGACTGCGATGGCATGCTGGACGAGGAGGAGTTCGCGCTGGCCAAGCATCTCATCAAGATCAAGCTCGATGGCTACGAGCTGCCCAACAGCCTTCCTCCCCACCTCGTGCCCCCCTCGCACAGAAAGTCCCTGCCAAAGTCTGACTAAAGGCCCCCACAGAACAGGGTGGGTAGGGAGGGCAGGAAGGGGGAGCTAAGACCTGCTCTGCCACTGACTGTGGAATGGCCTTGGGCAAAGCACTGCCCTCCCTGTGCCTCAGTTTCCCCATCTGTACGATGAGGAGGCCAGACACTGGATACCAGACACCAGACGAGGTCCTTTCACCTCTAAAACTCTAAGTTTCTGTTAAAATATAAGGGGGAGTGGGAATGGATTAGATCAGAAGTTTGAGAAGAAAGGGGAATTATTCAGGGTACCCAGGAGCCTGGAAGAACACATGTGCAGGGATGGGCTTGGTGGACTCCTGGACCGGAGAGTGAGCTGGGGTCCTTGCAGGAGCAGAAAAGTGTGTGGGCCACACTGGGCTTTGTCATCTCAAACCGTGGCTCAACACCTGTCTGTCCCTTGGAGGACACTAAGAGGCAGCAAAGATGATCCTATTTATTTTGTTTATTGTGTTTTCTGCTATATTTGGAGAGAAAAAAATAAAGCAGAAGATCCCATGCCCTCCAGACTAATGAGGAGGCTAATGCCCAGGCTTGTCTGCTGTACCCCTCTCCTAAGCAAGCAGGGCAGATCTGTCCCAGTGCCCACCCCTGCCAGGCCTCCTTCCAGGGTGCTTCTGGCAAAGCAATAATTGGTAAGAGATTTGGAACTCACAACCTCTGTGGATCTCCTGCGAGACCTCCAGGTAGCATTTCAGGTCATCTTGAAGTCTGAGGATTAGCCTGTTTTGCCAATTTGCCCAGCAGGTGCTAGTGAATCCACTTAGCAGAACTAAACCACACTCATTGTTTAGTATAGTCCCCATCACCTAAGGCTTCTTGGGGGGTGACAGAACTTAAATTCAGCAGAACCTCGTCTTGGTGTGTGCAGTGCTCCAAGCCCTATTTTCAGAGTATTCAAGGAGAGATCAGTCTAGTGGAGCTGGACACTGCTTTGTAGAAAAATAGGCACTTTTCTTACACTCACTTGTGTTTTTCTTATAAAAGGCTTTATACAGAAATGTTTATGTAAACCCTTTCTTCAGAGCCTGTGTGTTCTGCCCATGAATGCCCATCTGGAGGCGGGACTTGGCCACTTTCCCTTCCATTGGCTCTTGGGTGTCTTTCCCAAGCCCTCAGGTTTACCTGGGCCACCTGCTTGGATTCCTGGGTCAGGTGGAGGTGGCTGTTTGCACCACCACCCTCCCCACACTAAGGAAACAGCTGGGGCAGCAGGTGGCTTTTACCCTATTTATGCAATGGGAGAGAGTCACAAAGCAGCAAAGGCTGTGTGACCTGGACTTTGCCAGCATCATAAATCAGTGAAATCCGACAGTCTCACTGAACCTTCCAAAAGCCACATTTTTTACTCCCTTTTCCTTTTACCCACCTCCAGTGTCATCAGGGTCAAAACTGCACATTTAAGAGAAAATACTGAGCCAGGTGTGGTGGCACGTGCCTGTGATCCTAGCACACAGGAGGCTGAGGCGGGAGGATCACTGTGAGTTCAGGACCAGCCTGGGCCACAAAGTGAATTCAAGGCCCGCCTGAACTTCATAGTGAGACACTGTCTCAAAAAGAAAGAAAATACTGATTTGGGAAAAGAATTTATCAAGCTGGCCAGCCTTTACATTCTCCAACTTCCTTTCTAAATAGTTTTAAGAAATTGCATAATGTAGCTTTTAATCTGAACGAGCACTTTTAAATTAATTACACAGGCAGAGGAGACATTTGTGATTCAGGGAGTGTAACAGGTAGTTTGGGAAGGTGAGGACCACTCAGGTGTGCAGGAGGCAGTGGCTGCCATTAGCAACTTGAGAAGAGAGATGGTTTGTCCAGCAGTGTAGAGATACCAGGGAGAGCTGACTGTCCCTTCAGAATTGTCTTGCTTGCGTCTGTAACTGCTCAGTTATCATATATAAACATAAATATATACACATATACTCTTCACATGAGTATGACTTAATTTTTTGTTGCTGGTTGTTTTGGGTTTTGGTTTCTAGTTTTTGGATTTTTTTTTAGTGCTAGAGATGGAACGGGGGCCTTGGGTACACTAAGTAAATGCCCTGCTACTGAGCTACATCCTCAAGTCTAAGTTTGTATTTTTAAAACTTGTCAGCATGTACATATGATCAGACTGGGTCTCCACAAAGACCTAGAAGGAAGCCTGTTGCAGAGCAGCAGGCTGAGGCTCTGGTATGGCCGTGGAAAGAAACTCCTCAGGCAGTGTGGTCTTCCTGCTGGAACCCTGTTGACATTCTTCAAGGAAAGAAAGAAAGTGCCCACTTCTAATATCTTTTCTTACACCATGAAGTCACTCATCATGACAAGTTTGCTGGAATGGGAAACCTAGGCTTGGTGAGCAAGGGAGGGCCTGTCCCTTCACAGGACCAACACACCCCTTGAGTCTGTCCAGAACACCAGCCACCCTTCCCGTGCTGCCCCGGGGGTCAGAGCTACCTCTCCCGGGGTGAGTCCATGCAGGAGGGAGGAGGGTCCGAGCCGCCTGTCCCCGCACCCAGTCCCCTGCCACCCAGGCAAGGGTGCTGCCTGGGCCTTCCCACCTTGCCACACTTTCCCCAGACCCAGAGCAATGCCCAAGATAAATCCGTATGGAGATGAGGGAAGCATTCTTTGCTCATGTCCTCTGTGGATTATAGCAGGACAGCATTTTTAGGACAGAACCACTGAGGTGTAGTTAAGTAAACAAGGGCCTAAATTAAGAGCGTATCTTAATTTAGCTACACTTAATTTAGATACAGGTGCAGGGGCACACATAATCACAACATTCAGGAGGCTGAGGTAGGAGGATTGCTGCAAGATCAAGGCCAGCCTGGGCCACAAAATGCGTTTAAGACTAGCCTAAACTGCATAGTAAAATCGTCAAAAAAAAAAAAACCAACCACAAAACATAAAAACCATAAGAATTGGGGCTGGGGATTTAGCTCAGTGGCATAAGCGACTGCCTCTAAAGCAGGCAGTCGTGAGTTCGATCCCTGGTACCGGTAAAAATGAAAAGGCTGGGGGCTGGAGGTTTAGTTCAGCAGCATAAGCACCTGCCTTGCAAGCAGGCAGCCGTGAGTTCGATCCCCAGTACCAATAAAAAGGACAAAAAAAAAAAAAAAAAAGAAAAAGCCAAAAAAAAAAAAAAAAACATAAGAATTTCTGCATTATGGTTAAATCACTAATCAAAAAATTAAAAAATTTTGTAAAAGTCCTTTTTTTTTTGGTACCAGGGATCGAACTCACAACCGCCTGCTTGTAAGGCAGGTGCTTAAGCCACTGAGCTAAATCCCCAGCCCAAAAGTCCAAATTTGTAAATTTTTAAAAATCTCATTCTGAAGTCAATTAAGTGAAAAGTCAAAACAATTCTACAAATCATAAGTACTGTTTTCTTTCTGAAACTCATATTTTCCAAGACAAGTTTCCAACTTAGTTTTCTTTAATATTGGTATTTAGAATCATCTTTAAATTCTAAGTTTGTAGCTATCTTGATTTTTGTTTGTTTGTTTGTTTGTTTGGGTTTTGTTTTGTTTTGTTTTTTTTTGTCTTTTCCCTTTTTACCGGTACCAGGGATCGAACTCATGACTTGTTTGTTTGTTTTTTTATATCAGAAGTCAATGGGGGCTGGGGATTTAGCTCAGCAAGCAGGCAGTCGTGAGTTCGATCCCCGGTACCGATAAAAATGAAAAAGACAAAAATAAAAAATAAAAAAGAAGTCAAACTCAGGACCTCACAGTAGCCAGGCAGATGCCTGTGCCACTGAGCTACATCCTAGCCCCTGAATATCTTATTACACCTTGAAAATGTAGATCTAGGTGGACAACTCTTACAGAAGACTTCCAATTACTGTACTAAATACAGAGGAAATGAGAAAAGTAGCAATCACCATTAGAATGCCATTCCTTCTTTTCTTTTCCTGCAATCTTATTTAGAATTGGCAATGCCGGAAGACGCAGTCTACTGACCAGTGAACTAACGGAAACCCGGACCACCCTCCTGTTGGCTCTGGTGTTCAGGTGCTGGGTGCCAGGTGGCCTCACTGGAATGAAGTGTGCGTCACCTGGGTGTCTTGAAAGGAGGGGAGAAGCCAGGAAAAGCCATGCCTCCTCCACACACCCCGCTGACTTCTGCCTTCGTTCCAGGAGAGACTCCATCTAGCTGGGGACAGAGACCTCAGGAAGGCTTCAGCCCCACTTGCAACACGTGGGAAGCCGAGACAGTAGGGTTGGCCCTTGAGAGGCCGGGGACAGAGCTCCAGGGGGCACGGGGCTACCTCAAAGTGCACCCAAAGGTGGAGCCCCCTAGCTGATACCACCCTGCCTCTTGCTGGGCCTCCCCAGTGTGCACCTCCCGCAGTGCACCCCTCGGCTGCCCCTGCCCCTTGTGGCCTCTCAGTGATGCAGTCTGGAGCACCTCGACAGCACTCTCCCGCTTCCCACCTTCCCTCCCGGTCTTGACTGGTTGAGCCAAGTAGAGCACCGCATTCGGCATTCCCCACAGAGACTAGTTCAGAGACAGAGATGAGTAAGTGGCCAAGCTTCTGAGAGCTGCTCTCTCCCCAACTTCTGCTCCTGCTCTTGGGAGAGATATTCTCTCTTCTCTCCATTCTGTATAAAGAAGTGAGCCTATTGGTGCAATAGTATAAATGGCATTGGGAGGAGTACACATAGCTGCCAGGGGCAGGGGAGGGAGGTCAGGTTCCAGAAGCCACTCTGTGGCACATGAAGACAAAGGACATACTAAGGAAGGGACAGGAAACCCAGACCTGTGCTGATATCATTTGGGCTCCTGGATCAACCCTCACCAGAAGTCTTCCTGCCAGATTTTTCTTTCTTTCTTTTTTTTTTTTTTTTTTGTCTTTTTTGAGACAGGGTCTCTCTATGCAGTTCAGGCTGGCCTTGAGCTCACTTTGTAGCTTAGGCTGGTCTCGAATTTGCAGCAATCCTCCTGCCTCAGCCTCCCAAGTGCTGGGATTACAGGCATGAGCCAACACGCCCAGCACCCTGCCAGATTTTTCAATTATGTGAACCAATACATCTCTCTTACACTGTTTAATACAGTTCAAATTGAAAGTAAATTCCCTGCAATTCAAGTAATCCAAACATCATATTGATTAATGGGGTCTCGTCACTAGCGCTACAATCAGCAGAAAAGGAACTGGCCCTAATGGCATAGGTGTCCATGAGCTGTCCATGAGCTAAGGAGTCCCCGGTCCCCTCCAACAACCTCACAACCAATCACCTCCAAGACATCGGGCAGTTCGGCCTGTTCTCAGTACTCATGTCACACGAGACACTGCACCAAGGTCTTAGTAGAAAGAGAAGTAAACTCAGTCATCCCTGCGCTAAACAGGTGGGGAGGGACTTTCTGGAAGGAGCAGGACTTCAGCTGGGGCCACTAGGACACAAGAATACAGAGGATGGGAGAGGAAACCAGCCAGCCAGCACCCAGCCTTAGGACAAGAGAGCTCAGGTCCTGTCCAGGATGTAGGGAGAGGCAGCCCATTAGGAGGCTGGGGCCTCGAAACCTTGCTCAAGCCATCTCCCAGTCTTCCTAGCAGATAATGGGGAGTCTTCATAGGTGGGGTGTCATGCCTTGAAACAACAAAGGGGCATGGTTCCTAGGCCTAGGAGCCAGAGGACAGCCTGCAAGAAGTGGGGAAGGGAAGCTGAGTGTGGTGCTATCCCGGCACTCTGGGAGGCTGAGGCAGGAGGATCACAGGTTCCAGCCCAGACTAGGTAACTTAGCTACATACTGAGAGACCCTGTCTCAAAAGAAAAAAGGGTTAGAGATGTTCCTCAGCGCAAAGGTCCTGGGTTTAGTCCCCACACATGCACATTAGTAGAGAGAGAGAAAAAAACATGATTTGAGGGGGACAGGGCACAGCAGGCTGACAGCAGCAGCCCCTGGGGTCAGACTGGATCTGGGCCACAAGCAAAGCAGCAGCTTATGCCCTGTAAGCATCTGAAAGCTGGCAAGGGACAGCGGGGGACTGTGAAGACGGAAGTCAAGGAGAAGGAGCTCCTCCTGGTCACAGGGCCTTGCAGTGATCTGACCCACAAGCTCCTTCCATAGGGCCTGGCCCTGTGGCTGCAGGGACCCTTCCCCCAGGAGAGTCACCTCTCCTCAGAGCCTCAGGAATGCTGGGGTGGGTGCACCATGACACATGGGTGACTGTGACCCTGACTTTAACCAGACTAGCGTCTGAAACCACCAGGATAGAAGTTGCTATTTTTCGCAGATTCCCTCTGCCCACAGCCAGCTCCACAGAGCCCAAAACAGTTAACTCCAAGTCTCTGATTTTGAAGGAAATTCTGCCCTTTCCACAGCTTTTGCAGCTTCGGATGGTCCCTTTATAAAGGAAACCCCCCCCACCACGGGTCTGATCAGCCTGGCATCTATGGCTGCTCCTAGGGTCAGAGAGGCTGCTGGCCTCTCTGTATTGACAGGGTGGGGGTGCTCACAAGGCGTCCCTGGAGGGCACAGGAGGGTAGTTGAAAAGTGGGTCTTCTCTGGCCCTCAGCCAGGCTACCTCACCCCGTGACATTCTCACTAGACCCAATAACCATCTCCGAGGTCTCTGGGTCCACTTGATGACTGGGAAAGTTACCAGGGGCAGTGGAGATAAGGGGACATCCTCTAGCTATGGGCCTGGAGCATTCCTGAGCCACCCCCTCCAGTCTGGGCCACGCCCTGTGGCAGGTGGGAGGACAATGCTGCCTGTGTACAATGACCCCGACAGGCTGGCTCCGGAGCAGGGCTGTGGTGTGGCCCCGGCTCCAGCCTCAGGCCTCTCCTGTGCATCACAGCCCTCCGTCAGCCATCCCCACCCGTGCAGCAGGGCCTCCTCCCCAGGACCCGGCCATTGCCAAGGTGAGCGATGCTTTCTTTCCTCCTGCCTTCAGCAAGCCCAGGAGCACAGCCAACTGCTGTGGGCAGGGTCTGACCACAGGGGTCTGAGAGGAGGACTAGGAAGCTGGGGTGGGCCCTGGGCCCTCCAAGTGCAGGACACCAGCCAGGAGCCCCAGATCTCTCTGGTTAGGATCCAAGCCACAACACCTACCAACTGGGGACAGTACGCCAGAGCAGAGCCTCAGGCCCCAGACAGTGGGCTCGGCAGTATTCACACCCCTCCCCACCTCTACACTCAGGGAAAGTCCGGTGGTTTCTCATCCCCAAAGGGCTGCAGGCCTGACGGCTGCTCGGCCCATAACCCCCAGCAGCTCCCAGCTTCAGGACACCTGCAGCAGCAGGCCAGCCTGGTCCTATCCAGTGCAGGTCTCACCATGGCTTCTGAGTACGAGCTGGGCCACGTCCGCAGGCTGCAGGCTCAGCACACACACATGCAGGAGAAGACTTTTACCAAATGGGTCAATAACATCTTCCGGCTCAGCCAGGTGAGTGGCTGGGGTGCCCTCAGGTGGATCTGGGGCACCTGTGGGGACATCTGCCTGAGAATGTCCCGAGATCTCAGTAGAGCCAAGGACAGGGCTCCTCCCTGGCAGCTGTTCTGCCTGCACCTGCCAGGTCCCAGGCTAACCCTGTGCCTGCCCTGTCCCCTCCAGGTGGGCATCAAGATCCAGAACCTGTACACAGAGCTGGCCGATGGCACCCATCTGCTGCGGCTGCTGGAGCTGATCTCAGGGGAGGCGCTTCCAGCACCCAGCAGGGGCCGCCTGCGTGTGCACTTCCTGGAGAACAATAGTCGCGCGCTGGCCTTCCTCAGGGCCAAGGTGCGCCTTGGGGTAGCGGCTGTGCCAGTGCTGGGTGGGCATCTTCCCAGGGTGGGCCACAGGGCAGGACAGAGAAGGACACTGAGGACTCCTGGCTTGGACAGCACCCAGCTAGCCACAGCACAAACTTGCCACATGCTTACTAGGTCTGAAAATGTCACTTCTGTAATCAGGGAACTCTGCAGGGTTCTATGCTGAATGACTCTTCATGTTCTCCTAAACTTCTCCTTTCATAAATGTGGATACAGAAGGCCCCGATTATTTACCAGGCAAACACACAGTCAGCCAGTGAGCAGAGCCAGGCATGGAGGTATGAGAGAGGCCATCAGGGGGGAAAAGAAAGGCCCGGCCAATGAGCAGGCAGCGGGAGGGAGACAAGTCTCAGCAAGCAGGAGAGAGCCAAGGTCTTCCCTCTGGAGCCCTGGGATGGGTGTGAGCCCCGTGGCCCTTGGGAGAGGCCCTGCAGTCTCCTGAGCTTTACTACTGGCCCATCATTCACACCTGAGAAGAAGGCGTCCTTGACCCAGAAACACAAGAGGCCACTATGGTTGAGACAGGACAAAGAAGCAGTCCCAACACAGTCACCAAGTAGGGATTTCCACCGAGTGCCAAGCATTTTAGGTCAGTGCTTGGGACACCATAAGCAAAGCCACCCCTGACATCAAGGAGCCTGTGACAAGCCAGACCAGCTACATGCTGGTAAATGTTTCAATACTGATTCTCTGGGGAAAACCAAAGTGCTGGTTTACTTATTTGCTGATTTCTATGGTGCTCATCATGGCCCCTTCAAACTGCCAGCTGACACTGCTGAACACGGAGCTGGGAGGATCAGCTGGCAGGGGCAGACTCGGCATCCAGCCCCCAGGTGCTCCAGCAGAGCTGAGGCGAATGCAGCAGAGGCAATGTGCCAGGGAGGGAGGGGAGCGAGGGAGAGGGATCCTTCAGAGACCTGCCAGACACGCACGGTGTACCCAAGGAGACGATCCCCAGATGTGGTTCCCCACAAAAGGCGGTCAGTTAGGCCATCGGCCCCCCTGGTCCTGCAGTCCTGGCTGGGGCAGGTTAGATCCCAGGGCCTCCCACCCCACAGCAGGCCTCCTCGAATTCTGGCTCCTCTTGGGAACCTAGGCTTTATGGCTTAGCCCAGGCACCTGTGCCCACAGGTGCCCATACCGCTCATTGGGCCAGAGAACATTGTGGATGGAGACCAGACACTTATCCTGGGGCTCCTCTGGGTCATCATTCTGCGTTTCCAGATTTCCCACATCTCATTGGACAGGGTATGTCTCAGACCCCAGCACCCCATGACCTAGCCCAGCCCTGACCCCCACTCAGGCCTTTGGGACAGCACAGTCCCACCCACCCTTTATGATTCCCACATCATCCACAAATCAGTGTTCACTCTTCAGCCCAGGTATTGACCCCCGAATGTCAGATATGCTGCCATGAGGTAGCCTGAGAACTGGAGTCCGGGCCTCACACCTGAGTAGGGGCCGGTCACTCATGAGGTCGGGGTAGGGTGACCCAACAAGTCAGCTCCAGCTTGTTAGGAAGCAGTCACTGAAAAGAAGCCATGGAGCCCACTGTGGTGCCACAGGCCTGTAACCCCAGGACTTGGGAGGTTGAGGCATGAAGATCAACGGGAGTTCAAGGTCGCCCTGGAATAGAGCTTGGGCAAGAAGGGCACAGGGCACCAGTGTAGGGCAGGACAGGGTGTCAAGGCCCTGGAGTCGTGAACAGGCCACCCCCCAAAAACTACTGAGTTGGCAGATCAGGAGGACCTCAAAACTCATACGTGACCATGAGCCACAGGGGAACAGGGCCTTATTTGTCCACATCCTCAGAGCTGAACCCATGTTGGGGAAATGACTGGACAGGTGGACAAGTCTAATTGACCACAGCTCTTTCAGGAAGCAGCGCTGGCCTCCCTAGGCTCCCCGTGGACTGGGCCTGCCACAGATCAACCCCTTGGGAGGGGCAGGGGCTGAGTCCCCTTCCTGGTGACTTAGAAGAGGCTGGACTCCAGCTGCCCTGCTACCTCCAATGCCCAGCCCAGCATAGCCCCCAGATCCCATGAGGCCCAGCCCAGCTCTCAGGAGCTTGGGCCTGGCCTGCTCACGACTTCAGGGCCTTGCCACTCTGTCCTGCCCCATGCTGGTGCCCAGTGTCCTTCTGGCCCAAGCTCCAGGGCCTGCTCACTTCTGAATTTATTAAGAGCACTGTAGTGAGGGGAGCAATGGAAGGACAGGAGATGGGACAGCAAACCTGGAGAGGGGGGTTTGGGGAGCGGGAGCCGGTGGAGGGAGGGAGAGGAAGCAGAGAAAGAGTCCACTGAGGGAAGACAAGGAAAGAAGCCCAAGAAGAGAGGCAGGAGAGGGAAAGAAGCACTGACTGAAGAGGTGAGAGGGAATGGTGGCAGAATAAAAGAATCATCTCCCCAAAACAGGGGAGGGCGCTGGACCCAGCCCCTGAGGCACTGGGCATGCCCGGCCTGTGCCCACCACACTCCACAGAGAGGATCCCAGCCCTGTCCCAGCCTGACTCCCCACAGCATGAGGCTCTGCTGCCCCGCACAGTGACTATGCCTCCCTGTCCTTCCAGGAAGAGTTTGGACCCAGTGCAGCCCAGCTGTCTGCCAAGGAAGCTCTGCTGGTCTGGTGCCAGCGGAAGACAGCCAGCTACACCAACGTGGCCATCACTGACTTCTCCCACAGCTGGAGGGATGGGCTGGGCTTTAACGCTCTCATCCATGCCCACAGGTGTGGCCCAGCCCAAAGCCTCCACCCTCTAAGCCCAATGCACTGGGCTCTGGGACTTCACCTACCCACACCCTAGAACCTCACAGCTCTCAGGCCCAGAAGGAGGAGAGGAATTGTGCCCAGAAGCAGAGAGGGCTCTCAACCCTAGTGGCCTAGGTTAGCCCCTCCCCACTCTTTGGGACAAGGTTTGCCCTGACCCTAGCCTTCTCCACTTCCTGTGGAACCACTTTCTGGCTCTTTTCTCTGTCCTCTCCCTGTGCTGTGTCTTCCCCTTCCCCCCAGTACTGGGGATTGAACCCAGGGCCTTGCCCCTGAGTTACACCACTAGCCCCTTGTTTATTTTTTGAGACAGGTTCTCTAAGTCACTAAATTGCCCAAACCAGGCATGCCTGTCCTTTTAAACTTCTCCCGCAGCCCCTGGGTTGCCCCCAACCATCAGAGTCCTACCTGTACCTTCAGCGGGGGACTCGGGTCTCAGGGTCAGAGGGAGAGGAAGTGTGAACTGCAGATATGAACGTGTACGTCTTGCAGTCTATTAAACTAAGGCAGGACATAACCCTATCCTCTGCCAGACCAGACCTGCTGGACTACAGCTCCCTGCACCCCAGTCGCCCACTGCACAATCTCACCTGTGCCTTCCACGTGGCTGAGCAGGAGCTGGGCATTGCCCAGCTGCTGGACCCCGAGGATGTGGCAGCCCTACATCCAGACGAGCGCTCCATCATGACCTACGTCTCCCTCTACTACCACTTCTTCTCTCGCCTGCAGCAGGGACAGACAGTCAAGAGGCGGCTTGCTAAGGTTCGTGCTAAAGGGAGTCGGGGCAGAGCCGTGGCACTGAGCACCAGTGGCATGAGCATGGGCCCCAGAGTCAGGAAGACCCAGGTTTGAAACCTGCCCCTGCTTCTTAACTTGCTGTGTGGTCTTGGCCAAGTTACCCAACTTCTCTATGCTCCATATATAACACAGAGAGGACACCTGGGTAACAGAAGGTTGTTGGGCACATTCAAGGGAGCCAAAGAGAAGTACTCAGCCCGGTGCTGGAAAGCCAGTAGAGCAGTGTCTCTCCTGTCCCTCCCACTCGCTGGCTTGCAAACCAAGCTCCTAATGGATTAAAAGGCTTACAGCCAGGAGTCTGCAAGGACAGGAGTAAAAAAGGCTCTGTTGGAAAGGTTACGCCAAGTCCATGCATCTGGGCAGCTCCCTCACTCTCTGGACACAATGGCAGAGGCTGAGGCCTGGGAAGTCTGTCTTCAGGATGAGGGTGACACAGGGAGAGAGCTCTGAGCTGTCTTAGAGGGAGGAGACCACAGGGAAGGGCAAGAAGGCTTGGAAAGAAGAGCCGGAAGGGTCAACCCCAAAGGTGGGGACATAAGGAAATACAATCAAATAAACTTAAACTGCACCTCAGTCACTTCTGGGTGAGTGTACAATGTCCTGCTTTTCTGAGCGACCCTCACTCTGCTGAAGACAGAGTCACAGACCTTCTGGGCAAGTCTGGCTATACCCAGCATCCAACAGGGAAGGGCCTCCAGCCCAGGGGCACCCTGACCCCTTCCCCTGCCTCCACCAGATCCTGCTCCAGCTCCAGGAGACGGAGGCACTGCGGACGCAGTATGAGCAGCTGATGGCCGACCTGCTCCGATGGATTGCAGAGAAGCAGCTGCAGCTGGAGGAGCGGAATTTCCCAGACTCCCTCCCCGACATGTGCCAGCTATTGGCAGCCTTTGCCTCCTTCCGTGCCCAGGAGAAGCCACCTCGGCTGCAGCAGCGAGGTGCTACAGAGGCTCTGCTCTTTAGGCTGCAGATGGTGCTCCGAACCCAGAACCGCAGGCCCTTCGTGCCTGTCGAGGGCCTGAGTCTTGTGGAGTTGTCCCAGTGCTGGGCAGCACTGGAACGGGCAGAGGCTGCCCGGAGCCAGGCTCTGCAGCAGAGGCTACTGCGGCTGGAACGATTGGAAACCCTGACCCGGCGCTTTGAACGCAAGGCTGCCCTGCGAGAGAACTTCCTAAAAGATGCAGAGCTTGAGCTGAACCAGGCCAGAATTCCGCCAGCCAGCCCAGCCACAGTGGAGGCAGCCAGCCAGAGGTTGGGCATGCTGGAGGCCAGCATTCTGCCCCAGGAGGGGCGCTTCCAGGCCCTGGTTGAGATCGCAGACATCCTCCAGCAGGAGCAGTACCACAGCTGGGCAGATGTGGCCCACAGGTGAGCCATCCTCACAGCAGGATGGGCTTTCCTATCACATCCCCACCTTTGCAGGTGCCTATTCCCAGCCATGGAGGAGAAGGTGGTTTATGGATTTAGGTCTCCTAAAAAGATCAGTCTTCCACATGTGTTTGAAATTCCATCATCAGTAATTCATCCCATTGGTAAAGTATTGTCCTTTCTGGATAGACTCTGATTAGCTCACTCACAAAATGGGCATTTATTTATCTACTCTGTCCCATGCTCCATTCTAGGGGCCAGAAATGTAGCAGTGAAGAAGACAAAAAAAAATCTCTCTCTCCTCATAAGGCTTACACACTATTACGAAAGCAGACAAATACGAAAAATCTGGACCTCAAATTCAAGCCCAGTCTAGGCAATTTAGTGAGACCCTGTCCCACACACAAAAAAAGTTTAAAGACTGGAAACATAGCCTTGGGTGAAGGCCTGGGTTTAATTCCCATTACCACACACACACACAAAAATTAATCTGAGCATCCGGAAGGGGCATCAGAGCTGAAGGCCTGAACCTTCCAAGCCCTCTTCTGGTGTCTCTGCCTGTGACCCGGGCAGGACACATGCCGTGATCTCTATAAACCAGGACACTTAAGTCCAGATCCTGCCTCCAGTCTAGAAGTCTGACTCCTACAGTGCAGCCAAGCATACCATAGCCAGGAACCTGGAGGGAGCTTTCTGCTCCTGCCTGCTGGACCCTTATTCTTGTCCTTCAGGCAGCGGGAGATCACTGGGCGCTGGCAGAAGCTCCTTCAGCATCTACAGGAGCAGAGAAAGCAGATAGCAGGTGTGCAGGCTGTGCTGAACCTGCTGCAGGAGGTGGAGGTTACCGCAGAACGGCTCCGGGAGCTGCAGGTGGGTACCAGACCAGCCAGTTTCTGGGAACCGTAGCAGGGTATAGGAGGCCAGCATCTTGGGACTGCAACGACTGCTTTCTATCTGGTCAGGTGCCGGCAAGCTCCACCAATTGTGGGCGGCAGCTGGAAGAAGTAGTGGAGCTGCTTCAGAGGCACAACCTGCTGGAGGCCCAGGTCTCGGCACACGAGGCCCACGTGAGCCACTTGGCGAACCAGACGGCAGAGCTGGACCCCTCCGTTGGCATGAGCGTGGAGATGCTGCAAGCCAAAGCCAGGGTGCTGGTTCAGCTCCACCAGAGACTGGTGTCTCTTGTCAGGGCCCGGTAAAGGCTGGCCCGCAATTCCTCATCCCCAGCCCTTCAACCTCCTCTGAACTTCTCTGTAACCCAAATTATCTCCGGCCCAGGCTAAATATTGCTGGCCTGGCAGCCTCCTCTGCATCTACTCTCCGCAGCCAAGGCCTTTTTGTCTCACCTGTTGAGTCACCCAGAGAAAAGAAAAATCCCATCTAAGGGCAGGGTCTGACCGCGGTGGGGTACCCCTTACCCAGCCCTACTCCCTAAGCCAAGCCCTCCGTGGCCTTACTGCCCTCAGGCGGGCCCTACTGGAGCAGACTCTGCGGCGGGCAGAGCTGCTGCACAGCTGTGAGGAGGAGATGGCTTGGCTGGAGGGGCGCGCACTGCAGCTGGAGCAGACGGCGTTGGGCCAGGACCGCAGCCAGATCGCAGACGCCCTGCAGAAACACAAGGTGCCCATTCCTCGCCACCGGCTGGCCCTCACTTGCAGCCCTTCCGATCCTCCTCCCTCTCCTCGTCATCGAATCCTGCCCTCTGCTAGGCCCTAGAAGCAGAATTCCACAGTCACAAGGCTGTGTGCTCAGACCTCGTGCAGAGTGGGCGCGTACTCAGCACTCAGGGGCCCTCGACGCAGCCAGATCCCCGGGAGCGCACCGAGGCTGTGCAGGGAGCGTGGCAGCTGCTTTGCAACAGGGCAGCACGGCGCGGACGGCGGCTACGGACAGCCCTGCTAGCGCTGCAGGTAGCGGCGCAGGGCTGGAGTCAGATGAGAAAGGGGTTGACTATAGGCGTGGCCTCTTGGAGAGGCGTGGGCCCAGAGGCGGGCACTGTAGCGCTGTTTCCAGGGAGGGACTGTGGGGCGTGGCTTCAAAGCATGCGCAGCGGACCTTCTGGGGCTGCGCGGTGGGGCGGGGCTTCTGGTGGGCGGTGACTACGGGCGGGGCTTCGATGGCCGTGATTGGTGGGCGGGGCGGACATCATTGGTGGGCCGCTGCGGGCGTTCAGTCCAGCTCCTCTTTCTAGTACTTCGAGGATGCTGCGGAGGCGTCCTCGTGGCTGCGTGACCTGCGGCAGGCGCTGGGGAGCTCGTGCGGTGGGCAGGACCAGGCGTCCGCCCAGGTCTTACTGTTGCGCCACCTGCGGCTGGAGCGCTCCGTGCGGGCCTTCGCTGTCGAGTTGCGGCAGCTGGACGAGCAGGCGCGAGTGGCCGTTGCACAGTCGTCGCTCACGGTGCGTGGGGCACTGGAAAGGGACCCAGAGTGCACCGCAGCAGGGCTCCACAGATGGCAAAATGGAAAGACCTTTGTGGCCCTGCTCTGGGGATCTTGGCTTTCCCCTGGGCATGGGTGTGCATATGACTCACCATCCCCTGCATTCTCAGCGGCATCTCACAGCTAGCTGAGCCCTGAAGCAATGGAACCCTGTCCAATGTGACAGATCATAAAAGACAGCTGGGTGTGGGTTAGTTTGCCCAGCACAGTCCTGTATGTTAAACAGATTCCTCCAGAAATGCCCCTTTATTTTCAGTCCTAGAGTGACCCTTCACCCTCAGCCCATTTTGGCTCTCCCAACCTGACAGACAGCCTTCCTGAGTTTGGGGTGGCCTAATCAGTCGTTTCTGAAACTCCTCCCCCAATTCATAAGCTCTTGGTTTCCAAAAGCACTATGGCAGGCTGTTGAAGGTTGCCCCCTTTCAAGAAGCTGGGAGTGTAGTTCATAGTGCAGCCTTCAAGATCCCCAAACTTGTGCCTGTACTTGGGCTGTCTACCCTCATCCCTAAAAGAGCTCCAGCTCCTAGGAGCCCTCTCTGCTCAGCCTCGTCGCCCGCATACTTTTGAGGTTCAGCTCCCATCCTCCAGATCCAGCTGTGTATTTAGTAGCTGACTGGGGACAGGACTGTGAGTTCCAGTCCCACCCTACACTGAACAGCTTTGTGACAGTTTGCATTCCCAGGTTTGAAAGGTCAATTCTTCCCTGTTCCTTTATGCCTTTATGCAGGACCACATAATTAATAATTTTAAAAATAGATCTATGTTAGCAATTGTCTGGTCTAAGCCCCTTGCTTTACAGGAGAGGTAAGTAAGGTTCAGAAGGACCACATTTAGGGACTCACCGTTAACCCCACTCGAGAGGCCTCCCAACCTCCATCTAGGGCTGCTTCGCCTTCACCCCACACTGCGTCGTCATGTCTCCTTACAGTACTAACACAAAGTGCTTTTGATATAGGAAGATAGCTTTGCTTCTTCCTGTTCTCCATGCCCTCCCTGCCTTTCCAGTTTGCTAATTATTTAAATGAATGAATAGGAGCTATCTCGTCCCTTTCTTGTATCCTCTGCTACCCAAAAGATGCTGGCAATGACAGGACAGGCCTACCCCTTGACATTTTCAGACGTCTGCCCTGCATTGGAGGATTGCATTGTTGTCCCCACTGCTGAGAGGGGCACCCTCTTGGTCACCTAAGTGGAGCCCTTCTCCCTCCTCTCAGGAGGATCCCCCAGAAGGCTGGAGCAGGACTGATGGAGACATAACTGGGAGGCCCCAGGATGGAACCCACATCTTAGCAGCACCAGGCAGCCAGCACTCATGCTCCCAGGTCCAGATCCCCTTGGTCTCTAGAGGTACAAAATCAAGATCTATGTGAGGGGCCAGGGATTTAGTTAAGCAGTGTAAGTGTGCCTGCCTGGCAAGCACGAGGTCCTGAATTCAATCCATGGTACCAAACAAACAAACAAAAAATAACTATGTGGGAACTTAAACAGGCTGTCACAAATGAAGATATTAAACATCTTTGGCTCCCTCTGGAGCATCAGGAACTGAAGGGAAAAATTAAGGGGAAGCAAACAAGCTCATCAGAAAGAGGGAAAGAGTGCTGGGCACTCAAAGGAGAGCTCCTGGGTGGGGAAGAGGAGTGGGTCCTGAGCAGCCCTCAGCCTGTGCTCCCACAGAATCACCCTTTGCCTGGCTCCCAGAGGCTCTGGACACCTGGGAACTGAAGGACTCAGGGCACTTCCAGGCCAAGGTACCCATCAGCCATGGCATGGAACAGGAGTTCCAGGTACAGTCACCAGCCCTGCCCTGCCAGGACTTCTGCTGCTGGGTGGGAGCCCTGTCTGGAAAACTCTGGCTTCTCTGGAACAGGTGGTGTCTGCCCTGGGCCCTCCAGGAGGAGGCATGAGGATCACTCACCCTGCTAAGCCTGGCCTCAACTTTGACCCCAACACCATACTCCAGACACAGGATTTCCTGAGCCAGGACTATGAGAGCCTGCGAGCCCTGGCAGAGGTAATGTTCTTGGTTCAAGAAATGTTCATCAAGCCCCTCGGGCTAGACTGTGTGCCTCCATCCCAGAGGCAAAGCACTTTGCCCTCAAGGAGCCCATGTTATAGCTGAGGGGCTGTCAAGTCTTGGATGGATGCAGTGTGAGGTGTGCTTAGGAGAGACAGAGTGAGCCCAGGTCTGCTGGGGAGGCACCTCAAGGAAAGAACCTTTAAACTGAGACTTGAAGCAGAGAGCAGGCAGCCCTGGGAAAGCTAGCCGAGACCTGAGGAAAGGCCAGGAGGAGGCCTGATGAAAGAGGCTAGAGTGCCCAGAGCAAATAGGCCAGGATGGCAGTTGCTAAGAGAGAGCTGGGGCCACCCAGAGGAGAGCCGTGGTCCATGGAAAACACACATTTGACCTAAGAGCAAGGCCCCATTGGTTCCCTCAGCTGGGTACCAAGAGGATTGTGGCAGGATACAGGGCCCAGCCACTGGGCAGGGATCTAGGCCCAGGACCTGGGCAAATGCTAGTGGGCCTGGGTGGGCAAGAGCACCCTAGACCTGCTCTATATACCCTGCAGAGGACACTGACCCTCACCCAGCCCTGGGCCTGCCTGTCCTTAGTGCCACAGGACCAGGTTGGAGGAGGCGGTGGCCCTGTTTGGCTTCTGCAGTTCCTGTGGGGAGCTCCAGTTCTGGCTGGAGGAGCAGATAGCCCTGTGCCAGTCACTGCAGCCCCAGGCTGACAACTTGGAGGTCATGCAGCTCAGATATGAGGTACAGCCCCTGGGAGCCTAGGAGGTCTTGTGGTGCCCTCCCCACCCCCGTTTCAGCCACCCTGTCATTCACTGCTGGGCCCCACAGCCAGAGTTAATTGTGGTCCCAGGGGGGAGTGAGGAGCTATCCTGATTCTGAGTGACAGACAACATATCCTTCAGAGGTCCTCCTTCTCCTCAGAACTTCCTCACTACCCTGGCCATGGGGAAGGACCGCTGGACTAAGATCAGCCATTCTGCTGAGCAACTGAAGCGGCAGTGTCCTGGGGACGCCACAAGAATCCAGCGTCAGCAGGCAGACCTGAGCCAGAGGTGAGAATCGGGAGGACAGGGTGATGAGAATGGGAGGCAGCAGAGCCCAGGCGCGGGGCAGCCCTCCATGCCAGGTGGAGAGGATGGGCAGTGTGAAAGACAGGTGGCAGAGGGACAGCCAGTCTGGCAGCTTCTGGCAAGAAAGGTTGTGGCCACGGTCCCAGGACAGGCAGGAGGGCCTCATGTGATGAAGACATCCCTGTTCCCTCTGCCTAGGTGGGAGCAGCTGGCAGCTCTGAAGAAGGAGAAAGGCCTGCAGCTGGCCCGCAGCATGGAAGTGTGTGGTTTCCTGCAGGAGTGTGGCCCCACACAGACCCAGCTGCGAGATGTGCTGCTCCAGCTGGAGACGCTGCAGCCAGGAAGCTCCAAGGATGACCACCATGCCCTGCAGTTGACCCTGCAGAAGGTCCAGGTGCTGGAGAGCAGGATCCACTACCTCCAAAGGGAGGCCACAAAGTACGGCCAGGTTCAGCATGGCAACGGTGCCCTAGGAGGCAGTTGGGCAGAGGGAAGGCCAGAGCAGGGTGATGCAGTGAAGAAGGGGACAAATTGGGGTGGGAGAAAGTGGCAAGAATGTGCTGGCAGAGGCGCTCAGGTGGCGGTAGGGATGGTCAGCATGAGAAAGTGTCCTCATGAAAGGAAGGGCCACATGTTTATGCTGCCTCTAGGTCATGGTGGGTGGGGGACACACACTTGGGTACAAGACCTATGCCTGGGTACCAGGTCCAGGGCAGGCCTGGCTGTGCAGTGGCTTTGTCTCCCAGGGTGGCAGAGTCAGGCCCTGCGAACAGTCAGCTCCTGAAGGAACAGGTGGAAGGGCTGCAGAGGCTCCTGAAGCAAGCACAAGCCCGAGGGCTCCAGCAGGCCAGGGGCCAGGCTGAGGCTCAGGCCCAGCGGAGCTTCCTGCAGGAGAGCCAGCAGCTGCTACAGTGGGCAAAGGGTGTCCAGGCTCAGCTGCACAGCAAGGAGGAGCTGCTGGACGTGGCCTCAGCCCAGAGGCTGCTGAGGGAATTCAGAGAGCTGCAGGAGAAGATCCACATTCAGCAGGACAGGTCAGGATGTGAGGGCAGGCAGGGCCCAGAAAGGGAGGGCAGGAAGTGTGGTCACCAGAGGAGTGGCCCAGGCTAGTGTCCAGCATGGTTCCTGAGGCAGATTTACATGGGGCAATGAGGCCTGGGTTGGGCAGCCTGCATGCTTCAGGGAGAGTCCCAGGAGGCAGAGCCCACTGGGCAGTTCCATTCAGTCTAGCATCCCCAGAATTCTGGGTAACACAGACCCCACTGGTCCTTGGAGTTGAATATCTCAGGACAGTCCACAGGACCCAATCACACCTCTCTGCCTGCAAGAATGATGTGACACCTGGCTGTCAGCCAGGGATACCACATGTGTCCCTAGGCTGTGCCCTGCCAGGGGGGGCCTGACAAGTATCCAGTGGCCCCCACTTGCTGCACCGCGCTGCCTGGTTTGGGCTACAGTAAAGCGGAAGAAACAGAGGCTCTAATTCCCACAGTGGTGCTACCTGTCCCCAAGTTGTGTGAGCTGCATGATGCTGAAGGGCACTCTTCCTGTCTGTTCAAAGGCTCCTCACTGGGACTGGGGATTTAGCTCAGCAGCATAATTTCCTACTTTGCAAGCATACAGTCATGAGTTCGATTCCTGGTACCAAAAAAACAAAACAAAGTCTCCTCGTGGGTTGGCCATGGCCCTGTGGGCAGGCATGTGTGTGGTTGTGGCTGCCCCAGCTTGTCCATTTGCCTGGATATTGGCCACTGGTGGTCCTCATTTATAGGCAGGCAAGTCGGAATGAGGCACGGCCAGGAGCATGGAGCTCCTGGGTCCTGAGCACGCACTCTCCTATGCCCGTGTGGCAAGGGGACCAACAGGGTAAACAGCTGCAGGGCTTTGTATCAACCCTCACATCTGCACTCCACCAGGAGAGACAGAGGAGGCGGAGCAGGAGGAAGCCGGAGAGGAGCCAGATGGAGTGTGACTCTCTCTGCTTCTTGTCCTGGACAGGCTGAAGCAGCTGGAGGCTCAGGGCCAGCTCCTGGCAGCCTCAGATGGCCCTCACTCCCAAGAGGTGACCAGCACCCTGAGGCTCCTGAGCCAGCGCAGCTGGGAGCTGAAGGCTGCATGTGAGCAGAGACAGCAGTGGCTACATGAAGGGCTGCAGCTGTACAGGTTTGGCCAAGAAGTGGATGGCTTCACGGCTGCCTGTGCTGACCATGAGGCTGTGCTATGCCTGGACAGCCTGGGGGTATGGTGCCTGGGATGTGAAACTAGGGTATAGCTCTCCCATTCCCAGAGGAAGTTCAATCCATGGGCCTGGAAGACAGGCTGGGCAGGACTCTATCCTCCAGGCATAACCTCAGGTCTCTGCACTCCAGGAGGACGTGAGGGAGACCCAGAGCCTGCTGCAGCAGCACCAGAGCTTTAAGTGGCTCCTGGGCACCCTAAGCCTTCATGCAGAGGCCCTGCAAGCCCGTGGCAAGAAGCTGGTCCAGAGCCACCACCCTGCTGCCCACAGGTGAGCCTAGCGCTTGGCCCCTGCAGGAGCTGCTACCCCAGGCTGGAGGAATGGGGAGGGCAAGGGATGGGTGGACTCAGACAGAGAAGAGCCCTTCCTGTCCCTGCCTGCCAGGGTCAGAGAGCAGCTGCAGAGTGTCCAGGTGCAGTGGACCAGGGTCCAGGAGAGGAGCGAGCAGAGGCGGCAGCAGCTGCAGGCTTCTCTCCAGCTCCAGGTGAGGGGACTCCTTAGGAGCAGTGCCTAAGAGCCCACCCTTGGCTAAATGTTACCATCAACCTAGCACTGTTCCACACATCCTGGCAACCACCCACACATACCTCCCGGAGGCAGACTTCACGGCTTGTGTTTCTAGATGAGGAGCACAAGCCACGGGGCTCTCAGAGGCTGCCGAAGCTTAATATGTGTTCAGACCGCACCAAGCTGGGTCAGTCCACTCCATGTCCCTCCCAGACCTTCTGCCAGTTTGGGGCAAGATGGTCGTGCATGAGCTGCTGTGACTAGAAGAGTGCAGACCTGAGCAGTGCTCCTTGTCTCTGGGCATAGTGTCCCTGTCCCCTGTCCCCATTTGGAAAGCAGTAACCTCAGGCTCCACCTTCCTTGCACACTAGGGTTGGTTCTGGATCCCGCTTTTCCCCACGGGGTCCCTGAAACCCCTATTTCTAGAGATAGGTCCAGTGCCAGCCCTTGTCCCTGGGCTGAGAGACCCGCTGTCTCCTGGGTCTCGGGCAGGAATGGAAGCAGGACGTGGCAGCGCTCATGCTGTGGATGGAGGAGAAGTGGGCAGTGGCAGCGGATGAGCCCCCCCAGGGACCTGGCAATGTTCTTCGGAAACTCTGGCGGCACCAAATGGCCGAGAGTGAGCTGCTGGCCACCTGTGGGCATGTGGAAAGCCTGCAGCAGGTAGGGATGCCAGACAGAGGGCGCAAAGCTGCCCCTCTTGAGTCTCAGCACACACCTCCCCCTGTGTGTAGAGCACAGTCCCTGAAGAAGACTCAACTTGGAGTGAGGGTTCCCTGCCACCTCCTTCACTCAGCTGGGTGTCCCCTGGCCCTGGCACCCAAACCAGCACGGAAAGCTGCTGCCGTTCCTGCCTCCATTGTCCAGGGTGAACTTACAGAGCCTACCCCTGTCCAGATCAAGGCCCTCACCTGCTTCCACCTAATGCCTGCTCCCTCTGTTCTGCTCCTCTCCTGCCTTGGTCATAGCTGGGGGACCCCTGAGTGGCCAAACCCCCAGCCATCCCGTGGAAAGCAGCTGTGGCCCATCACCACCCACCCCCACCGAGGTCCAGGCTACTGTGGTTGCTGGTGGTCCTGGCCACTCAGAAAAAAATGCCCTGGGCCTTGTCTTCACTTCAGGCTGGGAGAGAGCTGTTGTGCAGCAGACCACATGCCTGGAAGGACGTACAGACCAGACTTCAGGGCCTGAGTCAGAAGTGGGAAGAGTTGAAGCACAAGATGGCGGAGCGTGGGGTTGAGCTTCAGCAGGCGGGACAGCAGGAGCAGTTCCTGAGGCTGCTGCAGGTCACCTGGGAAAGGGCCCAGGGCGGGGCAGGAGTGGGCAGGAAGGGAAGGGCCTGGGTTGTAATCCTAGCATTCTGGGAGACTGAAGCAGGAGAATTACACCCTGGGCAATTTAGTAATTTAGTGAGACTGTCTCAGTTAAAAATAGAAAAGTAAAGTAAACTGGCTGGAGATAACTCAGTGCAAAGCTGTGAATTCAATTTCCAGTACAAAAGACAGTCTGGATGCCCTGATGCTTCAGGCCCCATCAGTCCTGCAGCATGTGGAAGCCTCTGGCCCACAATGGGTGGCACATGGCTTTACCCATCAGAAGGCCAGTACTTGTATGCCCAGTGTATGGTCAGCACTTAATCCTCTAGGGAGGAAGAAACATGAGAGGAGAAGACAAGTTTGGGCACTGCTAATGAAGTTCCTGTGGCCACTGCAGGATGCCAGGAAGCAGATGGCGCAGCTAGAGGAGGATCTGCAATCCACAGAGGTGGGGCAGGACCTGCACTCAAGCCAGAGGCTGCAGAAATGGCACCACCAGCTAGAGGGCAAGAGCCAGGTGCTGGCCAGCGAGGTGACTGCCCTCATCTCCCAGGTGCAGCATGTGGTCACCTCCCAGGCTGTCCTGGAGGAGGCCCTCCAATGCCATCAGAGGTGAGTCCATGTCTACCCACTCCCCTCCGTTCCATCTTCATCCTACTGTGTCCCCTCTTCCCCTACTGGCACCTAAGGAGGCTGAGACATCCAAATATCCTTATAGATAGGGTCATTCTGGGATGGGAGTGTCAGAGGCCCCAGTAGTCACCCTAAAAGCCTAAAGTCAGGGGGTCCTCTTGGGGAGGTGGGGTCCTGCACCTCCATCTGTCCCCCATCAGAAGAAGTGTCCCTGTAGTCCCTGGCTCAGCCGTGAAAGGGACCTTCTCACCTTGTCCTTACCTGCTTGACCCTCTTCTCTCTCTCCTCAGACTTAAGTCCCTGCAGGGCCACTTGGCTGCCAAGCACATGCAGCTGCAGGCCACGGTTGAGCTGTACCAGTTTGACTACGTGAGCAACTTGGAGCTCGCCTGGGTGGCTGAGCATATGCCCAGTGCCAGTGCTACCAGTGGTGCCCAGTGCTGGGCTAGTACCCAGAGCCTTCAGTATAAGCACAAGGTATGGCTCTCTTTTTATCCCAGGATTCTGGATGTCCCATTCCCAGACTTTCAAACCTTCTGCTACTGCTCAAGGTCAGCTAACCTCTAAGTCCTTCCTGGGGGTGCTGATTTCCAAATCTCTGCCCACCTCTGGCTGGGGCTTTTGCTACAAGCAGGCCTGTGGTTAAGGGAATCCCAAGCAGCTCCAACCTGTCTGTGGCAGGAGCTACAGGCCAAGGTGAGAACACACCATGGGCGGGTACAGCAAGTTCTGGGTTCCGGCCAGAGCCTCGTGGCCTCTGGGCACCCCCAAGCACAGCACATCATGGAGCAGTGCCGGGAGCTGGAAGGCCGTTGGGCAGAGCTGGAGCAAGCATGTGAGGCCCATACCCACAGCCTGCAGCAGGCAGCTGCTTCCCAGCAGGTAGGCTGCAGAAAGGGAGGGGGCAGGGAGAGTCTGTGGTCCCTGCGGGAGGTAGTTCAGTGGTGAGAGCCCAGTGCCAGGAGCTGGCTTGTTCCCACAAGGGCCCACACCCTCTGTGCCGGCTGCAGTGAGCAGGTGTCCTTGCAGGGTGGTGGAGGGCTCGTCTGAGACGGCCAAGGTGAATCGGCCCCATTCTTGGCAGTACTTTCTGCGCGTGTCAGAGCTGGAAGGCTGGGTGGAAGAGAAGCTGCCACTGGTGAGAAGCCAGGACTTCGGGAGAGATGAGGCAGCTACCTTCAGGCTCATTAGGAAGCACCAGGTACCATGGCCCCACACAGTGGGGGTGAGGGGCCAAGGAGAGGAGAGGGCTTGGGCTTGTCACATCCTCGAAGCATGCATCCCACATCTCCCTGCACCCTGGGCGTTGGCATCTCTGTCTTCTCACTTCCTCTCTTCCCCAGCATGTTCTGCTCCATCACGGTCACCGACTCCAGCCAGCCCCATGCCTTCCACGTTCCCCCCGCCCAGGCTTTGAGTGGTCCCCTTCAAGTTAACTAAATGTTCTTCACCAAATTCTGGGTCCAGTATAATGTCCCCTCTCTTCCTTGGCACACACTACATAGCTATATAGTGGGTTCCCCGAGGGCACAAGAATGTCTTCATCTTACGGAACATAAATACACTTCAGTACTGACTAGTGGATGACAGACAGGTGGGCGGTGGAGTGGATGGATCTGAGAATGATTTGAAGGTTAGATGGGTGGAATTGATGGGGGTGTTGCTAGGGAGGGGTGGATAGAGGCAGGGAGGCAGGTTGGGAGGATGGGTAAGTTACCTATTTTGAGCCTGGCAGGGCCTCTTATGTTGGCAGGTGCTGGAGCAAGAACTAGCTCTTTACTGGAGCTCCATGGAAGCGCTGGACCAGAGAGCCCAAGCCCTCGCTGGGTCCAAGGCACCTGTGGTGCAGAAGAGGCTCTGGGAGCGTCTTCAGGCACTACAGGAACTGGCAGCCACACGGTGAGGGCCTCCCAGGATACAGGGAGCCTGACTACAGCTGACCATTCCCATACCATGGTCCTAGGCTCACACAGTTTTGTCAAGAGGATGAGGGCCTAGTGTGCAATCCCAGCACTTGGGAAGCTGAGGCAGGAGGATTGTTGTGAGTTTGAGGCCAGCCAGGGCTACACAGTGAGTTCAAGGCCACCCTGAACCACACAGCAGGACCCTGTCTCAAAGAAAAAGAAAGAGGGAGAGAGAGACAGAAAGAGAGAGACAGAGAGAGGATGAGACCTTGCTGGATGTTGCTTAACTCTTTCCATAAGTCTTCAACAAGGGCCCAAATCCCAGCAATCCACCTCTTCTCTATGTCCACATATGATCTTCCCATGATTCCTTGTCCCTGAGTCCTGAGTTGCATGCTTGGGCAAAGACTGTGAATAACCCCATCCATCAGGTCAGCCTTTCAGTTAGCCCTGTTCGCAGGAGGTGACAACTAACTCCTGGGGAACCATGAATGTCACCCACAGGAGTCGGCAGCTAGAGGGTACACAGAGGCTGCACAAGTTCATGCGGGAGGCTGAGGACCTGCAGAGCTGGCTAGCCAGCCAGAAGTGGGCGGCTACACGAGGGGAGTGTCTGGGAGAGGACTATGAGCACGTGCTGGTGAGGGGCCATGGGCAGGGAGGACACTGAGCAGGCGCTGGGAGGTGGGCAGCTGGTCCTTTGGGGTAGATGGAATCACATGGCCTCAGGGTAGTGGGCAGGTGATGGCCATCCGACCCCACTTGGTCCAGTGGGTCCCTGAGATCCCTTACTCCCCCAGCTGCTTGCTGCCTGCCTGCTGGGCCCACCCTGTCACCCACTCCCCTCTCTTCTCAGGACCTCTGCACCAAGTTTGCAAAATTTCAACACCAGGTAGAGGTGGGCAGCAAGTGGGTAGCTACCTGCCAGCAGCTGGTGGAAAGCCTGCAGGAGTGTGAGCATAGAGCTGCCCCCCAGGCCCGCCAGCGGCAGCAGGACCTGCAGTGAGTGCCAGGTTTGGGGGAGGCTGCATGGGCCAGGGAGGGTTTCCCGCGGACTTCCTCAGCAACCTTGGGCCCCTCCCGTACAGCCAGTCCACACCACATTTCTATGATCACCAGCAGGGCACCTTGAGGCAGGGTCGTGACTGGTCCCTGGCTTGGGCCCTGGCCTGGTAAGAAGTCTTTGCGCGCAGCAATTTGCTAAATAAACAAGGAATGGAGAGATGTGGTCTCCTCCCTGAAGGCTGTTGTAATTGGATCAAAATACTGAGAATCATACAAGATGCAAGAGCATCACAAAGCAGAGGTCAATTAAATCTGAGCATTACAGTGGTAAAGGTTCACCCAGAGGCCCTAGAGAGACAGGAAGACAGGCAGGGCCAGAGGCTGGAGAAAGCCTCTGGAGGGCCGAGAACCATTCAGGAGTCTTGGGCAAGGCAAGCAGCAGGTACAAGCCAGTGAGGAGGAGGGCTGACTACTTCTGCAAGGGAGGAGGATCCAAGCTGGCCATGATTGAGCCCTTTCTGCTGCTCTCTTTTCTGCTGGGAGCAGGACCACCTGGTTGGAGCTGTGGGAGCTGACCCAGGCCCGAGGCCACCTTCTCCGAGATGCTGAGACTGCCCTCAGAGTTCACAGAGACCTTCTGGGGGCCCTCACCCACATCCAGGTGTGAGCCCAGGGTAAGGAAGGGGAATCTTTCCAGGCTCAGACCCCTCACCCATCTCCCTGGTCCTGTCCTCAGGAGAAAGCCTCAAGCCTCCCCAGGGATGTGGCCCAGGACCTGCATGCAGCAGAGGCGCAGCTGAGGGCTCACAAGGCACTGGAGTGTGAGCTTCTGGGCACTGAACACCAGGTAAGGAGCTGACTGCCTCCCAGATGGACCCCCACAGGTGCCCTCCAGCTGGCACCTGGCCCTCTAGATCTCCTCTTCTCCCTTGGCCTCCAGGTGGGCCCGTTGGGCACAGCAGGGTGTGACCCACAGAGTCCCTGTGTTCCCACATGTGGGATACATGGTTGGCCCTTCAGCCTCTGTAAGGACAGCACCTTCTTCCCTGTCCCCTCCCTGTTACCAGCTGCAAGAATTGCTGGAGGCTGGTGGCAGGGTGCAGAAGCTGCATCCAGGGTCTCTGGCCCATGCTGTGTGGCAGAGGCAGCAAGCTGTGAGGCAGGCCTGGGAAGCTCTGCAGCTGAGCATGGACGGGCGCAGGACCCAGCTGGAGCAGGCGTGTCTTGTGGCTCACTTCCATGCTTTGGTGAGGGTGCCTTCCCCTTTGAAGGGTGTGTGTGTGTGTATGTGCGCACGTGTGTACGTATATATAATGTACATGCACTGAGGCCCCCTACTCTGGTGGGAAAACAAGTGTGAACAGGAGGAGCAGAACATGAGCCCGTCTAGATGTCAGTCTGCCTGCCTCAAGGTGGAGCAGAGCTGATGTGGACTCGTGTTTGGAGGAACACCAGCCCAGGTGAGTGACAGCCCAGGCAGTGCTGGAGAGTGACGATACCCTCTGGATCAGCCAGTGTTTGTGCAAAATCTGTTTCCAGCCCCCTGCTAGAGCTGTTCTGGAAAGGTCTGGAAGATGGAATGGCTTCACTTACAGAGCCCACCCATCTGGGGATGTGGACCTCAAGCCTGAAAGGATAGACCAGGACAGTGACCTTGCTGTGGGACACAGGAGTCTCCATATCCCAGAGCCTGCTTGACCAGTATAGACTCAAACTGCAACCCTGTGAACAGACTATAGTTTAGGAACCCTCATCTGCTACTTTGTCACATGTGAACAGGGCCACTTCACCCTAGGTTGTCACCCTTTGTACAAGTGCCTGTGGTGGTTTTGTTTCGGGATGGTGCTACTGGGAATTGAGCTCAGGACCTCATGCTTGCCAGGCAGGCACTGTGCCACTGAGCTGAATACCCGGCCCAAGTGCCCATTGTTTGCAAGACATATTCACATACTTGGTGCAGTGCTTGGACAAGGACCAGGTCTCTCCATATTTAATGCTGTGTAGTCATCTATATATCGACAGGAGGTAGGGTTAGGGCAAGGTAATGTCAAGGTACAGGGAAGGCTATGAAGGGAAAGGTGGCCCCAAAAAGCTGGGATTCTTTCTCCCCATCAACCAGCTGTTTGTTTGGCCACCTTGCCCTCACAGGCATGGCAGAGAGGGGACTCAGGAAGGCCCGCTACCAGGACGGCAATGAGTACCACGGTACAGGTGGTCTCAGTGAGGGTCTGGCCTCCATAGGAGGTTCATGGCTCCCAGAGAAGTGGACTGGGTGGGAACCCAGAAACCAGAAACCAGACCTCTAGCCCCATGGCCTCAGCTGAAGCCGGGTGGGGGGGCTGCTGTTGTGCCTGTGCACCTGGTTCTGCCAGCTGCACTCCTTACCCTCTCTCCTGATCTCTGGGGCCAGGTACGGGACTACACCTCCTGGGCAGCCAGTGTGCTTCGGGGACTGCAGGCAGAGGAGGGGCCCTGGGACCCCAGCAGCAGCCCATTCGCACTCATCACCCACCGACAGCTTAGGGCAGAGCTGGAGGCCCGGGAGGAGCTACAGCAGCAGGCCACCAAGCTGGGCCAGCGGGCACTTCTGACTGCAGGAACACACATCAAGGAGGTGACCTCTTTCCCAGTGCCCCCAGCCTACTCTGACTTGCCCCAGCCTGCCCAGCCACAGGCTCCTGTGCCACACTAGCTTCCCCTCACAGGCTTGCCCTGGGTTCACAGCCATCTTGCCTGTGAAGCCCTCCTCGTCCCCAACCTACCTCCAACCCTGTGCACCTGGGTCCAGCCCTGCCCCACATGTGCCTATCCTAGATCCAGGATGGGCTTGGAGCCCTACAGGAGGAGCATGACCAGGTGTTTCAGGCCTGGACCCAGAAGCAAGAGAAGTTACAGGCTGCACAACAGGAACAGCACCTCCTCAGACAGTGTGGTCACCTGGAGGAGACCCTCTCTGCCCAGGAGGCAGGTCTCCCCAGCCTCGTCTCTCCAGGCCCCCTTCCTTCCCAGGTTGCTTGGTCTTTTCTCTGACCTAGGGCACAGAGGTTGTGGCGGCCAGGGTGGTGCCGGGGTACCTGGGCCTCCACCAGTCTGTAGACCAAGCCCTGAGTATGTTGACTGGAGGCTCCCTTTCTGCAGAGGTTGAGGTGCCACTGGCCCCCAGCTGGGCCCGTCTGCCCATCCTTAGTACTTGGATCAGCCCCATCATGGGTCTCTTGCTTCTCCAAAATGCCTCAGCATAGACAGGCACAGAGAGACTCTGACTTTTTCTGATCCAGGTGTCCCTGGAAACCGGCACCCTGGGAAACTCAGTGGAAGAGGTAGAGCAGTTGATCCACAAGCATATGGTCTTCCAGAAGGTGCTGACTGCCCAGGATAAGAAGGTGACACACTTGGGGCCTCATGGGCGTGGTCAAGGGGTCCCAGTGTCAGGGCTAGGGTGAGCCCTGCCTGGGTGTGTGGGTGCTGGGCATATCCCCAGAGGCAGCACTCATAAGCCTGTGGAGCTTAGATACATGGCTAAAGAAGACCCAGGATGGGCTGGGCCACACTGAGGGACCACCAGCAACATTGAGATTGCTCCACACCACACAGTCACCAGGGAACCAACCATTCAGGGGCCAAGAAAGCTAGCAGGCCTTTGGCCATGCAGGGCTGGAGTTTCCTTGAAGAAAGGACGTTGAGCCCTGGGCACTGGCCCTGCCCCTGCCCCTGCCCCACAGGTGGCAGCTCTGTGTGAGCAACTGAAGGTGCTCCCAGGCCCCAGGGGACAGGACTTGCTTCGCAGCATCCTGGAGCATCAGGCTCATGTGAGGGAGCTGGCGGAAAACCGGGATCGCGTCCTGCACACCTCTCTGCTTATCGCCAGCTTTACCAGGGCCGCCGACCAGGTCAGAAGGCTACACCTGCCCAGTGCTTTCCCTTTAAACCACATTCTTTAGCCTGACATGGCTTTCATACCTGTGAATGGGGAAACTGAGGTTTGGAAGGGCCTGTAGGCGAAGCATCATAGACTCCTGTCCCTACTCATATCAGGCCGAGGACTGGGTCCAGGAGCGGGTCCAGCAGCTGAGACAGCCGATCCCTCCTGGAGACCTGAAAGATAATTGGAAGCATCTACAGAAACACCAGGCCTTTGAGGCTGAGGTCAAGGCCCTGGAGCAGGCCCTGATCTCTGTTGCCAAGGTAATGCCAGGCCTTGGTCTTAGCCTGCCCCAAGTGCAGATGGCAAGATGGGCCAGGGGGAAGGTCTCAGGCAGGGACTCGGAGCAAGCAAGCTTCAGTGTCCCCTCTCTCACCAGCAAGGTGAGGCTCTCCTGGCTCAAAGCCACCCTTGGGCAGGAGAGGTCTCCCAGAGGCTGCAGGCACTGCAGGAGAGTGGGGAGAAGCTGAGGCAGGCAGTGGCCATCCGGGGCCAGGAGCTGAAGGACAAGCGGAACTTCCTGGAGTTCCTGCAGAAAGCAGATCTCACAGAGGCCTGGATCCAGGAGAAGGTGGGGACCCAGCTGGGGACTGAGGTGGGGCAGGGAGAAACCCAGGCCTGCATTCTCTGGCCCCCTGGCAGGAAGGTGTCCTGGTGAGAAGTCTCAAAGCCTCCACCTACTGCAACACTGCCCGGGGCTGGGTGCCCGGGGCCAGTGCTCAGAGTGCTGTCCTCCCCTTCCTCCCTCCGCCTCTGCAGGAGATGATGGTGAACACTGGCGACCTAGGCCAGGACCTCGAGCACTGCCTGCAGCTCTGCAGGTGGCTTCACAAGTTCCAAGGCACCAAGGTGGGCACAGTACCTCCACTGGGAAGCATGGCTCCCAGTCGTGGAAGTGTGGCCTCTGTGACCAAGGGTGGCCTCAAGTGTCAGCTCTGCACTTACTGCTTAAGCAGGCTCCTTGGCTGTTTAAGATGTTGATGTTATGTGAGAAGCTAGGAGAAGGGTACAGGGAGCCTAAGGAACTCTCTGTACTACTTTTGCAATTTACTATGCATCTATAATTATTTCAAAAAATGTTAAAAATGGTATGTGTGCCTGGAGGTACTAATCAGTGTTCCTTCACTGGGATAAAGGGTCAGGGATCTGGGTGGCTCCTTCTTATACCACCTCCCCAAACACACACACACCAGAAACCTGTTTCTCTTTTATAGTATAAAGAGAAAATGTTGTTAGAGATCCTGTGCCAACCCTGTCTCCCTCCTATAAGTATACAAGGTTTTGTTTTGTTTTGTGTGTTTGTTTGTTTGTTTTGTACCTGGGATCGAACTCAAGATCACATACTTGCCAAACAGGCTTTTATGCCACTGAACTAAATCCCCAGCCCTATGCATGGGTTTTTAAAGGCTGCAGTGTTACAGGCAGAACTGCACAGATTCAGTGCCAGGCATTATGGCAGGAAGGGTGTGGGCCTGAGTCCCAGCCCAGCCACAAAAGAACCATCCCAGCCTCTGCACTCTGCTCCAGCACCCAGAAAAGGAGACAAACACCCATGCCTGCAGTCTTGGATGAGACACTTCACAGGGGCTTTGGAAAGTGCTTTAAAAGCTCATCTGTATAAATTCAAAGGACAGGGAGCCTACAATCCCTGCCCCTTGCCCTGCTGGGGCTCTCCTCCCCCTGAGCCTCAGTCCAGTCCTGAGGATGAGACACCCAAATCCCAGGAGGCTGGAGCTCATGGTGCCCCCCTCCACACACTTCTCTCTATCCTAATAAGCTGCATTTGAGTTTTTAAAATGTCTGTTAAAGCTAGACATGGTAATACACACCAGCACTCAGGAGGCTGAGACAAGAGGATTTACATGAGTTCAAGGCCAGCCTAGGCTACATAGTGAGTTCAAGGACAGCCTAAACTACACAGTGAGACCCTGTCTCAAAAAAAAAGCCTGTTAACCAGGAATGGTGCCGTACACCTGTAACCCCTGCACTCTGAGAGACTGAAGCAAGGTCATAAATTCAAGCTTAGCGTGGACAACTTAGCAATTTAGAGAGACACTGTTTCCAAAATATAAAGTAAAGAGTTGAGGGTCATATAGTTCAGTGAGAAGGCCCTGGGTTCAATTTCCAGTCCCATCTCCCCTCAGACCTCTATCAATGAGTGTGTGCCCCCTCCCCTTGAGGAACATATTCCCCGGCATGAGAGACTCTGAGGCTTGGGCTTCCAGCTGAACTTGCTCCCGTACCTGGGCCAGTGGCCTCCGCACCTACCACAGGAAGGAAGACATTCCCCTTGTCCCCTCACATGCTGTTCCTACCTCCGAGTGCCAGCTTCAGTGCCAAGAAGGGACTCTGAGCAAGTGGAATGAGTGCCCTTACCTTCACTTCCCCCACAGAGCGTCGTGGGTGATGCCCACATCAGGACCATCAATGAGCTGGCGCTGCAGCTCAAGAGCCAGGACCCTGAGGAAGCCAAGATCATCTGCCAGCGGCGAAGCCAGCTCAGTCACAGGCTAGTCACAGACTGGGGAGGGAGAGGGCTGGGAGCCAGACTGTGGGCCACCTCAGGTGTCACCTGTCACCCCACCCATTGACCAGGTGGGGGAATTTCCAAGGCAACCTGCTCCAGTACCAGCGGCAGCTTGAAGGGGCCCTGGAAATCCACACGTTGTCCAGAGAGCTGGATGACATCACCACGCGGATTGGGGAGAAAGTAAGCAATTGGGGTCGCCTTGCGCACTGTGAGCTGGGGGAGCAAACACCACACTTCATGTGCCTCTTAGCAAGTGCTTGGAGATCAGTCCTGTCACAGGTCACCCTTAGGGAGGGCTCAGTGACATGCCGTGGAAACCTCCCTTTCATACTGGAAGCCAGCCCACCTCCTCCTTGCTCCTTGGGGTTGCTGTGCGTCCAGAGCCCAAAGCTCATCCTCTTCTGGGCTCCAAGCAAGACCAAATCGCATGGGAAGTTTGCCCCAGATTAGTGTCAGCCACCACAGAGAAAAACACGGCCTGAAATCTGGCTGAGGCGAAAGCAAAGCCACACATAGCCAGGGAAGCCTCGCATGAAACAGACAGACGATGCCCTGTTCCGGGGCCGCCTGGCTTCTTCCGCTGTCTGCCCTCACGCGTCAGGCCCAGGCTGCTAGTTACTGCTCCTGTTCTTCGTAGTTCCACATAGGGATGAGAGTCAAAGGAGAAAATGGTGGGAAGCACTTGATGCAAAGATTCTTTCCTCAGAGGAAACCCAGGCCCGAAGTCCCTCCTCAGACTGTCCTGCCTCCACAGAGGAAGGGACCTGGCCCCACGATCCCCGCCGAGAGCAGTGGGCAAGGACTCATGCTGGATGCTCACTTTCCACGTTGCCACCCTGGGGCTGGTGAGGGCGCAGCTAAAGTGAAGGCCACACCCATAATGGCCCATTCCCCACCCTCAGGGCACCGAGGTCCAGACCTTGGAGGGCAGGGAAGAGCTGGAGATCGTGCAAAGGCTGCTGTGGAAACAGGTGGTGCTGGAGCAGGAAGTGGGCCTCATCCAGGCACAGGTGGAGGTGTGCAGCTAGGGGGTGGGGCAGCTGGCCCTGGCCCTGGGTGCTTCCTATCGGGCAGAACTTTCTAGAGTTTTCAGTAATATAAATAGCCTGCAGTGGCATACATGCCATAGGTTCACCACCACTCCCCTAAGGGATCATAGCAGACACCGGCGGAGAGAGCTTCAGGATCCTGAGAGCCACAGGCCAGGGGCCTCACCAGCCAGAGCCCTCCCTGCCAGCCTCTGATCCTAGCTTCCCCTACAGTCCCTCCAGCACAAAGTGGGCTGTCTCTGCCAGACACAACCTGGGGCAATCCATGGCCTCAGTCACAAGCAGCGAGAGATGATGGACAGCTGGTGGCAGCTCCAGAGCAGGGTGCAGAAGCGGTAGGAGCCCCTTGGGCCTGACTCCCTCCCTGGCCCATTCTCTGCAGTGTTTCAGTCCTTATTCTTCCCCCAAATTCCCATTTCCTGAGAGTCTGTTCTGCCCCATCAGGGTTCACCAGTGGCATCTTATTAATGGTCATATTTTTCATTCTCAATCCATTAACTCTCAGCCCACTCATCCTGAGCCCTTGAGTCCTTTTTTGTTGTGGGGATTAAGAGACAGGAGATGACACAGGTGGGCATGAGGAAAGAGGGCCTGAGTGTCCCTGGGACTAGCTGATGAACCCCGTGGACAGGAGGGAGTCACTGGAAACTGAGCACCAAGTACAGAAGCTCCTGGTGCTACTGGGAGATCTGCTGGTCTGGGCCCAGAGGCTGCGGGCTACAGTGGACAATCAAGGCACTCCCTCTAGCCTCGCAGTGTCCTGGCATATGCTGGAGGAGCACCAAGCATGCAAGGTAAGCTGCAGGGACCCTGGGCCTTTGGGGACCTCCCTTCTCCCTGCATTCCTTCCTGCCTCCGTCTCCTGCTCTCTTCCATCCTCTTCCGTCCCACACAAGGCCCTTCCCCATCTCGCCCTCCCTTCCCTATAGCCCTGGCAGGAGCTAACACCTGCAGGAATCTGAGCCCAGCTCTGTTCCAGGATGAGCTGGATGGCCGGAGAGACAGCATCAACCTGGCCCGAAGCACTGGGCAACAGTTGCTCGCAGCAGGGCATCCTTTGGCCCCCTCTATTCACCAGGCCCTGACTGCCTTAGACCAGGAGCTGAGCAGTCTGCAAGGGGCCTGGCAGGAGCACCAGCTGTACCTGCAACAGGCAATGGAGCTGCAGGTTGGTGCCACCGCAGTCCCCAGCCTGCACCACCTTCAGGGCCTCTGCAGCCTGAACAATCCCAGGCCAAGCCCATGTCAGAGGCTGCTGTGCCAGGGGCTTCCCCACAACAGGTCTGACCTGTGGAAGACCTGTTTGTGGGGCCAGGACCCTGGGTTTGCAGTGACTGGATCCTCTCACCTTTCCTTTTCTCACCAGCGGCTTCTGAGCTCTGTGGAGAAGGCAGAACGTGAGCTCTGCAGTGAGGAAGCCTCCCTGGCCATCGAGGGGCTGGGGGTAGGTGTCCGTCAGAAGCAGGGGGTGCACAAGGCAGCCTGAGGAGCAATACTGAGACTGGGGCTCCCATGCCCAAGCATAGCTGTCACCAAGAAGTTACTTCCCCTTTGGTCCCAAGTGCCTCTTGTTGGCCTGCAGTTCCTTTTTTCCCACCACCATACCAAGCCCATGACAGATAACTGTCTCTTGGAGAACTCAGCAAATATTTAGGGGTCTATATTGTCTGGCTGGTTGCAGAGAAGAGTGTGGGAAAGCTCTTTCTGCCCTGGAGCCTGGTCCAACCTTTACCCAACCCTTCTAAAGCCAGAAGAAGCCTTGAGGGGCTTGAGGGTGACTCAGCGCAGGACAGTGGCTCTGTTGGGAAGGGGTAACCAGGATGGCCAGACACTCCCAGATTCCTGCTCCTGCCAGGACCCCTCGGCCAAGATGGAGGTGCTCCTGCACAAGCACCAGAGGCTTGAGCAGCGCCTGGAGGCACAGGTGGAAAAGCTCAGCACACTGGAGGCCACAGCCCGAAGCCTGCAGCAGGGCAGACATGCTGAGGCCCAGAACGCCCTGGCCAGATGCCAGGCCTTGCTCCTGAGGTACTTGTGGCTCTAGGATGGTGGGGAAATGTGGCTGGACTGGCATGGGCCTCCCAGCTCTCCCTTCCTATCCAGGCTTTGTAGTCTTTCTCAAGGACCAAAGTTGGATGAGTCTTCCCCACAGCACATGTAAACTGCCCCTTCCTTCCTTCTTAATTCACTGATAAAGGGATTAAGGAGAGTTTGACAAGAATTACACACTAAGAAAATAATAGGAAAACCTAGCTGATGGGACAGGAGATAGGAGAGCACAGTGGTTAGGTCCAGGGTCAGGACACCCTGCATTCTCCACTGCCCACTAATGGCAGAACTGGAAGTGAGCTTCTCTCTGGCTTAGCTAAGACTCGAAGCTACAAAGAGGGGCTAACAACAGTGTCTGAGTCCTTCGGGATCTCAGCCAGATCCCTATTGCTCATTTAACTGAGGCTGGGCCACAGACACTCAGGGCCTGCCCGGTTATGACATCAGGTGCTGCCTCTTCCATCTTAAAACCCATCCGCCTCTGCTGCTCTTCCAGCTCCTCAGGCTTTTATTTTTTTTATTTTTTTTTCCTCTCTCTCTTTTTTTTTTTTTTTTTTTTTTTGACTTTTTATCGGTACCAGGGATCAAACTCACAACTGCCTGCTTGCAAGGCAGGTGCTTATGCCGCTGAGCTAAATCCCCAGCTCTTTCTCAGGCTTTTAGATACAGGCAAATATAGCATGGAGTCAGAGCCCAAACTGGCAGGATCCATCTTTCCTAGAGAGGCCACCAGCACTCCCAAATGTTGTGGCTCCCTGGCAGGGGCGAGGACATCCCTCTCCATCCCTGCAGGCAGCCCTCACTTGAGTATGTAGGTCTTTGACTTGACAAATGGCAAAAGTGGTTCCTGACAGGCCAGACACCCTCCAGCACAGTGCCACTGTGACCTTCACTGCACACCCATCCTCAGGAGGGCACCCGCCCTTCTAGGAAGCCTCTCTACACCAGCCACCACCCCACCCCCTGTCATACCTGCCGAGGACACACTAATAGAAAGGGGGAGCATGGTGCAGGGGGCGAGGTGTCCTATTTCCCATAGATCTCACTTATGACTTGTATTTTTGTGCATATGGCAATGTACTTAAGGCATTGGTATAGAAGTGCATATATAGGATGCACTCCTTGGGGGCCAAGGATTTAGCTCAGCAGCAAAGCACCTGCCTGGCAAGTACAAGGTCCTGAGCTTGATTCCCAATACCCACCCACTCCCAAAATGCATAATTTGGTGTGTGTGTGTGTGTGTGTGTGTGTATACATATATATGTATATAGCGCCATATTATTCTATTATAAATTATGTATTGAATGTATATAATGTGTTTGAGGGTTCTTGCTTAAAACATTTTTACTAATAGCAATGTGTAATTTTTAAACAGTAGCTTAGATACTATTAGTCTCAGGGTAGCATAACAAAATGCCACAGACTGGGTAGTGTAAACAGCAAAACCTTGTCTCACAATTCTGTTGGTCAGTGTTTCAGCAGGCTCAGTTTCCTGTCCTCTCTTGACTTGATGTGATTGCCTTCTGCTCCTGCCCTCACACAGTCATCCCTCTGTGTGTGTCCTCATCGTCCTATCTTCTGAGGACACCCACTGTATTAGACTTACCCATGTGTCTGCATTTTATCTTAGGGGCTTTGAAGAGGTAACTGACTCCAAATGTGGCCACATGCTGAGGCACTGGGGGTTCAGACTTCAACACAAGAATCTGGGAGACACAACTCAGCCCGCAGTGAACACTTATCTAGAGGAGAAGCATGATGTGCCTTTATTTCAAAGAATACCTGAGGCTCAGGGTGTGCCGATACCAAGGGGGGTTAGAAGAGCACACCTCTCTCTCTCTCTCTCTCTCTGTCTCACACACACATACACACACACACACACACACACACACACACACACACACACAACAGCACACCCACATACCCCTGTAGCAGTTCTAGGTCCTGGCAGGTGAACACAAGGTCCACTCCTCCTGCAGGAACAAGACCCTCCTTCAGCGAGCCAGGACCCAGGGTCAGCAGCTGGAGCAGCTGCAGACCTTCCTGCAGGATTCCCTCGAGGTACCTTGACTAGGGCAGGTGTGGTTGTGGATGGGAGAAGTCACCACAAGGAAAGGGCACCTCAGAGTTTAGGGAGCCCAGCAGAACTCAGTCTTCCCCAGGTGACCACATGGCTGAGGAAGAAGAACCTGGTGGCTCTGGAAGAGGGCTGGCGGGACCCTGCCACTCTGCAAGCACTGTTGTGCAAGCAGCGGAACTTGCAGGCTGAGCTGGACACGAGTCTGCACCAGCAGCAGGAGCTACAGCAGGTGAGGACAGCCCAGAGCTGGCAGCTGTGTCTGAGCCACAGTGGTGACAGCAGCTCCTGACAGTGCTTTCTCTTTGTTCTCACTTGAGCCCTAATGGGTAGAGCATTACAGTTGCTTCCTGGAGGTTTCCTCTTTAAAAACAGTGCCTTTACAGTAATTGTAAAGATGATATTTTGAGGTGTTAAGTGCATGTGAACCAATTGTGTGGGTAAAGATGCAAAACACTTCTTTTTAACATTACCTTTCTACCTGCCTGACCTCAGGCAGACCCCCTCTGATATAAGATACCCTGCTAAGTACTTCACATGCTTTATCTCATTTAAACAAATAATTATTTTCTCCATTCTGTGGGTGAGGAAAATAAGACTTAGGGAGGTTCAGAAACTTGTAGCTAGTGCAGAGGCTCAGTAGCTTGGGCTGTTGCCCGAACCCAGGGGCCAGCATCCCTGTGTCCCTGAGGTATGTGTCTCTGTCGCTGCAGGAGGGGCAGAGGCTGCTACAGGGGAACCATCCAGCCTCAGAGACCATCCAGGAGCAGCTGAAGGAGCTCAGGGAGCTCTGGGCTAAGCTGCAGGCCAACAGCCAGAGGAACATGGCCCAACTGCAGAAGGCCTGTGAGGTGAGGCCATGCAGGTCCCCGAGAAGTGCGGGGGCTCCAGCCTCTACCTCAGGCTCACTCGTGTTCTGCCCTAGGCCCTGCATCTACAGCGGAACCTGGGGGAACTGGAGAGCTGGCTGGAGCCCATGGAGGTGGAGCTGAGAGCCCCTCTTGGGGACCAGGACCTACCTGGGGTAGGCAAGCTCTTGAGGGCCCAGGAGGAGCTGGAAGCAGCTCTGAGCAGGCAAGTCAGGCGGGCATGGGCCCTACTGGACCAGGCACGAGTGTTGACTTCTGAGCAGGAAGGCCACTGCCTTGCCAAAGATGTGGAAGAACAGGCCCAGAAGCTGCTTCAGAGGTAGAGCACTCAGCCTATTCCTAGGTTTATTCCTCCTTGGCCCCCTTTCCTTGCTCCCAGTCCTTGTCTCCTCCTCTCCTTTCCCCTGCCCATAGTGAGGGGCACAAATTGGGTGAGCACTGTGTCTGGCCCCAGTGCTGATTCCACCCACTCGCCACTGCTGCAGGTTTAAGAGTCTTCAGGAGCCCCTGCAGGAGCGCAGGACAGCCCTGGAGGCTCGGAGCCTCCTCTTGCAGTTCTTCAGGGATGCTGACGAGGAAATGACCTGGGTGCAGGAGAAGCTGCTGCTGGCTGCTGCCCAAGATTTTGGCCAGAGCCTGAGCACTGTGCAACACCTGCAGGAGAAACACCAGGTGTGGGCCCATACAAGGAGCAGCCACCCAAAGTACTCAAGGCTTTCCGCCAAGGACATGGTGCCTTGGGGGCCCCCTGGATTCTATGGGAGGTCCACAACAGGGCACTGTGTAGGAGCAAATCTGTGGGGTGCCATTAGGCTTGAGGCACAACTCAGGTTGTCCCGGGTGTCCAGTAGCCTTCCTGGTCCTCCCTTCTCAGAACCTGGAGAGTGAGATAAGCAACCACGAGGCTCTGACAGAGGCAGTGGTGGACACAGGGCACAAGCTGGTGCAGGTTGGGCACTTTGCTGCCCACGAGGTTGCTGCCCGGCTGCAGCAGCTGGAGGAAGCACTGGAGCAGCTGCGGACAGAGGCAGCGAGGAGGCGGCTGCTGTTGCAGCAGGCCCAGGAGGCCCAGCAGTTTCTGACAGAGGTGAGAGAGCAGGATGGAGCAGAGGGCTGGGGCTGGGTCTGAGAACTCCTGGAGGGTGTGGGTGCTGCAAGACGACACCCAATGGGTTGGGTGCTATGCATCTTTCACCTCATTCTCCTGGGGTCTTAATTCTGTTCCCCAGAGAACTGAGGGAATCAATCCTGATTGATGTGTTTTGAAATTTTGTTGTAGTTTTTCTTCTGCTTGTTCTTCTTCCTCTTCTCCTCCTTCTCCTCTTTCTCCTTATCCTCCTCTTTCTTTTTAATCCTTGAAATAAAGTGGTTCTCAGGCCATGCTTTACATCAGAATCAACTGGAAACTTCGGTGCTGATTATACCTAAATCACCTCCCCATGGTGAATGCTCTTATATAAAGAGTTAAAGTAGTAAGTGAAGAAAAGAAATATGCTTAGGAATAGAAACCAGATTTGGTTTTATTATTGTGAAATAACAAAATCTTGTCGGACACAGTGGTGCATGCCTATAATCTCAGCACTTAGCTGAGACAGAAGACTCACCGCAAGTAAGGTCAATATGGGCTACACAGGGGGACCCTGTCTCAAAAAAAAAAAGAATGAGGTACCTTTAGAAAACACTGACCGTTGTGGATGGGGGCACACACCTGTTGTCCTACCTGGCATTTATGAGGCCACAGTGGGAGGGTCACTCAAGTTGGAGACAAGTCTGGGCTATATAGTGAGACCTCCTCTTGAAAAACACTGGAGCTCAGGCTCCATCCAGACCTCAGGAAAACTTGCTGGGTTGGGCTGGGATTCACCAGGTGACATCATGCAGCCAGGTGAGAACCATTGCTCTGAATCTTGAGACTTCAGAGCCTAGCTAGGCTTAAACCTCAGAGGGCTTTGCCCAGGGAAAAATGAATCAGTGTCATCACCCCAGCTCCTAGAGGCAGAATCCTGGCTGGCTGAACGCAGCCATGTCCTGGACAGAGAGGACATGGGCCAGAGTGCCGAAGCCACACAGGCTCTTCTCAGACGGTTAGAGGCCACCAGGAGAGACCTTCAGGGGTTCAGTAGGCGCATTGAGCAGCTGCAGCAGACAGCAGCCCTTCTGGAGTGTGGGCAGAACCCTGACAGGTGAGCAGGAGCCACGCCCCGGAAGGGGTCTGGGAAGGGTGCTCCCACCAGAGCAGCTGAAGCTCAGGTCTACGCTGTCTCCATTGCAGCCCCAAGGTGCTGGCCCAGCTGCAGGATGTGAGGCAGGCCCATGAACAGCTGCTGCGGAAAGCAGAGTGCAGGGAACAGGGCCTCTGGGAGCAGCTGCAGCTTCACCAACTGGAGCAGGAGGTCCTGCTGCTTGATGCCTGGCTGAACGCCAGGGTGGCTGTTGCTGAGTCCCAGGACTATGGGCAGGACCTGCAAAGTGTCCAGGCAAGACTGTCCTGGGATAATCTGGGACAATTGATGCATCCCCATGTTTGAGGATGAATGAAAGGCCACAGAAAGCAAGCTGGAGGAGGGCGCCTCTCTGTGAGGATCTTGGGGTTCTAGGAGGGTGGAGGGAGTTTAAAGCTCAGAGTTTAGACTTTTGGGCCCCCAGGCAACACTTCCACAGTGACACTCCTGGCCTCCATCCTGGCAGGTGCTGGAGGCGAGGTTTGATGCTTTCAGGAGGGAAGTGCAGAGCTTGGGTCAGGCCAAGGTACAGGCCCTGAGGGAGCTGATGAACCCCCTGGAAAGGAGAGCCCCTGGGGTCTACCCCCAGATTCAAAGCCAGAAGAGTCACATCGAGGCCACTTGGGAGAGGCTGAACAAGGCAATCAAAACTCGCACAGAGGTAGGAAGATAGGAAGCATGGGCCTTACAAGCTGTGTGTGTGTGTGTGTGTGTGTGTGTGTGTGTGAAGTTGGCTGCTTCAAATGCCCACAAACAAGCAGCTGGGAAACTTATGTTCCCCCTTCTAGCTTTCTTCAGTGGCAAGGCTTTCCCTTAGTGCATGTCTCAGCTCCAAGGAGAAACAGCACCCATCTAGCCAGGTTTCTGAAGCCCTCAGGCATCCCCAGCAAGGGCTCTAGTCCTTAGCAGATGCCCTTGCTGGTCCCTTCTTGTTACCCACGTGGCTGGGTGCTACAGGCTCTCATGCAATGCTGCGCTCCAACCCATCTTCCCCGCCCCCACCAGCTCTTCGTATCCAACTGCGTATCCAACTGCCTGGGTTTGTATCAAATAAATCTCCAGCTTTCTTCCACGTCCTTAGCTCTCAGTCACAACTGCTTGGTTGTTTTTTGTTTTGTTTCCTGTCTTTGTGGTATTAGGGATTAAACCCAGCATCTACCTTTGCACTGCTACGTCTCCAGCCACCTTTTTAAAATTATTTATTCTGAGACATGGTCTAAGTTGCCCGGGCTAGGCTCACACTTGTAAGCCTCCATACCTGGCTGCCACAGCTGCTTGTGTCTGTCAGAGAAGCCTGGTTCCCTGTGCTCCACAGCAGAAAAGATATCTAGGGGCTGGCCCTCTCCTCTTCTCCTGGATCTCATCACAGTGTTCAACCTCCTCCCTCATGGGGCCCCAAGCTCACACCCCCAGGAAGTTACACCAGCCCTTCTTAGATATGTTCTCTCTCTCCTCCCCACATGCTCCTGGGCCCAAACACATCACGAGCAACATCATATGTTCATCGCCAAGCCCTACCAGTTAGCAAGGAGGTGGCCCTGAAGGCCATGTCTCAGGGGAAGAAGTCAGCCCCAGCAGGCCTTCTGTCCTCTTTCAGAACCTGGCTATAGCCCATGAGCTCCGAGGCTTTGAGCAGGAGGCAGCAGAGCTCCAGGGCTGGATACAGGAGAAAACTACCCTCCTAGAAGGACAGCTCCATGGCCACAGCCTGCCACCTGTGCATCCCTTTCCGCAGCAGGACAGCTGCCTGCAGGTGAGTGATTCAGAGAGATAAAGGCTTTGTTTCAGTGTCTTCCCTCTACCCAGTGACTCCTACCCAAGCCCTCTTCCCAGAATCCCAGACACTCTTCCTCAGGGCCTCAGAACTTGACCCAGGTTGTAAAGCAACACAGTGCAGACTCCTCAGTAAGGCCTGGGTGGGGCCGGGAATACAGCTCAGTGCTATTGCCCCTGCCTGGCAAGCACAAAGTTGTGAATTCTATCCCTGGTACAAACAAACAAACAAACAAAATTCCTGGGTATGCAGGGGACAGGCATGGGGGTGGGGGCAGACTGAGGCCTGATCTTGTTCTCTGGTTGCAGAGGGAACTGGCAGCAATAGAAAAGGAGGTGGCACAGGTACAGATGGAGGCCTTCCAACTGGGCCAGCGGCACCCTGCAGCTCAAGAGGGCCTGGCTGAGCTGCTAGTCAAGGTGCAAGAAGCCTGGGCCACCCTGGAGGAGAAGGTCCAGGAGCACAGCCAGCAGTGGGCACAGGCAGCCCAGGGCCATGCCTTCCTCAGGCACTGTTGGGAACTGCTGTAGGTAGCATCTTCCTCTGCAGGGATGGGTGTCACCCTGCTTTGGGGGAGCAGGACTCTCTCAGGCTACCCTGCCAGCCCTGACAGCAACTTCTTTCCCCTGCCTTGCAGAGCATGGGCTCAGGAGAGGCAGGGGATTATGTCCTCAGAGGAGCTAGCCAGGGACCTGGTGGGAGCCAGGCAGCTCCTTGGACAACACAAGGAGCTTGGGCAAGAAATCCAGGAGCACTGTCTTAAAGCCCAGGCCATATGGCAGGAAGGACAGCAGCTGCTGGACAATGGCCACTTCATGTCCCCAGAGGTATGAGCCCAGAGGCTGAGATGAGCCCAATTGCCCAAGGCCTCAGAAGCCCTGGCAGTCATGGAACAGAAGCCAGCAGGCCAGAAAGACTGGTTGAGGGAGGGAGGGAGAGGCTGAGAAGAGGTAGGTCCTGGTCTCGTGGCCTGTCCTCTGCTCCCCACAACTTCCCTGCCAGCCCTGCCCCAGGCAGGAGCTGTCCATGGGCTCTCTTGGCATCAGCACTTCTCTACCAGGTGGCACAGAGTCTGCAGGAGCTACAAGGGCAGCTGCAGGAGCTGCAGGCAGCCTGGGTCCTGCGTCAGCAACGCTGTGAAGAGAGCCAGAGCCTGCTGGAGCTGCGGCAGGGGCTGGAGCAGGCTGAGGCCTGGCTGGCCTCCCGGGAAAGCCTCCTGTTGCAAACTAGCTTCGGGGTGAGTGAAGGCCCTCCTGGAACTGGTGTCATCAGGCAGCCACAGCCTAGGGTGGACCACTCACTGGCTGCCCAGCCTGGGCTGTGGGGGCTGAGGGAAGGCCCTGAGAACCCAGGGCCTCACCCTGACTTGCCTCTCCTAGTACTCAGTGTTGGATGTGGAGAGGCTGCTCCACAGACATGAGGACTTAGAGACACTGTTGGCAGCCCAGGAGGAGAAGTTTGCTCAGCTGCAGAAGAGGTCAGAGGTGTGGCACCAGGCAACAAAGGAGATGGGGTGCACTGAGTTGGGAGCTGAGGGCTGGTGGTAGCAATAGTCCCTCCACTTATCCTGCACATCAAGGCTCCCAGGCAGGGAATCCTTAGCCCCTCAGTCCCTCAGGGTTTACCCTATACTTCCTTGGCACCGCAGTGGGACAGGACACCACTGTAGGTTGGCAAGAGAGGGCAGTCAAACATGAGCATCTAGCACTCTTCAGAGTGTGATGCAGAGGCCGAGTGGCCTACAGCAGTGGCTAGTCTGCCTCAGATGGGCTCACCTTGTCCCCCACCCCAAGGTGGAAGAGAAGCCGCTAAAGGACCAGATCACTGGGAGAGCTGGTAGCCCCCCAACAGCCATCCAGCACCAGGGCCCAGGAGCGCAGCCAGCTGAGACCAATATCCTGCAGCCAAGTGTCCCTACTGGACTGTGCACACCCCTCACCATTAGTGTCTCCATGGAATCCAAAGCTGGGCAGCAGCAGCCCAGTGGAGCGAGTGTCAAGGGGGTAAGTTGTCCCTCCCCCAGCAGGCAGTGAGGCCCTGGGGGCTTTAGAGATGAAGCAGGGAGGAGAAGGGGCCTGTGGTCTGCTGGCCTGACATTTCCTGGGCCCTGTCTTGCAGTTCCAGGAGACAAAGGGTACCCCCACCGTGGAGGGGTCTCTGGAGCTTAAGCGGTGGCCTGTTCCTGGGGGGAGGCAGGTAAGTGCCACCAAATTCCCTGTGCAGCTGCCAGGATGCAGGGACCACCCATAGACTTGGGCAGAGCCCACATCCCCTATTATGACCAGAAAATGATGGGGTTCTGGTTTCCCCGTCAGTCACTTCCCCATGGGGACCAGGGTCTGGCCCAGAACTTTCCCTGGGACACTATGGAGATGGGTCAGACTGGCCAGACCTGGCTGTAGCCTCCCTCATATGTGGCCTCATCATAGCCCAATGCCAGCTCTTGGGACAGGTGCTAGGGGCCTTGAGTAAGAGGGTGGCAATGGGGGCGCGACAGTAGGGGCTCGAGAGAAGCAGCAGGTGGACAGGAAAAGCCCCATGGTGGCAGGGGAGCTGAGATGACCATGTGATTCCTGCCCCGAATCTCTCCTCAGAACGTGGCTTCCCTGGCCCCCCTTGATCTCAGAGAATCCCAGTGTGAGAGGCTGAAGGACCAGAGTGTGAGGAAACACATGTTCTCTTTAAGGTGAGAGACTGGACTCAGGCAGTAGGAGGCAGAATCCCTGATGGGAAGGGGAATTTGACACCTGACTGTTTGGGTGCCAGGCAGAGCAGCGGGGCACATATCCTGTTGGCAGCACTACCCAAAGGGCAGACTGGACGCTGGCAGCGAGCCCCAGGCAGTGCAGGTGAGCACAGGGAAGGGGGCTGGTAAAGGCAGGGTCCATTCCCAGGCTCCCCACTATGGTGTGTAGAGCCTACATAGGAGTTTGCTAGGCTTTAAACCTGAGAAGAACAGGGCCCAGGGAAGCTAAGTGATTTGGCTGAAGACTTTTGATGAAGCAGCCCCATCAGTGGTAGAACCAGATAAAAGCCCAGCTGCCTCCTCCTGGTTCTGCTCTGCACTCTCTGGAGTCCATCGCTCAGGCCTCCCCCTCAAGCCCTTCTGCCAGGGCCTATAGATTCTGTTCCCTCCAAAACTTCCCCATCTCTGCTCTAATCCTGGGACTTCTCTAACCTCAGTCATCTCTGAAGGCCACTCTACAGGTGTCATAAGGGCCATCATCAAGCACTTGGTGAGCAAAAGGAACATGTGGAAAGCATCCCTTTGGGCAATTTCCATCATCATTTGTCTGATAATGTCATAGGAGGCCTGGGGCTCCTTCCAGCCTATAGACCCTGGCTCCATTTCTAAGGTCATCTTTCTAGAATCCCAAAGTGACCATTTCTTCAGTATTTGAACACCTCCTACCTCCAGCTGAGACACACGGGAGCCTGCCTGCCTGCCTTCAAGTGTCTGTGCTGATATCTGTTTGTCTGTATGGGAAGGCAGGCTACAGGCAGGCTCCTCAGGGCCAGCGGCGTGGTGCGCAGGCTAGAGTAACTGTCGTTCTCCCCTTGCTGTCCAGCCCAGGATCAGAGTGCAGAACCCATGGCCAGCAGCTCAAATGAGACAGCAGCTGCTCTGCTCAGGTAGGGTGGGGTGGGGCTCCTGTGCCCCAGTGACTGACATGAGGCTTCCTCCTTAGCTCGAAGTCCTGAGACACAGTTTGTCCTGTAGGGCTGTGAGGGAACCCCTGAGGAACAGGGATCCCTAAGACTGCTGGTTTGGATGCAAAGCCAAGGCCACAAGGCTCCCTTTCTCTCCAGACTCGAGGGCTGTCCCCCAACAATGGCTCACTCCACCTCAGCTCTGCCCTCTGCAATGGAAGACACCAAGTGACAGGCCCAGGCCTTTTCCACTCTAGCCAGCCTTTAGGTAGGTGGCATCCTGGCTTCCTCTTGGCCACTTCTAGACTCTGGCTGATCTTGCCTGGTCCAAGGCCCATGCCATTGTCACCTCATGACCTCCCTTCACCCTTTCAAGACTGAGTTTTCAGGCTATCCCAGCCTCCTGCTGTTGTCTCCTGCTCCCCAACTGCAGGCAGGGATGGGGGGTGGGTGCATGTGTGCCAAGGCTGAGAGAGTGCAAAGGCTGAAGTACATATACAGGGTTTTCTCTGGACTCCTCAGCCTCCTGCAGATCCTGACATCACTCAGATGCTCGACACCACCATCTTTCCCCTCCACACCACAAGGCTTTGGGCTGTTCGGAAGGGACACCTGGTGCTGGAGAAACAGGGGAGGAACCAGAGACAGGCGAGACACGGTCGCACCCTCCAGACAGGAGCCCTTAGAATAAGCCAATGTCATGGCTTGGCTGTCCCTATCAGGCAGCAGCCAGGGATGGGTGTCTAACAGTCAATCCTACTGGGTCCACATGTCCCAACTTAAGGTTCAAGTGAAATGTGGTTAAAGAAGGAGGCCTTGTCCTAGGCCAAGTAGCCATTTCTTCTGCCCTGAAATCCCTAAATGCCCGGGACTGATAGACACAGCAAGCCAGATCATAAGCATCAAGGAAATTAGCTCCCATCCACACCAGAATTGGGGTCATCCTATGGCTGGCTGTCAGCCCCTGACTGATGGTCTCTCTCAGCTGCAGGCACAGGGGCTACTGTGGACCAGTTTTTGGAACAGACAAGTGTTCTACAGCCTGCTACTGAGGCCACTGTCACTGATGTCTGGTTCATCTGATCCCAAGTCGGGCTGCCCCTTCCATGTGGCAAGAATTGTGCTCTAACTGGATCGTGGCCCTACCCTGCTCCCTGCCTGAGTGAGGCAGACAGGGCAGGGGCCCAGAGTCACCAAGAAGATGCTTGCTCACTGTGAGGGGTGCCCAAGCTGACGAGCTCGCTGTGTCAGTTACCCAGAGAGATGGACTGCTTTGCTTTTTAACCAAGAGCCTGGAATGACAGATGACCTTGGAGACTGTCATGCATTTGGAAGTGCATTTGTATTGTAAAGTGCTTTGCTTCACTCTGTACATATGGTCACTTGTCCCCATCACTTCCCACAGCCACAAGGCCACTGAGCCCTGCCTGTCCATGGAAGGTGGCTCCATTCCACTCCATGGACTCTGGCTATGGCTACAGCCATAAAGAACCAGGCCACTCACTCCCAGCCTCTTGCAGGGGGTGAGAGTCCTCAGCCTGGACTCTGTGCAGGGTTGCTGGTGGTTTCAGTGCCACCCCTGGATGGTCCTGAGCATCACAGCCCCCAAAGGCTCCAGAACACATGATGATGCTGTCTCCATGTAGACTCACAGCCACAGGGAAAAGGGCTGGCAGGGCCCAGCTGGGCATCTCCCACCATCACTGGGGTCTGTGCTGCCTTCGCAGCTGCCGCCGCTGCACAGCTTGGCGCAGGGCCTCCAGAAGCTGCTTCCGGTTGTTGCAGATGTTGTAACGTGTCAGGTGCAGCAGCTTGTCCGTATCCTCAGGGCTGTATGTCACCTTGGTGTAGTGGTATGGGGAGCTCGTAGAGGACAGTTCCACCTCCCCAGCTGCCTTCTCCTCAGGTGTCCGCCGCACCCCTGCAAAGACAAGGCAACCTGGGCAGGGAGAGGACTACATTGGGGAAGGAGTCTGGGCCACTGCAGAGAGGTAGGGTAGAAGAGGGGGTATCTGTGGCTCACCAGGGGCCGAGTATTCCTGGAAGGAGTCATTGACCAGAGGGAAGTGGAGCACAATGGGGGCTTCAGGCTGGGTGGGGTCGCAGAAGGCATGGCACTCCTGAGGGTGGCTTTGCTCCTCAGGGCTGGGCGAGATATGAGGGAATGGAATCCCCTGCTCCTTACAGAAGTGGTCCAGGAGCTGCAGCTGCTGCAGGGCGTGCAGAAGGGTCATTAGCAGGAGGCAGATGCATAGGACCTACTGTCCGTAGGCTGAGGTGGAGACTACAGTGGATCCCAGGGGCGGGCCCACCATGACAAAAGCTATGACCTGACACTGCTTGCCATGCAGTCCTTAGTTTGGGGAAGTTGGGGGCAAATGTCTCTCACTGGAGCAACACAGAAACTCTCAGCAGCAGGGCCCACAGGGCCAGACCTTCCAGAGGGGTTAGGCACAGGAAAAAGGACTCCAGTCCAAAATGCAGAGGGAAACCTCCCCAGCTGCTCCAGCACCATAGCTCCTGGGCCAGGGAAGGTGCCCTGGTAGGACTCACAGGATCCAGCATACCATTCTACATGGTGTCACTGTCACTCAACCTAAGGTGAGCTGCACCAGACCCTGGACACCAATGGGCCAAGGAAGAGGTCAAGCCAGGGTCACCCACCACCTCCCATCTGTCCTGCAAGAGTACTCACGTGCCCCTTCTAACCTGGAAGGCTCCATGGAGGTTATAGTCCAGTGACAGGATGAGGTCCACATCCCGGGTAGGCTGCAGGAGTGGCAGGCAGCTAGTATTGATGAGGTAGCCGACATCCAACAGACAAAGGTGGGGCTCTGTGGGTGTCAGCTGATTGGGGAACCCATCCAGTTTGGTAGCTGCAAAGGTTTGTGAATGGGGTAAAAGCAGCAGCAACTGTCATGACACTGGGGACCAGACAATGAAGCCCATGGACAGAGACTCTTCAGCCCCAGCTCTGCTCTGCTGCACCCCACATGTTGCAGCACCAACACAAGCAAAGATCAAAGAGTGCTGTGCTCTAGGAAGGGAGGGACACTGTAGAGCTGGGACTAAGGCAGAAAAACCGCTACCTTTCCAGGTGGAAAAGTGGGGGTGGTGGAAATAGTCCTTGTGGAAATGGAGACCATGCAGAAAATTGTGGGTGGCCTGGGCCAGTGGGCGCCTTGTGAGAAGATCGGTGAAGAACTCAGCAATCCGGCCAGCTGCTGTGGGTGGTTCTTCCATCTTCACATGAGGAACCTGCTCCTTGTCTGATCAGCAAGAGTATTGGGGAAATAAGGCTCATGGGTCCTTATCCCAGTCTCTGTGTGAAGGGGGAAACACTGAGGTCCCTCGAGCCACCACCCTCAGTGTGCTGCCCAAGCACCTACCCAGGTTGGCCCGATCCTGGGCCCAGCGGTCCCAGAACTGGCTGGGGTCTGAGGACCAGTACAAGCTGTCCTGGAGGTTGGCTGCATACAGGTTGCTCCAGATACCTGAGGGAGGACCATGAGAAGAGTTCCTGCCCCATCACGATCTGACCATTCCAGGTGGCCCATCCTAGACCAGGATACTTTTTGGGGCTCAGGTCACAGCTCAAGGGTACTCCTCACCTCCATACTTCACCCTGGTGGCCCTTACCTTCCAGGAAGCAGATGCGGGACTCCGGGAGCTGCTTCACCAGCCGTCCCATGAAGAACTCAGAGCCAAAGAGCTCAGAGGGGATGAAGGCCCCATACTTGGGGAAGCCAACCTCAAAGGGGGAGAACTCACACCACTCTGTGAGGAGAGCACTCATCTCAGCTTGGGGCATCCAGAGACACCCACAAACCCACAACAAGCTTTGCTTAGGCAGCCTTGTGACTAGAGGCCCAGGCCTCATTGCTGTGACTTGAGCACAGAAACTGATGCCCTTACCCTCGTTCCACAGGCCTGAGGAGCCCCAGTAGGACAAGTCTCTGGGACCTGGCCCAGAAGAGACTGGTGTAAGACCTGCTTCCCACACACATGCCTCACCTTCACCCCACAAGAGCAGGTATCTGTGTTTTGGGGCCACTTACCTCCAAACTCAAAGGTTGTCAGGCTCTGCTCCTTGGTATTGAGGGCACAGTAGATGGGCAGAGGGTTCTGGCCACGACTCAGGGCCTCTCGTTGATCTGAGAGCCTGTGGTCATGAGGCTGAGGGAAGAGCATCAGAACCTAAGTGTGCCGCTTCCTGGGTCCAAACCTTTCCTGCCCAACCCCCAGGAAGGGACAGATCCAGTCCACATACCCCATCATGCAGCAGTGCCTCATTGATGAGGGCCCACAGGTTGGTGAAGCAGGGAGGGTGGCCCAGGCGGGTACGCTCAGCCAGCTCCTGTTTATACCGCCACAGCTTGCTAGGAGCCAACACACCCAGCTTACTCTTTGTCACCTGTGTCTTCAACAACTCAGTGGGCCTCGCCAGGTCCTTCTGAGACCACTCTGGGTCCTCATAGAGGTTAGCCAAGGCCCTAGGAAAAGGGGAGGTAGGGTCAGAGGTCTTATACAAAGAACCCCGTCTGGGCTGCACCTATTAACTTCTCTTTTGGAGCAAGCAGTCCTCTGGAGCATCTCTCCCTGTTGTGTTTGCCACCCAGCCTCCTGGTTTGTTTGAGGCCTGTGAGATTCAGCTGCCTTATCACCCACACCTCCTCCCACCCAGACCCAGTGCCACCCCACTGGCTCCAGTATTCAACCTGCCAATAGCTCACCAGGTGGAACCTGAGGCCCCTGTGATGTAGGAGATGCAGTCCAGGAGGCCCAGCTCTTTCAGACCAGCCAGCTGTCCATAGAGTGATGTCATTGCCCGGATCCCACCACCCGTGGCCATAATGGCTACCACTGGGATCTGGAAAAGAGGGTAGCCAATCTCAGAGGCTCAAGGAATGGGGAAGGCCATGCTCCATGAAAAGGAGGTAACAATCAAGGGCCCTTCAGCCCCCAAAGCCAGTCCAGATGTGATTAGGGGCCTGGGACAGTTGTGAGTCAGCGGTGCTAGGAAGATCTGTTTAGGAACAGCCTCCCAAGGGCCAGGCTTCTCTACTCATGAGGGCCCCAGGGTATATAGGTCATTTGCCCCTGCCCCAAAGGCCTGAAGAACTCTGATAGAATCAATCTCTGGGATCTGGCGCAGGAGAGGAGAGTGTAAGAGCTACCTCCTGCACACAGCTTGGTTACCTTCACCCTACAAAAGCACAGGCCCTACTCTAACAAGTACTACACCTCATCACTTCTGCTCATGTTCCTGGGGAGTCTAAGACCACTTTCTGGAAGTTCTTGGGCCACTTTAAGAGTCTCAATAGTCCATCTCCCTGCCTGCACCAAGCCATTCCCCTACGAGATGAACCAAGCTGATGTGAACCTTCTGGGACCTCCAAGACAGGAGGCTGTTCTCTACCAGAGGTCTGTATTACTTATCAGTTACACTGGGCCCAGTCCCAAACCTGGGCTAGGCCAGGGACCACAAACACAAGGAAAGAAAGCTAGCCCACCAGGGACATTCCTTTGTGTGAGCTCCAGATGCCTTGTGTAATGCTCCACACACACAACCCTGATGACATCAGTGGAAAGAAGTCAAGCTGAGCTGGCACGCAGGAGGAAGCTATGACCTCAGGTTGGCACCAGCTCTGGACCATTCATAGAACAGCCAGGTACATCATTCAGCCTTGGGTGCAAGCGAGCCCACAGTGACCCGCCCTAGACCTGCTCAGACCCCAAGCACCAAACCTCATCCTCCTGTAGGTCTCTGTCCAGCTGTAGGGCCTGCTTTAGGGCTGTAGCCACCACCTGCTTCCGCCTGTTCAGGAAGGCCTGCTCCTCGGTGCAGGGCCCACTGCCCAGCCGCACAGCCAGCTCCCTTGGGCTGGAGGAGAAGAAACATCTGGGATGCCGCTCTTGGCACTCCCAGAGGACAGGAAGCTGGGTCTGCCTTCCTGCCAGCTGCAACCTTCTCCTCTCTACTCTCATTCCTTCCCCTTTCTCCCCTCCCACTTGACTCTGCATGTGACACCTGTGAAGTGAGGGGAAAGTAAGCCCAGCCCATGAGTTGACAGCAGGGGCAATACAGCAAAGCATACTCGTGGGCCTGGGACTGTAGTGACAGAGGAGTCCATGCTGATGCCAGGTGCAGGGAGCTGGCACAGTGAATCCCACTTCAGTCCCATCTTCTTTTCCTCACCCACCAACTCCAAAAGTGGTGACAGAAAAGAAGGACAGGTAGTCCAATGGTCCCTTCTCTGTGTGGGGAGAAGCTGCTCTCCAACACAGGGAGGGCTGATGGGTGACCCTTCTTGAAAAGGGATTTATGATCCAGCTATACAGCCTCTACTTAAAAAGGGTACAGCACCCCTTCTCCTTGCTGTTTGCACCCCAAAGCCTGGTCCAGTTCACATTCCCCAACCTGTTCATGCAACCAAACATTTATCCAGCACTTCCTGAGTGCTGGGCACTAGGCTAGGCCCACTGTTCTGTCTAGAGTAGAAATGCCAAGTGCCACATCTAAGAAAAAGACATGCTCTACCTGTGAGCCAAGCCCTGTAGCCCTGGAGGGTTAACTTGCCATGAGCCACCCCCTCTCTCCACTGGACCAGCCACCTGCTCCTCACTCTTGCCACTTCCCTGTGGCTTCCATGTCCCTGCCAGGTCTCTTACCCTTCTTCTTTCTTCAGTTCCACCCTCAGCATAGGTTCCTGAAATCATAAATGCTGCTGTCACAAAGGGTGGCCACTTCCATCCAACCTGTTCCTTGAATTGGTTTCTGTGCACCCAACTTGACCCCTCATGTCCCTAGACTTCTGAGCAGTCCCCCAGAGCCTCCCCTTCAGTAAGAGGCCTTTGATGCCAGGGTCAGTCCCATCCCTGCACCCAGCTCTCCTCTGGATACTAGTACCTGGGATGTGGGGAAGACTAGCTTCACCAGCTGGCCAGAGGGTAGGGTCTGCAGTGGCACCTTCAGTTGCTCTTGGGGGTCATCCTACAGGGGGATGAAGGGCAAGCACCCCAGGAGTCTTTACCCTTCTTCTCTTAGTAAGGACCCCACCCGTTCCTGGCAGCAAGAGAGGAGCCTCAGGGAGAGAAGTAGGTGGCCAGCATCTCCAACTTCACCCAAGACAGTGGCCCTAGGTAAGCAGAGGCCACGTGGGAGGAGATATGGAAGGAAGGAAGTGGGAGGCTCTGGCGTCCAGCTCCCAAGGGCAGGCACATTACCTGCAGGTGAATGCTCAGCTCTTGCTCCCAAGAGGCCAGACAGTGGAACAGGAAAGAGCTGGTGCCCTTAGAGGCCTCCTGCATACCTTCACAGGCTCCTGGAACCACAAGCTGAACTCTCCTTTCTGACCCTAGAAATGGGAACCAAAGCAGAGGCCAAGGATGTCATCCTTGCTCAGAGTCCCTCACTGAGCCTTCCTTCTCTCTTCCCTTCCTTCCCTGTCTCCTCTAAAATGAAGATCTGGGTGAGGGCCTAGCCCTGACTGGGAGATGGAGTCCCAACCACAACCCTTGCAGACTATGGGGAAAACCCAGGTCCTGCATGGATTTATCCCAAGCCACACTCTTGCCTGTGGGAAATGAAGACAGCTAGTACAAGGTCCCTTCAAGGTCCCTCAGAAGAAGGAAGACTAGGAATGGAAGTGGAGGGCTGTTGCAGTAGATCACAGACTCACCTTCCCGGTCCCCCACCTCTTTCAGCTGAACATACAAGCAAGAGAGCTCCCGGGCCTGAGTTGGGGAGAGCATCTCAGATACCAGCGCAGGCCCCCTGCATCCTCACCCCTGCCCCTCAGCCTCAGTCACCAAGCCCTGCTTGGGCTGGTTCTCTTCTGAGGCACAATCACCCAGGGGCCCCAGCCACCTGGAGCATGGCTCCTGACTTACCACCAGGATGCCGTTGCTGACCAGACATTCTGCACAGTCTGTCCTGGAAAGAGCCCCAGAGACCTTAGCAAGGGCCCAGGTCTTCACAGTCCCTAAGCCCAAAGCCTGGGTACTCCTCCTGCACCAGGGAGAGCACCCAGGAGGAAGCACCACATTCCTGCCCAGCCTGTCCCATGCCCGACTCACAGGCTCTGCAGCCGAAACTCTACTTCCAGCTGCATCTCACCCTGGAGAGAAAGAGGAGTTAGAGAGAGGAGTGTACGTGTGTGTGCATGTATGCATGCATGTATTCCAATCTAGACATGAGCTGGGCCTGCTGAGGCTGCAGTGATGGGGAGGAGCCACTGTCCCTCTTTGGGTTGCTCTGTCCACATTCTTTGGGTCCTCTTTTGACACACCTGTAACACCAGTACTCAGGAAGCTGAGGCAGGAGGACCACAAATTCAAGGCCAGCGTGGGCCACAGTGAGTCTGAGGCCAGTCTGGACTACATGGTGAGACCCTGTCTCAACCCCCCATTCTCCCCAAACGAAATATAAAAAGCTACCCTTTAGCTCTTCTAGAAGCCAAGAAAGAAGTCTAGGGACAGGACGCTCCTTGGTTACAAGCTGTTCCTAGCTGACAGTGGCCCTGGGGTGCCAGGGATGCCTGCCATGCACTGGAGAAGAGGGGCCTGCCTTGCCTCAGTGTTCAGGGAGAAGCTCTGGCGCTGGAACTCCCCAGCTTGCAGGGTCCCTGCATCAAACAGCACTGATAACACTGCATCATCCTTGGTACACAGGTCTTGGTCAAAGACTTTCAGTTCCAGGATATTCTGAAAGGGTCCACAAAAAGATGTCTATAAGGAGGAGGAATGAATGCGACAGTGAGCAGGGTAGGGGTCAGGAGGCTAGGAAAGAGCAAGTGACCATGATACATGGGGACAGACAGCAGGGCCAGCTTGATGCCTGGACCACCTTGAGCTGGCTGTGGATTCGGAAGCGAAAGGTTTGGTTCCAGACCGGGTCTCTGCTGTTCTTGACGGTGCGCGTCCGCAGCCTGTGGCTGGAGGCTGTGGGCAGCCACAGAGTCACGTAGCAGTCAGAGGGGCTCACTGCAAGGTGGAAGAACAAGCACCAAGGACCAGGGACTTAGCTCAGCAGTGTAAGTGCCTGCCTGGCAAGCACAAGGTCATGAGTTCGATCCCCAGTACCAAAAAAAAAAAAAAAAAAAAACCACCCATGATGGTGAAGAGACTTCCCAGCCCTGCCACCAGAGACCACTTCTCCCAGCACCTGCAAATTATGCCCATGAGGCTAGACCCTCTGCCCCTTCTCCCCAGAACTGCTCCACCTTTTCCCACTGGCACAAGCCTGCTGGTGCCCACTGTAATGTCTTCCTCCCCCAGCCAGCACAAGGCCAGTGGCACAGCATACTCACTCAGGTCCTTGGAGGGCAGGCCATGGGCTTGCAGGACACGCACAATGAAGAGACAGGTCCCAGGGACCTTTACCTGCAGGAGGGAGAAGGGTATGTTTGCTGCCTGCAGATGGGACCACAGCAAAGACTAAGCCAGTCCTGTGAGGTGTAACTGAATCAAAGATTCAGGCCCACTCAGGCCCAGGTCCACCCTCCATGCCATCACAATCCTGAGCCAACAAGAGACAGTCGTACTGACACCTGGCTACACTGAGCAGGGCCGCACCAGGGCTCTATGTACATTCACTTACTTACCACACCACAGTCTGTGCAGAGAAATAAATATGATGAGTGACCTCACAAGGAAACTGAGGCAGAGGAGCAGTCATCTGCCTGAGATCTACTAGGGACTGGTTGGCTCCTATTTATGCCCACACCTAGCTGCTTCTATTTCCTTTAGCCTTTCCACCCTACACCCCCTAAGCAGCTTTGGCACTGGTCAAGGGCAGCAGGGCATATTAGCTACCTTGAAGGAAGGGACATGTCAGGGTCTAGACACACCTGTCCCTCTGCTATCCATCCCATCCTGGAAACTAGCTCTCTGCACAGTGGGAACAGTGGCTACCATCCTCCAGGTCCTACAATGACCCCTAAAGAGCTCTCTCTAAACCCACTCCCTGGTTCTGGGGATGTAGACGCTGGCTTGTGTGCTTGGGAAAAGGAAGCCTGTGTCAACTGGTCCTTCCTGTTGGTTCCCATCCCTGCCTCTGGAAGGACACCAACAGATCCAGTCCAGGGAGTTCCAAGGCCTGGGCCGAGCCAGAAAAGCTCATCGCCTGCAGCAGGGCTCCCACACCCCAAGCAACTGAGTCAGGAGGAATATCAAGCAGCACTTCCCGGGGCACATTACAGGGCAGAAAGTCCCTCAACCAAGGGACTCTGCCTTGCCTCTGCTCACTGCATAAGTCCCACAGTCAGCCTAGTCATACCTAGAGACCATAGCTTCTCTAAGAAACAGCAGAAAGCTGGCAAAACATAGGGGCAAGGTTCAAAGTTAAAAGTTGGCTAAAAGTCACTCCTGGCTGGCAGAGGCCTCTGTGATGCCAGGGTTGCCTGGGCCATGAACTGGAGAAGAGAGGCCTATGCCAGATACCCTCCATAGTGGGTACAGTGCCCATGAAGCCTTACCAGAGCCATGAAGCTGAGTCCTCAGAAGCAAGAACGATGGGGCAATGGCCACAGGAGCAAGGACTGCTGCCTTTAAACCCCAGCCAGGTGTCCTGGATGGCTGGAGCACCTCCCTGGTCCTGCCTACCTGCCACCTCCTCTCCACCCAAGTCCACGCCCACTGCAGAACCAGCCCACAGTCCCGGAAACCAGGTACCTTCAGCCTATATGGAGCTGCTGACACACTCATGGTGCAAGCCCCAGATCCTCAATGACCCAGATGTCCCACGTGTAGCCTGCCCCAGCCAGCCCTGCCTTGAAGGAGGAAGCTCTAGAAGAGCTTGTTGTCAGGGTTAAGCTGAAGGAAAGCAGAACCTGGGGCCTAGAGCAGCAGTGAACTGAGATGCCAAGTGCTCGACATCAGCAGGACCTTTCATAACCTCCTGGTGCCAGTACGACAGGAATGCTCAGTCCCAACTGAAGCCTCTGGCCAATCTGAGAAGTAGTACAGGCTCCATCCACACCTGGCCGGGGACTGGCTTTGCCACGTAAGCAGCCCTTCAAACCTATGTCTGGGTCTGGGCTGCCTCCACCTTTGGGGAAGAGGAGGCCAGAGATGAGCCTGAGCAATGACACTGAGAGACAGGGTCACTTTCTGCTCTTCAGAAGGGTGGCGAAGGACACGTCCTTCAGCCTCAGAAGGAGAATCCCAGGAGGAACAGGACTTCTGTCCTTTCCTGCCTGTGTCTACTGTAGGGTAAACAGGGTTTACCTGCTGTCCAAGATTGAGAAGAAAGCAAACCAGAGTAAAGCCAGGAATGGTGCCAGGGGCCACGAGCCAATGGGGCTTCAGCCAAGCAGTCACAAGTGAACTGAGGCCAACTTGCCCACCATAGGGAAGGGCAGCCAGGGTTGTTGTGGATAGTGCTTTTGGGCAATAGACAGCTCCCTAGGTCTGCATCTGGCCTATAGCCGCATCAGCATCAACCAGAGATTTTTACCTAAACCTTCACATTCTCACTAGGCCGCAGAAAGCAACTGTGACGGAGAATCAGAACAGGTGAATTACAGATTGTTTTATTGACTATTTCCTCTGTGCTGGCCCATACTGGCCTCCCAAATATTATCTCCATCCCCACAACAACCCTTAAGGAGGATCATTATTATTTCTGCTTTGAGGCCGGGGACATCAATGCCAACAGGTGGTGATGTGCCCTAGGTCACAGTATGGGTAACTGCTGGACCTGATCCCTACTCCTTCTCACCTGTGTGGCAACTTCCTGGCACCCTCCCGAAGACTTGCCTAGCACCTCCTGACTGCATCCCAACCCTTGCTGGCTCTGGGCCAGCAGCAGCAAATTTTCAAACTCCAGATTGTCACTGTAGTTGATGAGGCCAGGAGGGACTTGACCTTTCTCCTAAGCTGTCCTTGGTGGTATCTACAGGACACCATCAGTTGAGGCCTGCAGCCTTCGTGAGAGAGTCGAGCAGCTGGAAGTAACTGTACTTGAGGTCGTATTCCATGTCATACCAGAAATTCACTGTGGGGAGAATAGGGACCTGAACATGAGGGTCCATGTTTTAAACTGGAGCCCTCAACTTTCCCCAGATCCCCTGCTGGCCTGCTCAGCCTGCCCCAGATGCTTCTCACCAGCAATGCAACCATGGGACTGCTGGACATGGTGGAACCACAGAGCTGGCAGGTACAGCAGCTCACCAGCCTGCACTGTGCAGCACAGGGCCTGCGTCTGGCTGTAACTCGGGTATTGCGTCAGGTCTGGAGCCAGGGGGTCCAAGGGGATCCAGGGCACCTAGGACACAGCAAGTGCAGGAGGGAACAGGCCCCCAGGTCCAAACCCTCCAGCTCTGTTCTTCTAAAGGTAAATACCATGGATCCCTCCTTTGCTCAGTACTACAAGGCCTAAGAATTAACATCTTTTCAAAGCAAGGTGCCATGTGTCCAGATCTTCTTGCCCTCAGGGCCCTTTTGTCTCCTCAGACAGATACCTTCTCCATGGCTTCTTCGTCCACCATCTTAAAGGTGCCCTCTTCAGTCAGCTGGTAGCTTGCTGGTGTGAACAACTCTGAAAACCCAAAGAAAAGGGTTTTCAGAGCCAGCCTTGCCAGCTCTGCCCCATTCCATCAGGCCCATGTGCTCCCCTGGGTGCAGGGTCAGAGAGTTGAGGTTTCTAGTGCAGTTTAGATCTGTGGCTATGCTTCAGGACTGGACATCAGCCTGCCCAGGTCTCCTGCTGCCCTCCCTCCACTGCAGGCCATCACCTCCATAGCCTCTCCTTTAGAACATATATCCCTACCATAAGGGATAAAGGGCCGGTCACTGGGCGGATGTAACAGAAAGTGTTTCTCTCCAGACACCACACAATACAGGTTCTCATAGTGGTCCTTGTGCACTGTGAACACAGGTTAGGTTGGGAGCAAATCTCCTCCCCTCAGACCTGTACCCTAAAACTACCTATGACAAAAGTAAGAGCACCCAAAGGGTCAGCTGGTTCAAGAAGGTACCAAGGACTCAGGTGTACACCAAGGAACCCAACCCACCAGGACTGGACTCTGGGCAGGCCCTGCACCTCCACCATGAGGGTAAGCAGAGCCAACAGGTTTCTATGTTCCCTGCCCTAGCTAGCCTTCAAAGTGCCTTCCAGGAACCCAGAAGAAACAGCATGCCCCACTCCAAAGGACATGGGTACCCGCCCTGCTGTCAGGGGAGATCCTCTGTAGTGTCCATGTCCCAGAATTCCAAAGGAAGTCTGAGGGATCTGCCAGCCCAAATGCTATCCTATTGACCTTCTGTGCAGGCCTCATCCTCCATCCCTCTACCCTACCGGCTCCTCCCTACCTGTGATCCCCAAACCTACAGGATGTCACTGCGGCTGCCTCCCCAAGCCAAAAGTTCACTGCATCAGGCATCTTTCCTGTAGGGTAGAAGGTAGGTCAGGAAGGCCCCACACAAGGGTGGTCAGGAAGAACCCAGGCAAGAGCAAAGGAATGCAAGGAGTCAGGGAGAATAGGACGAAGGGGCAGAAAGAACAGCAGTAAGCTTCTCTTATGTGTCTATTATTAAGTCTAGGCCAAAGATAGGCTGTGGGCAATACCTGACCTCAGAGAACTCAGCCAACAGCAAAGAAAGAGAACAAAAGAGGGCTGACTCCCTCCTCCCCACTCCACCCAACTCAGCCTCCAGCCAGAGAACACCCCATGCCACCCCACTCCCTCCACTGCCTCCACGCACCCAGAGCCTCAGAGGCCCAAGGTATGTGGGGCTCCAGGTCAGGCAGCAGCTGGGGCAGCTCAGTGGTCAAGTTGGAACATTGCTTCTGCACATAGAGGACTCCCGGGTGCTGGGCCTGGCCCTCTAGCACATCCAGTACGCAGCTCAGGGGCAGGTGTCGCTCTGCAGGCATCACGAAGCGGTCACCTCGTACCACGTCTGCATAACCGTCTGGGGTCACAGCCACACTCACCTCTGTGGAGCCCACAGTGGCTCTGGAGGAACAGACACAGGCTCTCAGGTCAGCTGCCAGAAACCACAGCCCATCCAATACCCCCAGGGAAGCTCCCACCTTAAGTAGGGGAAGGACCACTTCTGAAGGGCTGGCCAGTGCTGCAGGGCATTGCGGATGATGCAGGGCCTGTTGGGGCACACCCAGTCTCTGTAGAAGCAGAGTGGAGTAGGCGGCTGGTCCAGGTAGGGCACAGCAGGAGGTAGGCTGAGCTCTGAGAGACAGCGGAAATGTGGGGCTGAGGGAGCAATACCCAGTCTGCTGCACTGCTACTTGAGGCCGGCCATCCCATGACACTGGGTAATGACCAATGGCTGGCCAAGTGGCCCTGGACAACAACGAAGGCAGGAGAGAGACAGCAGAAGGCACACACACAGAGACGGGCCAGGGCTGTTGCTCAGCTCATAACCCAAACTCCCCACGGGACAGTGTTAGGCCCTGCACAGTGGACACTCAGCCTTGCCACCCAGGAGGGGCCAATCTCCCTGCATCTCTTAGAAGGAAGTCACTGAGGAGGGGAGGGGAGGCCCAGAATGACCTCCATGTGCTGGGCTAGGAAGGGGTTGGGGACAAAGCTCTGGGAAGCCTCCTCCAAAAGTGATGCCAATATGGATACAAAGGGATGACCCAACCACTAGCTCAAGAAGCTTGTAACTCACCTGGGGAGATATGCTATCTGGTGAAGACACAAGAAGGAAGGTGAGGACTGTTTTGGGTCTCACCGCCCTTGGGTACTGGGGATCACCAGGGCTATTTGGACAGCTTATGCAGCAGCTCTCTGCTGGTCCTGTGTCACCCTGTGCCACTCATGACATCCTTTCCCCTGCTCTTGTCATCTTATTATCTCTAATGATGATTCTTCTGTTTCTCAAAGCCACCTCTCTGCCTGCTCTCATCCTCCTTTTAGTCCTCAAATACCACATAAGGCTTCCTTCCTTGACCATCCTTTTTAAAATCACAGTCTGCCTCACACAGGCCTATCCTTTCCCTGCTTTTTCTCCTTAGCCTTACCACCATCTGATATGCTTTATATTTCATGTATCTTTGTCTTCCTCTCCAGAATGATGTAGGCCTAGTACCCAGCATTAGTATATATATAGTAAATATATGCTTAATAGTTGAACGTATCTCAAACATCTGAAGCGGATAGTTGCTGCAGTGAACTAACTAGTTTTTCTGGCTTAACTCCCGTCTGAGAGCACCACCATCTGGACCCAGTCATCTGTAAATACAATTTCACCTTGTCACATGCCTAGTAAAAAATCCTTTGATGTGCTGGGTATGGCACACACCTATAACCCCAGATACTCAGGGGGCTAAGGCAGGAGGATAGCAAGTTTGTGGCCAGCTGGAGCAACTTGTAAGATCCTGTCTCAAAACTTTAAAAGAGGGTTGGGGACGTAACTAAGCACATGTAGGGCCCCAGGTTCAGTTCCCAAGGCCACCCCTACACATACTTTGATGGATTACCACTTCTTACAGAAGACAGACTGCTTGTCACACACTCAAAGTGCTTCATGAGCAAACAAAACCCATTTTTCTACTATGATTTGCTCCAGTTTCACGCCTACTCCTCACCACACACCCCAGCCAATGCTGGACTTCATTGTGACTGCTCACTCAGATTGGAAGGCTTCTCTGGTGGCTTTCACAAGGGCATAGGCCTTTGCTCTGTTACATTCATCCTTCAGGTCTGGCTGAAAGGCCCTGCCCCAGTCAGCACTTATTGTAACCTGCTCCTGATGGCCACGAACTCATCTTCACCACTGACATCATGCTTCACCTCTCAGGGCCACTTCGCCACACTAGTCATCTTTGCCTTGCAATCAGTCAGAAATGTGCAACTTCACATCAGAAACTGGAACTGAACAGAAGACCCTGGTATGTCCAGGAAAACAACTGGCACACATGTGCTTGCTTCCCTTGATAGGGACAAGATGAAACCTGCCATGAAGACATGGGAGGGAAGGAGGAAATGCCAGGTCATCCAAGTAGTCACCTCCAGAGAAGGTGTGATGGCATTCAGTACATCTTCCTGTTGTGTCCATCAGGATTGGGGAGAGGGCAGTCCCATGATTCTCAAAATATGTACAAACTGTCATATTTTATTCTTTGGATTTTCTGCCATTTGTTTTATCTGCTTACCATTTCCTTTAGAGAATGACTGTTAGTGTTTCAAAGTAAGAGAATGTGAGCCAGGGATTTAGCTCAGTGGTGTAAGCACCTGCCTAGCAAGAGGGAGGTTGTGAGTTCAATCACTGGTTCAAAAAAAAAAAGAATGTGAAAAGGGATCCCGTCAAATAACCTAAGAATTCTTCTAAGAATTTAACCAACAAAAATACATCCACAAAGACTCTCCTCCAGGCATGCTGGTTTCTTCACTTCACTAACCATACTGCCACCTAGACTCTGCTGGCCCACACCTCTCTTCTAACCTTCCTTAGGACTTCCTTTTAGTGTGCCCGTGGTTAACTGCCTCTTTACTGAGAAGATAAGCTCTTTGAGCTTTGTCTGTTTGGTGACGTACCCCAAATACAATGCAGAACCTGGTACAGAGAGGTGCTTAAAAAATATTTGCTAAAAGAACACTTAAGTATTGATTGTAGCATTACTAAAACCGACCTACATGGAGATTGGAAACGACCTACAATGTTTAGCTTCATGAGCTGATTAAGTAAATTACAGCGTTCATAGATATGAAAAAGACCCAGGTGGATGGATGTGGAAGACTTCTAGGATGCATGATGCAGAAAAATGTACTTACCCGGCAACTAGTTACAGTATATCAAAAAAGGGCTAGACTCACTCGTGCATGAACATAAAAATCTTTTTGGAAAGATGCAAAGTGGCTAAACGAGTAGCAGGAAAGCTTTTTTTGTGGTATTACTTGGGAATGAAACCAGGGTCTGACTACACTATGCAAATGCTCTCCCACCAAGCTACAGCCAAGCTCCCCACTCTCTTGATAGATTAAGAGCCCCTGTAAAAGCTTACATATATTATATACACAAGTGCCCATATAGCTTCTCCACGGTAATAAACCATGTGAAAGATGGCAAACCTGGCCATAGTAGTGCACATCTGTAGTCCCAGCACTTTGCGAGGCTAAGGCTGGAGGATCTTAGGATAAAGCCCAGCCTGGGCAACTTCGCCAACTCAGATACCTCGTCTCAAAATAAAAAGGCTGAGGATGTAGTTCAGGGTTCAACCCCGAATATACTGCAAAATAAACAAATGCTATAAATAATAAGTGCTATTTTTTAAAAAATATCGTTCCACAGACATGCAACGACGCACTGCCCAGGTTTTCTCAGCACAGGCTAAGCTGGGGAAGCCAGAACTGCACTAGGAAGACCGCGAGACCACAGCGGGCCTTGGGAACACAGTGAGTCGTCACTCCCGGAAGCCAGGACCACCCACGGCCGCCGCACGAGGAGCCGCGGACGCCCCGCTGGCGAGAAGGGCCGTGACCGCACAACACCGCCGCACGAGCCGACTCCGCGGTGGCGGCTGCCCAGGAGCAACGAGGTTCCGGTATCCCAGGGCCCCGCCCACGAAGAGCCACCCCCGCACGCCGCAGCTCTACAAGCACCCACTCACCCCGCGCCTCAGCCGGGAACTCTCGTAAAGCCCGCCTCACAGCGTCCAAAGCCCCAGCCGCCATGACACCTCCGGCCTGTAGCACCGCCCCCCGCGCACGCCAGCCCCTGGCCCCGCCCCTGCCGCACTGCCGCGCTCCCCACCCCGCTATGCGCGGGGTCCAGCGGGTTGCAGCTCTTCTGTAGCCGACCCGCTTGCTGGCATCCCAGTATTAACAAATGATTGTGTTTATTGATAAATTCAAACAGCAATACAAACAGACACGTTAAAAACACACCCCGCCCGGTGCAGCAGAAAGAGACAAGCGCCACGGTCCAGACAAAGTATAAAAGTTATAAATAAGGGGATCTCAAAACTGGGGCGGGTCGAGTCTGGACGGGGTGGCGGCGGCCGGCGACCTTAAACATGCACAAAGGGACATGTCCCCGGCCACAGGGCCCCACCTGAGCTGGGCAGACAGGAGAAGGGCGGCTACTTTCTCACGAACCGGCGGCGGGAATGTAGCCCTGGCCTGGTGAAGACTGGCTGAGGATCGCTAAGCACCTGGCCCTGGGGAGCGAGCCCGCGCCTAGTTGTGGTGAGCTGTGGCTGGTGCAGCCAATTTATTTGCCCGTGCAGGTGGTGGTGGCAGAGGGAGGTTTTGCCCTGCTCTGGGCACCCTCCAGGACCCGGTTTCTTTATCGCTTAACTACAGCGCTGCCCGTGTGTGAGCAAGCTTTTGTGGTCTGAACTGGTCACAATAGTCCTGCTGTGCGGAGTAGACGGAAGCAGGGGGCCCACAGACACGTTCTTCACTCCAACTGTGCACCATCTATTAACTACCTACCGTGGGCCTCCTATGCCCTCTCCTTCCCTTCATCCCTAACCACCACCCCTTTGATGCTAATCTGTCCCCTCACCTCTTGTCACTTCCCTGTGCCACCTGCCACCTTCCAGTGTGTCTCTTGGCCCCTGTGCCTCCTTCACAGCATTGCTTCTGTTGAGATGCATTCTACCAGGACCAGGTGAGTGTTCATGGGCTCCCTCACAGATAGGGTGTGGACACCAAGAATTTTGGATTGTGTGTTCCATTCCTTTTTGTGCTCCTTGATATGCGTTCCACATAAGCCAGGGTGTTGAAGCTGAGGCAGAATGTGAGAGGAACCCAGGCACGCATGAGGCAGCCAAGTACCCTAGTGAGGAGCACACAGTTGTGTGGAGTGGGAGGGGGGCTGGTTTCATCTATGGGTTAGGGTTAGGTGAACGTCCACCCCCTAAACCACAAAAGAAAGTCCACATAAGTGTAAGTTTCTGACCACATCATTTGGGATGCAGTGAGAAGGCAGTGGCTCCTGGGCAGGCTGCTGGGGACCAAGGCAGGAGGATAAGGAAGGCTAAGGGGCTGAGGAAAAGAGGCCAAGGCTTCGTGTCTGCCCAGCAGAGGGCTTTACTGTCCTGCAGCAACACCCAACAGCTGGCTGTAGCCACGAGGGGAGGGGCTCTTGGGAGTTGGAGTGGAATGTGGGGACTCAGGTCCTGATACCAACTCATCTCCTAAGGGCTGGGATGCTGTGCCCTTGCGAGCTGCCAGGAGCTGGAAGAAATAAGCTCTGCTCTGGGAGCCAACAGTGTGCAGCTGGTATGGGAGGGGAGTGGGAGTAGAGGCGAAGGTGCACTGTTGGCTGGTGGCACTGAGTACCATGTCACCGCTCACCGCTACCCCATGGTGTACCCTGTGTATGAGCTGATCCCTGAAGTAATTTCAAATGGCTTCTAAGAAGAGAGAGCCAGCCCTTCTCAGTGTCCATCAGATGGGGCAGGCTGCTCTCTTACCCTTCACAGCACCAAGATGACAAAGACTCAAGACCTCTGCCTGCCAGGAGCCACTGCAGGGGCTGTGGAGGCGGAGTTTTAAGGAAGTGAGGGCACAGTCAGGGAAATAAATTAATAAATACAGGGCCCCATGAGGAGCAGCTGGGAAGCTGCTTCCTGGATGAGTGCCAGTCCCTCCATCCACTCCAAGCATCCTGCAGGTTGTGGTGAGTAGAGGAGGAAGCACAGTTTAGAGTGGAGAGCATTCACTTGCAACAGGCGCCAGAGCTCAGAGCTTTCGTTCCATGCGCCGCTCCACGGCTCGAAGCAATAGCTCTGAGTACTGCTCCAGCAAGGCCTGTGTTTGCTCAGCTCCCACAGCCCCAGGGCTGCTGCCTGGGCTGGACAGCGCAGTCCCAGCCAGGGTCTCTAGCTCCTGCCGCACTGAAGAGAAGGTGTTTCTGAGGAGCTGGATGATTTGACTCTGTTCCTCTGAGGGTGTCTTGCAGCTGGCCACCTGCAACAATCCCAAGAGTTGAGTTGAAGGAGCTGTGGAGGGCTTGTCCATGGCCCTGCTGGCCCTAACCTGTCCCAGAAGTAACTGGCCAGGAGTTCCATACTCTGAGATCAGCAATCATGACCAGGGACTGTGGAGTCCATTCAGACTCTGAAGGGCGACCCAGAGGAGTGTCCTTTCAGATTACAAACCATCTACAGCTTGCTAGCACCCCTCGAAACAGCTTGCACAGGCTTCACTTTCGCTTTTAAAGTGTGGACCCTCATGGCCTGTCTCCTATGTCTGGCATGGTCAAATAATTTTTAGACATGCAAAGGGTATTATTAATACTTGTACTTGGACACTAGCCATAAATGAGGACATGATCATTCCAAGCCCTGTGCTTATCTGAGGTTTCCAGCGCTTCATGGGTAGGTGCCTGGTTTAGCAGGCATGGCTTAGCCTCTAGCACCCTCACATACTCCACCCAAGGTGCTTCTGAGTGATCCAGCCATATTATTCCAGACATTGAGCTGTCCAACACCCAGTATTACTGACATGCTTCATCTTCCTGCCAGCTGGTGTCAATACGCACCATGTAGTAGAGCCCCACAGCCTGGTGCACCTTCCCACGGAGCTCGGCCACAAGTTGTTCACACTGCCCCAGGCTCACTGCTGGCTCTGAGAAGGAGAGAGAGCTCAGTGAGGCTCAGCAGGTTATCCTGAGGCCTTCCCACCCAGGGCACTCAGAGCAGGAGAGGCCTACACTTCAGCGCTGCACCCTACACCCCAGTCCTCTGGCCCACTTCCCTTCTAACTGCCTCTCCGCCACCCCCAGCAGCACACAGACAAGGTCCAAAGGATAGGGCCAGCTCCAGATTGAGTCTGGAAGGCACTGCAGGGGTAGGTGGGTCACAAGAAGAATATGAAGATTGGCAGAAGTGTCTCACCATCAACGGTGTGACTTATGGACCGAGACAGGAGCAGACAGGACGAAAAATGCTAGAGGCTGGATGCACAGAGATGGGATGGAGCCAGAGGGTGGCCAACAGACAGGAAGAAAGGATGGAGTAGGGAATGGGAGCTGGGGAACTGTGCACACCTGAGTCCTGGCTCAGGGCTGACCCTGGCCTGGTGCATTCCAAGGGGTTGGGAGTCTTCTCAGGGGGAAGGGGCTGGAAGTTCTCAGGGCCTCGGAGGAGGGTGCTGACTGACAGCCGCTGGGCACCAGGGTTGTTGGACTCAAGATGAGCCTGGTACTGTGTCCTAAGCTTGGGAGTGGTACCTTCCCTTATACAGGCCTGCCTCTCAGTTGGACTGTGACCCTTTCCTAAGCCTGCTAGGGAGCCAGGCTGTTCTGTGTCATCAAAGGCCCGGCCCTTGGTTACTGGTGAAAATGTGGCCAGGGTAGGGCGGTCAGGCAGTGGCTTGGGGATGTCCAACACCAGGTGAGCCCGGCCAGGTAGGGTCAGCTTGCTGAGTGGTGATACTCGGAGTGGGACAGGAGCTTGAGGTTCAGCTGCTAGGCCCAGGTTCTCCCCGACAGAAATACTGCGGGCTATCTTGGCCATAGAACTGGTGATGGGGCTCTGGAAGGAGCAGGGCCGAGATGGACATCCATCAGCCTGAGGCAGGGCCAGGCCCTCCTGGGTCTCCATCTCCCGTGAGAGCAGGGGGCCCGATGCAGGTACCTCATCTGCAGAGATGGAGATACAGGCACTCAGGGAGGGTGCCAGGTGCTGCTCAGTCCCAAGGATCGCTCATCACCTTGCATATGCCCACTCCAGGGCCATGGCAGGCTCACCATCCCCCAGCTTGCCATGGCTTCCATGTTCCCTGCTTCCTGAAGCTGAGCCCACCAGCTTCCTCACCCTGTGGCATCAGACTGTGCACAGACTGGGCTTTCTGGAGTCCAGTCAAGGGGCTGGCTGTGGCCACTTTCTTGGGGACCCAGCTGCTGTCTGGGTTGTGACGGCGGCGTGGCAACAGCACAGGAGCTGCTTCATGGGAACCAGGGTTGCCAGAGGATGATCCTGCCCCCAGGGGTGTTTCCAGGGGACTGGCTCCATTGCCTCTCAGCTGGTCACCAGATGCCTGTGGCACCTGGATAGGTTTTGGTATCACTTCCACGCATGAAGATGGGGATGGTTCCCTACAGGGAGGAAATACAGGAGGAGGCTCAGTGCTCTTCTCACCAAGAGGGTGAGCTACTCTTATAGTACTCGTGAGGAACTGGGAGAAAGGATCAGACCAGGCCACTGTTCTCATCCAGGAGTGCAAAACACCCCTAGGGAGGGGGAGAGCAGGGCTGAGTGCTGCCCCAGAAGCACGAACACAGGCAGGTCTGTGGAGCCAACCTGCTATGGGGACAGGGTCCATACCTGAGTGGGGGTGTCTGCACTTGCAAGAGGAATCGTGAAGAGATGCTCCGAGACTCTGTCCTCTCTGGGACCCGCACTGGACCTCCTGCCAGAGCCACCAAGACCATGAATTGAGGCAGAAGCCAAGCCCTTAGCCCAGGTTCTGCCTCCCCAAGAAAGAAACCCGGCACTGCCTGCCCCTCCCTCTCAGCTAGGCAGGGAGAGGAGGGAAGGGGCAGACTGCAGTGACTGGACGCTGACCCTCTGACCACACCTGGAGCAGCCCCATTGGCCAGAGTCTCAAAGTGCTGTTTTAGGAACTGCTCCTGATCGGGGGTCCGGGGGCTGCCTTCCTGGAGCCCGTAGAGGCCAGTGCCTCCCTCCTCTTCTTCCTCTTCTTCATCACCCTCAGCTGGCTCTTCTAGGTCTGAGGAGATGCCATCCACACTCAGGGGCTCTGTGCTCTCGGAGTCTGGATGTTGGGAGGGAGAGGCATCACACTGCACCTGTCACCAGGGCTTCCTCCTTGCTTCAGACAACTGGCATCTCCCACTAGGCTGCAACCTCACCTTCATTGGGGTGCTCCGGGCTGGAAAGGCGGCTGCTGCTGTAATCCACAGAGCAGGCACTATCTGGGCTGTGCTTTTCTGAGCCCCTGCTGCCTGGGTACACTCGTCCCCGGGATCCTCGGGTCAGGGCCTGCACCTGGAACTCACTGCTGGGAAGGCCAGCGGAGGGAAGAAGACTGTGAGCAGACAGGAACAGCAGCCCACTGGACTCCTGCCTACAGGCAGGAAGGACTAGGGAGAAGGTGGTGAGCAAGCCCTAAGCTTCTGCTGACTGAAAAGCACTCAAAAGAAAGAAAACAGCTATAGAGCCCCAGGAGGTCTGGCTAGAGCAGGTCCCTTGCCTGGTATCCATAGTGGGGCTGTCACTAGGCTCCGGGTAAACGATTCCATCTTCAATGGGTGCAGGCTCCAGGTCTTGGGCAAAGACCCCTTCCTCTTGTGACAACAACTGGATAATGTGGGGGCAGGAGCAGGGTTGGAAAGCCTGAAGCTGAGACTTGTCATTCTGGGAACACACAGAGAGGCATGATAGAGTTACTTGTGTGAGAAGAGGGCCTTGGGGAGGACATGGAGGTGGGCAAGGGTTTGGTATGCATTGATGTATTCCAGCTTCTTGGAAAGAGACCAGGAGACCAGGATGGGCACCAACTGATACTGAGCTTCCAGAAGAACTGCACTAGCGCTCCAAGATGCCAGCCTCCAGCCACACTTAATACCAGTAATCATCCAAGGAACCCAGCCCAGGGCAAAGGCTTTGCCACTCCACCTCAACCCTTCCTCTGCCCACCTCAATACCAACGACGCAACCTAGCCTATGGTCAGGTGACTCATGTACCACAGGGTCAGAGCAAGCACAGCTGAACCCAGGCTCAGGCCCCAGCTGTTGGTAAAAGGCCAGCTGAGGCTTCTTGGAAATCTTTAGAGAGCAAAGAGAAAGCTGGCTCACCTGGCTAGCACATGAAGCCTCAGGAGCCTGCTGACCATGCTTCCCAGGCCCAGACGGGGGCATGGCCAGTGAGTGCTGGCTGGGCTCTCGAGGGCTTGGGGCCAGGGTCTCTAGCTGCCGCAGGTCTAACATGGAGCGAACACTCAGCGGCACACCTGGCTGAGCCCAGCGTCCCCTTCTTCTGGGTCCTGAATTGGTTGCTGGAGCTGGGTCCAGAAATTCTGCTGTCTCTTGGGCCTTGTGGGGGTTGAGGGTGGAGGAGTAACCATAAGAACTACACAATGCTGTCATAAACATTCATTTTCCCTGTGAGCCACGCCCCCTCCACACACTAGATCATTTCACCCTCACAACCACCTTACGGAGCTATTATCCTCATTCTGCTGAGGGACACGGAAGCACAGAGGGCTCAAATGTCCAGTCAATCTCCCACACAGTAGGAGACCTGCAGTCAGGTTAGCTCTGGAGTTCACGCTCTTATTTGCTCTCTCTGCCCTCATGGAAACCTCTAGTCTCTGCTGGTATCTACCATCATGGACACTTCAAATGAACACCCAGGCAGCTATATAGTTACTGTACCTCCCTGTGTGGTAAATAGCCTCATCCAGCACAAGAAAGGAAGCTGGGGTTTCCTTCATCACTAACCAGGATGCTCCCAAAACCTTTCTTGGACACAGGAATGGAGCACCTGGGCAGATCCCATACCAAGTCCCCTCCCTGCTTCCCGCTGTAAGCTCAGGAGCACATCTAAATGTCAGCCAACTCACCTGACTCATCTCCCAGTGGGACAGGCTTCGGGGCAGGGATGAGCTCGGGCCTGAGGCAAGACAGAAACAGGCAGCCATTAGGGATGTCACCTCATCCACTCCCAAAACCAGTAACCCACATAATCCCATCCCTCTCTGTGGCCTAAGGTGAAGTCTGGAGCGCTCAGCTTGTACACTCCCTCACAACCACCTTATGGTCCCTGACACAGTCCATCCAGCCACTACAGCAGCTGGTGCCAGACAATCACAGACCTAGCTCTTTTTTGGTCATTTTGGCAAGGATGGGCAGAGCTGGCAATTCTTCCTCTTCGGTACCCTCATCTTCTCCCTCCTTGTCACTGTCTGATGAGAGAGCTGGTCCAGAAGAAATTACCACTGGAGCCTGGGGCCTGGGTCCAAGACAAGAAAGGTCACAGGGAGAGGAGACTTGCTGGGGGAAAGGCCAGCACTGTGTCTTTACATGGAGGGAGAACAGTGAGATTGGTGAGCTTGTGCGGAACCACCTAGACCCACCCATCACCTGCCCACCTCCCATTCTCACCGCTTGGGTTCAGAAGCCCTCTGAGAAGAGGATGGGTCCTGCGGCTTGCCCCCTCGCTGACGCTGGCGCAGCTCAGCCAGACGCTGCCTCATGCTAATGGTCATCTCAGAGCTCAGGCGCCACACAAAGATGCAGCTGGGACAGAGCCACAGAAGTGGATGAGGGAGGGGCAGGGCCGGACCCTGGAGGTGGCAGCACCATTAGTCTTCTTCCCCATGCATGGAGAAGAAGATCCTAGCCACCTTCTGAGGTCAGGCCCAGCCAAGGAATCCCCATCCACGCCCACTTCTCAGAGACAGTGGTGTGTGTATGTGTGTGTGGGATATCTTTGGCTTCTCTCAGGGAAGCTGGCTTCTGCTTACCTGTCCCCTGACACAGAGATGAGATGTTTGCAATCATTACTGAATTTCATGCCAGTGACAATCTCTATGAAGAACAAAGAATAAGCTCTATGAGCCACCCTCAATTCACGACCAAACTCCCACCTCAGCAGAGGACCTGGAGGCTGACTAGAATGAGGTCAGGTACCTCTGCTGGGTCACAAGAAACTAAGAGAAGAAAGTAGAGTTCCAGGGGTGGCAGTGTGGGGCTACACTCACCTGAGTGACCAAACATGGTGGCCACACACTCGCCTGAGGAGAAGTCAAAAATGGAAAGGTTTTTGTCGGAGCAGCTGGTGGCAATGTAGATCCCTGAGGGGTCTGTCTGCACCTGGGGAGAGAATCACAGAAGTGCAAGTCCCCTGTCCACCTGGACAGCTCTATCTCCAGGCTACTGGCCCAATGCCCCGCCCACTTGGCCCTTACCTTAATGAGAGTGCCATCCTCACCCTGTGACCCTTTAAACAGCTTTTTCTGTTTCCCACTACTGATGTTAAAGATCCTGTAAAGAAAAGTACTTGCTCATGCAAGGAGATATGTGGATCTAGTGCACCAGGAGCAGAACCACTAGCATTCACTCCAGCCTTGTTCTCTCTGGGGGTTACCCCAGCATCTGCACAGGGGCTACTCTTCTGGGGTGAGGCAAGGTATTCACTTAGAGACTTAAGGGGCCAGAGTCCAGACAAAAAGACAGAACTGGGGACTTAGATGTGGGCAGCTGACTCCCTAGGCACGGCAGAAGTGGTCAGATGGCCTGAGGAAGGGATACCCACCGAATATTCCGGTCCTGACAGCCGATGGCTGTGTACTTCCAGCTGGGCTCCACATCCATGTCATAGAGGGTTGTCTTACGCACCACGTGGTGTGTCCGGGTAAATTGTATTCCATCTCCACACTGCCAAAGTGGAGCACGTGGCAAACCCACCCTAAGTGCTTTGCCAGGACAGAGCCTTGCTTTCACCTTCCTTCATCTCTTGCAGCTCCAGGCAGGGGAAGTAGAAACCCAACCCCACTCTGCCCCTTTCAGGGATCCCCAATACTCTCACCTTCTGCGCAGTGCGGAAGTAGATGCTCTTGTCTGCTCCACAGCTGATCATGCGCACTTGCCCATCGCTGGCTACGGTGGAGAGCGCCTAGTTGTTTCTGCTGTTTCCACCACACAGTGGCAGCCTTTCCTCTGCTTCCCTCCCTATTTTTTTTTCCATCCAGGCTGCTCCACAAGTAGCCTGGACGCCAATCAAACCAGAACTACACTTTTCATCCCATCCAGCCCCATGCCTCTCAACTGCTGTCCAACACTTCTCTACTCCTGGGAAGTGTGATCCTTCTCACACAAACAGGAGGTGATGGGAGGCGGCAGGATGTCCCTCAGTTGCCCCGACCCACCTGCAAACTTGACAGCGGTGATGGAAGATGAGTGTTCATCCAGAGTCTGCTGTAGGCTGTACTCCCGCCCAGCATCCAGCACGTGGATCAGCCGGTCTCGGCTCGCTGATGCCAGCAGCTTCAGACCTGGGATTGGAAGAATTCCATCAGCCCATGTGTGCCACGTGGAGGCCCATAACTAGTTATGGGGAGGGAGATGAGCCTCCAATCCCTCAGCTACATGAACCATGCAGCAAGGAACAGAGCTGTCCTTTTCAAAACCTGAAAAGGCCAAATGGTCCAAGAGATTACAGGCTGCACATCTACAAGCCACAAGAGATGTAAGTGCAGGCATGGAGGAGCTCTATGTCTGGGTACTGACAACCTCCTCACCTGTTTCTGGCTTAGAGTACTCCAGGCACAGGATCTCTGAGTCATGGGCGTCTACCTTCAGCATCTCACTCAGGGACTGCAGTTCATGCACCCTGCAAAGATGAGGAGAGGAGGAAAGAGGTTATTGCTAAGGCTGCAGGAGCTAGAACTTGCCCCACCCCCACTTCATCTATGTTGTCTCCCCTAATATTCTTTTTCTTTTCCTGCAACTTTTTATTTTTTTGAACTTTGCTGCTTAGAGGAAAATTACAGAGTACATACATTCCCCGTGTCTTACTCTGCTTTCTCTAATGTTAGTATCTTGCATAATGTTATGGTTTGATCTAGAATGCCCCCCACAGTCTCATGTGTTCAGAAGTGGAGCTTTTGGAAGGGACTGGATCTTAGGGGTGCTACACTCCTCAGACTTATGACTTTGGAGGGGACCTCTCCCTCTTCAGTCCTCTCTTCTGTTTCCTAGTTGCCATGGTGTGAGCAGCTTTGTTCTGCCATGGTCTTCCACAATGCCATTTCTGCTTTACTGCTGGCTAACCATGAACTGAAGCCACTAAAAACTGTGAACAAATAAATCTCTTCTCCTTTAAATTCTGGGTTATCGGATATTTTGTCCCAGCAATGGGAAAACTAACACACATAACAATACCAGGACCTGGAAATTTATGTTGGTATAATACTATTATCTAAAGATTTTATTTGTATTTCATCTTTTCCCCATGTATCCTTTTACTTGATCCAGGATCTCACCAAGGATCCAATAAGCATTTAGTGTCACTTTTCCTTAGTCTTCTGTAATTCATAATGATTTTTTGGTTTTTTCTTAACCTTTACAACCTTAACACTTATGTCCTCCTTAGTATATTATAGGTTTCATAGAGTTGTAAGATCACTTAAGATGGTTTCTGCTGGGTTTCTTCATTGTAAAGTTATTATCTTTTCCCCTTAAGTAACAAATGTCTTATACCTCCACCTGTTTTGAGACAGCCCCTCTTAAAGCTCTATCCTTAAGGGTCTAGCTACTCCAGGCTGCCTCATGAGAGGCAGTGAGTACTGAACTCCAGGTTTGGCCTTACCTAAGTGTGCCCATCCGATCTCCTGAAGCTAAATGCTGCCCATTGGGGCTGATACACAGAGAGCGGATGCCCATGCGGGGATCCATCAGGGATCCATCAGCTTTGTCTCCTCCTGGTAGTTCCGTGTCCAGAAGGGCCTGAGTGTTCCCATCCACATAGATTATCTTAATGAGATCCTGGTGGAACATGTTAGAGAGCTGGGTAAGGCAAACTCAAGGGAGGGGAGGGGAAAAGGATGCTGGGCAAGCTAAGTCTTGGCTCACAGAGCCCGGCCAAAGAAGAGCTGGAAGAGTATGGTCAGGAGGAGCAAGGTCTTGAGAAGGAAGCAAGAAACATATGGGTGTGGGGTGCAAAACCAGGAATGGAGTGCAGGACCTCAGGCTCACATTGCTGAGGATGTTCCGGTGCAGGGTGGAGCCATGTATTCCAGAACTCTCTGTGTTCCACAGGCGGATGGTATTGTCTGAGGAACAGGTAATAAAAGAACTGGGGGGCAGACAGGCCTGGTTACTATCCTTCACCTCAGGGTAGACCTGCAGGAACACAGGGAAAGAGCAAGAGCCCATTTAGATATCAGTCCCTTATCTGCCCCAAATTAAGACAGAGTAGTAGCTAAAACTTAGCTGGGTGCCCCCACATATAGTAAGCAAGACATACATGTTTTATAATTACAAAGGGAAGCTAATTAGCAGCACACCTACTGTGTACCAGGCACACATAAATGTGCCTTACAGCATTTCACTTCATTTTTAGAGCATTTAGATGAATCAGGTACATCATTTTACATCAAAGACTTGGCCAACTTAGTAACTTGTCCAAGATCACTGAGCTGAGGATGAGACAAAACTAAGGATACCATAGGGGCATATAAGAAGAAATCTGAGATGCATAACCACTAAAATTCACGCTCAATCCCCATGATCTATGAAAAGGGTGTTATGGTTTATATCTCGGTACCCCCCGCCCCCACAAAAGCCTCAAGAGCTCATAAATGGGGTTTTAGGGACTGACTGGATCATGGCTATGTGACACTGGGTCATGGGTGTGTGATACTGAGTTAGCCCACTGATTGGTTCGGCATAGTTCTGGGTATGTCTGAATGGATTTACTGAAGATAGAAGATCTACTCTGCATGTGAGTGACAGCAACCAATAGGCTCATAGCCTGGATATAATAAAAAGGGAAAGCAGAAGGAAGATTGCTGCTTCCTGCCTGCCTTGCATAAGGCTCTTTGTCCGCTGCTATCCTGCCCTGCCTTGGAGCCAGCTGACTATGGACTCTATAAACTATGAGCTGAAATAAATCTTTCCTCCATTGACTTGTGGGTGTCGAGTATTTTGTTCCAACAAGAAAATAACTAACATTAGTGATGGGGTATCAGGAACGTACGGTTACCCTTGGGGTTCCGTACTTCGTGTCCTCACAAAGCATCCCAGCAAACCAAGTCAGTCTCCAGCCAGCCTAGCCCACCTACCTCCACACTCCACACACAGGAGGAATGATACAGAGCTGAATACACCTTGCCCACTTTCTTGGGGTCCCTCACATCCCAAACATAGATGCTGTGATCATTGTACACACAAGACAGCCACTGATTAGTCGGATCAAAGGTCAAGGCAATGGTATCTGGATACTTGGCATTGGCCCCTCCAGAGAAGAGGCGGCTGTGAAGAGATGACAAGCAAAACTGGTGAGATTGAAGGGGAAGAAGAGAGGCCACTCACAAAGGAAGCGGCAGAGCATGGGGCATCCTCTCCAGCCTGCAGGTTTGCAAGTACTGGTGCTGCCTGAGAAAAGAAAGCAGCCCCTAAGAGCCCTCAGGCGGGAGCTAACTCCACAGTGGCTGTTGAGCCATGATGCTCCTCTAACAAGCACAAACATGCTCACAGGACACCAACACCAGACAAGGTATTTCTGTGGCCATGACGGGGTGAAACGAGATCACCATACAAACCCCAAAATGACCAAACATCATCCTTTCCCATCTAGCATGACTGATGGCTACTTCTTTAACAAAATAGCTTTACTGTACACATTTCATTCTAACTCTTTGATAATGATCATTTAGATGTTCAGTTGTAGAATGGTCCCCATTTCTTTTTGTTGTTCTTTGAGATAAGGTCTTGCTATATTGTTCAGGTTGGCCTCAAACTTGTGGGGAGATCCTTAGCCTCCTGAGTGCTGGGATTACAAATAAGTGGTGTCATGCTTGGCTTTGTCCCCACTTCTTGATAGCATACAACCAAAACAAACTTCAATCCCTGGAACTATTCCTCAATTATCTAACACAAGCCCAAATCTTACTAAGTCCCTCATGTCGCCTACTTACTGAGACACTCTCCACCCATGATGGCATGTGTTCTGCTCAGTCCCAACAAGTGCAAATAACCTGAATTTGTCTACAAAGGTGTCCTGGTACACTTTGAGCATCACCTGTTCCTTAAAGCACAAGGAAGCTGGACACAGGGTAAAGCTCTGAACAGAGGCAGGGGGTCTATGTAGCTTACCTGGCCTCGGTGATGCCAGCGATGTCTGTCCCCAGGGCATGGGGTCTGGGAAGGGTGCTGAGGAAGTGCAAGTTAGAGGGGTTGAAAAGGCGCACAGTGCCATCTGCGCAGCCACAGAAGATGTAGTCCTGGCTTACAGAGATGCAGTGGGCCACTGTGGTCTGTGGGCAGAGTGGCTCAGGTCAGCAAGGGGCATAAGTCCACTTAGTCTTTCCCTACCCTACCCACCCTAACCCCTCAGCAAGTCACCTGCTGAAAGGAGAGACAAACCAAGGCAGGAAAGCCTGGCTGCTCTATCCTGAGCCCCTCCATCTGCCTAATACTGAAATACACTCCCTCCAAAAGCAGGTGGCCAGAGGGACCCCCCAGCCCTGTGCAGCCAGGGGATAGCAACCAGGGTCCCAGAGGTTTTTGCAAAGAGGGTAAAGGTGGAAAAGCCAAACAGAGAAAATGGCAGCCTAAAGAAGAGAGGCAGAGCTAGGCAGCACTTACTGTGAAGCTGTCTGTGTTCTGAGCAGAAGAGGAAAGCAGGGAAGGAAGACAGAGAGAGAAAAAGAGAGAGCAAGAGGAGGCAGTTACACAGATCATGGGGCCAAGCTCCAGCACCCCAGGCCTCTCTTTGCTGGAGTCACCTCTTACACGCATGAGGCCCAGCCCCTTGTCTGCAGCTCTCTGCAAGCTCTCCCTATTTGAAACCCAGGGTATCCCTTTCCCCAAAGCAGAGGTACTTACTCTCAGCTCTACCCATTTGTCCAAAAGTCTGCGATCACTGAACTCGCACAGCAGCCCAGAGGATGTGATGCAGAATGTGCTGTCTGCCTTCTTCCCTCGGCCACAAGCCACATCAGTGAACAGGTTGTTCCGCAGCTCTCCCAGCAGCCCTGAGCGACCCAGCAGGGGCACGGTGGCATTCACCTGTGGAAACACAGCACCACTATCCATCCCCCCCAAGCCTGCCCCGGGAAGAAGGCCCTACAGAGCAGAGGGGAGCTGCAAGCCCCCTGTGTTGTGAGACCTTCTCCTTAGTCCAGATAACAGAGGACTCATCTAAAATTTCTGAGTGACACTGAGAAGGTAGATGAAACCCACAAGGAGCAGTTCTTTAGGCTGGGCTAGGCCTCACAGGCTTACCTTTGAGGTCTTGCTGTCATCGAGGTACCAGAATTTGATGTGCCGGTTTCCTGCAGTGACAAAGTAGCTGCAATCTTCTGAAAAGGACACTGCTGTCACCCGACTGGACACCTTGTTGGAGGCTACCACAATGTTCTTCTGCAGGGAAAGTCAAAGGAAGAGTTGAGGCTCTGCCTCTTGTGGCTAAAGGAGACTAAACCAGGTAGGAAGTGAATCCCTATAATCCTGACACTTGGGAGGCTGAGCAAAACGATCACAGACAGTCTGAGGCTAGCCTGTCTACATAGTAAGACTCTGTCTCAAAACAAATAAATGGATAAAAGGGCTCACAGAATGAAGGAGGCTTAGAATTTCTACTTTAAAAATGTTTCTTTCCAGGATTTGCTGGTCAGAAAAGGAGAAGCAGAGAGTTACTTTCTTAAGGAATTGAAAAAAGTCATTTCCTCTGGAGGTACTTGGAAGCATAAAGCCAGTTATCTCTAGCAACACGCTTGCACACAGTTGTTCTTTTATGATTCCAATAATTTTCTAGAATGAGGCAGAGATCAGCAGAGTGGAATGAAGCAGCCTGGTACCTGGAGTTCCACGTGGCCGCCAGGCCATCCCACCCTGCCCACTCACCTTCCAGGCCCACACGTTGACAATCATATCATGCTGGTAGCCCACAGAGACAATGTACTTGGCGCTGGGGGAGAAGGCCACACAAGCCACACCATACTTGTGCTCTTGTAGCTCTGCCACCTGGCTATGCTCAGCCACATCCCACACCCGTACTGCAGGCATGTGACCACTCTGCAGGGAGGCAAGGAATGGATGTGAGGACTACACAGTGATACACAGCATCCCTTAGCTGTTCAGAGTAGGGCCTGACCTCCTCCATTACTGGACACCATCCTCTAATGGACCCTGGCCAAAAGTCAAGAGCAGGAACAAAGGGCTAGAAGATTATGGTAAGTATCTGCAGGCAACAGTCAGTATCAGGGAGGCAGTGGCCCTGAATTTTTCCTCTGTATCTCTATACTGGGGCAACCTCCTGGAATGAGTCTGATGAGCAGCCAGGCTTTAGAACCACTACCACACCTATCTTGTCTCTTCCTTTCCCAGCCCCACCCCAAGCTGCAAGGGCAGAAGTGTTCACCCTGTGCCCAGCAGGGGGCCACCAGGAATAAGGAATATATGAGGGCAATGGTTTTCAAGGCTGTGAACTAACAGCCTGCATCAGCACTAACTGGCAACGTGCTGGAAGAGTACCTTGAGGGACCCGGACCTACATAATCGGGAGATTCAGCAGGTTTAGCAATGTTTACTTTGACAGGTGATTCTGATGCACTAATGAGTCACTGTTTAAAGGACAACAAAAAACCAAGGATTGACAGCAATACTAACTGCACACAGGACTACAGCTTTGGCCGAGGGCAGGCCACCCATACTGCATAGCGTGGCAGCCCTCCCCCTCACTCACCTCGCCTGTGACCAAGTACTTGCCATCTGGGGAGAAGGCTAGGGCAGTGATGGTTTTCCTGAAAAAGATAGGCATGCTCAGAAGTGCGCTAGCCACTCCGTGGACCTCTTCAAGGTGACCCCAGCACACCCCAGGGGTAAGTGTAGCACTTCCTATTTAACCCTGGGCTAACCAGGTCCCAGCCCCCAGAAGCCTAGAGCTCCAAGTCAGAAGAGGTGATCCCTGGGGTCAGGCCCACCTACCTGGAACTGTTGAGGATGTGGTGCTGTTTGTGTTTCCGGGGATTGAACAGCACAACCACACACCTGAGGAGAGGAACAAGATGTCAGGTTTAGTACCAAGCCCAAGATCCCTCAGAAGTCCTACACTACCTGCAACTTCTGGTCACCCAGAAAAAGGAGCAAAATTATTAAGCTACAGTAAAAGGGATTCTATTCCTTATTCCTGGAAGCCTATCCCTGCTTCCTTCCCCACATAGCAGGGTCATCTCTGCAGCTCCAGGGAGTGAGAAAGCTCCTTAAACACTGGTACCATGGGTGGTCATACCTATGAGGGGCAGCAGAGACATGACCTTCCTCCAGCCTTTCAATGCCCAGGAAAGGTGTACAGGGCAAAACAATAAATATGCTGAAGCAAGCCTCAAGTGTACAGCCAGTGCTTAGGCTTGGAGCCACACATATGCCAATCACTTGTATACTGAAGAGGGATGAGGCCTTGCACCTGGACACATGTGTCCTTGGCAGGAACTGGGCCCGTAACTTGCATATGTGGATGGGAAAGGCGTGGGAAAGGGTGTGGGGAGCTACACAGGGGCCAGAACTATAGGGAGGCCCAGGAAGATGGGGGGTGCAAAGAGGTGCAGACAGCTTGAGAGGGTCTGGGAAAGCTTTTAGTGCCACAGAACTTCTGGGCTCAGCCAGAGAATCCACGGCCCCAAGGAGCCTAAGAAGGCCTCCAGATTACTAGGATGAGCAGGGAGAGGGCAGCAGCAACTTCTCAGCCAGGTGGCAAGGCTGCTGGATGAGATCAGGTGCAGACCATCCAGAGGAAGCTCCACGGAGGGAAGTTAGGTGCTAGACACAGGAGCAAGAAGCTAGAAGCCAGCAGTCAGTGTCCTTGTCAGGGCCTACAGCTGTGAGTGGGCCTGGCCTGCTGCCCCCATGCCTTTTCATTAGCACTGGAAATAGGAGCAAGCTCAGAGTCACTAGGTCAGGGAAGAGGCGGAGGAGTAGGCAGGAGAAGACAGCTACTTCTCCCAGCCCTGAATTCCTGCAGGAGGCATCCCACTGCTGCCCTTGCATCCAGACCCCACTGCTAGCTGGAAAGCTGAAGCATGAGCTGCTGGTGAGTGCTTAGCATCTTAGGCCCAGCAAACCACCTCTGTATGCACATTCCCAAGTACTCTTCTTGGGACACTGGGACCTCTATGTGACCAGATCTGTCCAGGGCTTGCACACTGTCCAACAGCCCGGGATGCCTGAGTCTCAGCATCTCCTCTAATTCCCCTGCCAACCTCTCCTTGCTGTTTTCTTTGACTCCCTCTACCCCTCTCTTCCCTTGTTCTCATTTCCTTGTTCCTTGTTCCTCTTTTTATGCCAGCTTCTAGTATCCTGCCTTCCTTTCTAGACCACCACAGTCAGGATTTTAAGATACGACAAAATTAAGATAGTACTGGGAACCCTGGATCTTATCACTTGGATGAAAAGTATAGCAGTTATCATTCAAAGTCCACAGATAGAATATTCAGACACTAAGACTTTAGACAGTGTGAAAAATATCACTCTCTAGGTGTGCCATGATCAAGAATTTCCAAGCCCAGCAATTTTTAGTGACCAACTGGGATTTTCTGAATCTTCTTACAACTATGTTGACCTGTTGACGGGGTGTCTACTGGCTTGTCTCTCACAAAAAAGTCTTGTCTGGTTCTCGTTACCTAGCTTTCTGATTCCTCTGGATGAGCTTTGGTGAAGGCTACAGTGAACAGTTACTCTGAACGGACAGGATTGACGCAGAGGTTAGCCAACCACATTCTGAATCCAGAAGAACTAAGTGCCAAGGGCTCTATGGTTAAGTCTGTGCTTTCATTTCAAGCATTATGGCCTTTAAAGAGCAGTGTATTTGACTGTTTAAAACACTTCCAGGTCACTAGACAAATTCTGAGTCTTCTCAACATCCTGTTTCTTCTGAGTTCAAATCCTAGTAGGAGGAGGAAGGAAGGCAGCAGCTGTGATAATGGTGGTGGTGGTGGTGGCAGCAGCAGTGTGTGTGTACACAATGCAAAGTAGATGGCTAGAGGCAGATGAGCAAATCCTCCCTTCTCCATGATCTCTCAGACCCACTCTGCCTCCACTAGTGCCTACAAAATTCTAAGGCATAGCACAGAAGAGTTAAGCAAGGCAGGGATACATACAGATTATTATTATTAATATTATTATTCTATTATTCAGATCTGGAAACCATCCAATACAACAAAAGGGAGAAACCAACTCAAAGGGTTACAGATGCTGAACTCAGAGTGGAGCATCCTAGGTTCCCTGTGTGCCCAACTTGCTTCTGTCTTCCCAAAAAGACAGGGGGGCCTGTTCTCAACCTGTCTGAAGAGTCACCTTAGTCTTCCTGATGAATTTGGCACAAGCTCCTCAGTGAGCCAGAGAAAGGAGGCTGGGGCCACATCCCTATTAGGCACAGTGAAGCCTTACAGCAGTGCTGACCGAAATCCTCACCCTGCCAAGGGCTGTGCTGGTCCAACATGCTGGCTCCTGTAACTCAGAACCTGAGGGTGCAGAGAAATTGCTCACTCTCTCAAGGAGAGGGGAAGGCCTCAGTTCCTCCAGGCATCAGCCCTCAACATCTGCCTTCCCTGCACAGGTTCAGGCCTGCACCACTGTGAAGATCCAGGGTCCACCTCCTACCATTCTCCACCCTCCAGAGGCAGAGCCAAAGGAACCAGGATGAGCTCTGAACGGAGCGGCACACACGGAGCAGGCAGAGAAGGATCAACCAGTGCCCTCAAAGTTCTTCTTTCTGACCTTGTAAAACCGGATGGGGCCCTCACAAGGAAAAACATCACCTTCCTCGGCCCACTCCCCACCTTCCTTACTACTGACACCACCACTGCTCATATGTTTTTCCCACACACTCTCCAACTTGTAACAGTCTGTAATTTACTGTAGGGGGAGTGCCTATCTTTACACCCTACATTGCCGCTCTATGAAGACTGTTTTTGTATGTGTTGTTTACTGTTATGTCTCTAGGCCTAGAAGGCAAGTGTTTGTGATGAGTGAATAAAACCTAAGTCATGCTCTGTGGGATCTCCACCCTCTGACTGCTTAGACACCTGGGTATGAACCTGCGGCTCAAGAAGCTATGGGGCAGCTCTCCAATGCCCCAGGGCAGTGTGGCGGAAAACAAGAATGCTGTGGTCCGGCAGACCCATCTACTAACACATATGTGATCTTAGGTATGTTCTTTCAATTCTCTTAAAGTCGGGGCTGGGGATTTAGCTCAGTGGCATAAGCGCCTGCCTTGCAAGCAGGCAGTCTTGAGTTCAATCCCCGGTACCGATAAAAAGGAAAAAGACAAAAAAAAAAAAAAAAAAAAAAAAAGTTTCACGATTTCTCTTAAAGTCAAAGTCCTCACCTGTAAAATAAGAAACCTCTACCTCACAGAATTGTGGGAACTGAAGATAACATTCAAAGTTATCAGCACCTACACTTGGCCACAAGGCAAAGATGATGGCTAGAGGCAGACGAGCAAACCCTCCCTTCTCCATGATCTCTCAGACCCACTCTGTCTCCACTAGCACCTACGAAATTCTCAGACATAGCACAGAAGAGTTAAGCAAGGCAGAGAAACACACAGAGGGAGCCTCTTGAAATCTGAACCCTGCTGTACAAGTAACTATAAAAGAGTCAGCCAGGGGCAGCAGTTGCAACTAGAAGCCCAAATGGCATCTCATACAGGACACTAGTTAGTCTCTGAGATCATCCAGACATAGCATTATAAACTATTCCTCTAGATTCAATTTTGGAGGGGAATTCTTCTTGCAGGGAATACTGAGGACTGAACCCAGAGCCTTCACACTGAGCTATATCACCAGCCCTTTATTTTTTGTATTTTGAGACAACCAAGTTGCTAAATTTCCCAGGCTTATCTCAAACTTGAAATTATCTTGCTTCAAGACCCCACAGTGGAAGATAAAAGGCATGCAACACTAAGCCAGACTCAAAGAGGGACTTTTACGGCTCTAATTATTCCAAAAGACAATGATGCTACTATGCTTTTTGTTTGCTTGCTTTGGGGGGTTTCTTTCTGAGACAAGGTCTCACTGTGCAGTTCAGGCTGGCCTTCAACTTACTTTGTAGCCCAGGCTGGCCTCAAACTCAAAGCTAACCTCCTGCCCCAGCCTCTCAAGTCAAGTGCTGGGATTACAGGCTTTTTTTTTTTTTTTTTTTTTGGAACCAGGAATTGAACTCAGGACTTCATGCTTGCCAGGCAGATGCTGTGCTACTGCACTATATCCCTAGTTTTTTGAGACAGCTTCTTGCTATATAGTTCAGGTTGGTCCTGAATTCACTATGTAGCCCAGACAGTCCTTGAATTTCGCAATCCTTCTGCGTCAGCCTCTCAAGTACTAGGATTGCATGCATCACCATGTCCAGCAATAGTGTGTTTCTTACGGCACCTTTGGTTAAAGTCCTCTTTAGATACATGGAATCCAAAAAAGTAACTCTCTTCAGCAGGCCCACTATGTGAACCCCACCTCAAGGACATGAAACTTTAAGAACTCTGTCAAGTACATGGCCCAAGGTGCAGAGCTATCAGTATGCCTCCCTCTCCCACAGGACCCTAGCCTTATTCCCCTCTCAGACAAGAGGTGAAGCTTCATGAGCTGCAAGACTCACAGGCAAGGTCCAATGGCAGTACCCATGCCCTCCTCACTCAACCAGTCCAGCCACCCAGGTGCTGTGGGCTCCTCACACAAGTGAACTGATGCCTCCTTCTCTTAGCACTCTGCACTTGACAGTTCCTGCACCTGGAGCACTCTGGTGCCAACTGTCACATGGTACCTCCTCCTTCTCATTCAGGGGTCAGCTCAGCTGTTACCCTCACTGGGCCCTGATGCTGTCTTCAAGTAGCCCCTCTCAGTCCCCTATTATTCACTTTCTTTCCACCTCCTGACCTATTTTCTAGAACCTTTCCCGCTCTCTAATGTACCCTGTTTGTGGTTGTTTCATGTCTGTTGTGAGCTAACATTTCCTGACCTCCACAAGCTGTGGTCCTGTCAGTCCCGCTCACTGTTATT